CAGGGCTAGCTGTCTTTGCCCACTCCCCTTCCCCAGAATGCAATCCCAAGATTTTAGGAGCCAGTGGAACCAGCTCCTGGCATCAGTGCTCTGAGCTAGGTCTCAGCTCTCTGAGTAATCCTCCCAGCAACACCCCCCACACATACACTTCCTAAGTGGTTTTAGAGGGGAGGGAAGGGCCCCCAAGACCTGGCCACCTGAGTCATCTACTCCAGGCCTGGGTGACTCCATACATAGGCTGACACATTTGGGGCCCCACCTGCCTTTCCAGCCCGCCTGCCCCTTCCTCCCTCCCTCCACAAGCCAGGAGAGATGCCTCCCCTGACAAGACACCCTTCCCACGGAGAGGCCACCCCTCCCAAGCTCCTCTGTGCGCACACACACACACACACACACACACACACACAGAGAGAAAGGAGCAGCATTTTCTCTCCCACCTGTGGAGAGTTCTTGGGAAGAGGATGAAGGAATTGTCTAAGTGGAGCATCTTTCCTTTCCTTTGCACAAACGGGGAAACAGGCTGGAGCCAGGAGAGAGGCTTTTTTAAGGCCACGCACTAGCAAATTTTTGCAGGGCAAGGACTGCAGCCTTTGTCTCCTCCCCACCCCCAGCTGAGATTTCTTTTCATCACAATGAAGATGGGATTTAGTGGGGAAGGAGATGAGGACCAATTCTTTCCAGCTTGATTTTGTCATCTGAACGGGACTTCAGAAAAACCTTGGGTTTAGAGAGCCAGGACTAAGGGCAGTGGGTGACTGCTGGTGGCTGGCCTACCCTTCTCAGGATCTAATCCAGTAACCTAGTCCTTATTTCCTCTAAGAGACCCTTCCCCACCCTGTCCTCCCCACCTCCCAGGTTTCTGTGACTGACTTCACTTAGTGGGAACTAGGGCTGGACTTGGAGGCCCTAGCCCAACCCAACCGATAAGCCCCCCAGGGAATTTGAGGGTTGAGATCCTTGAATATTTCATCAGCACCTCAGCCTCCAGCTGAAGTAGCAGCCAACTTACAGCTCATGGATAATTTACAGCCCCAACAGAGAACCTAGAAGTGCTGGGGGGAGGGGCAGCGAGCAAGGGCTGGGGGAAGGTCCAAACCAGGCTGTTGATAAGGGTGTTGGAAAGAAGCTGGAGCCAAATGTGTGTGAGGTGCCAGGCAGGGGCTCCAAGACCAGGGACATATCCATTTTTAAGGTTACTAATGTATTAAAAGTAAATAAATAAATAAAACAGGGTTATCAAAATAACTGTGCGAAAGGTTAAAGTCATATGACAAACATTTTCTGAATTCGGCCTGTCCCTGTTTCTGTGACTTGGTGTATAACCTCATTCAGAGAGACGACAAAAAAATTTAATGGGAGGTTCTCTATGGAGTGAGGCCCTCAAATAACCCCCTGCTCCCCATACCAAGGGAAAAGGCCAAACTTCCCACTAAATTGGCTGAGCCTGACCTCTTCCCAGCCTCCTCCTGGAAAGCCATAAGGATTTTAGTTAAGTAGTTAAGGGCAAAGGAGGAAATTGGGCTTAGCCACCTCTTGCTTCTCACTAACATCATTGCACTTTTCTTCTAACACAAAAGATGGAAAAGGTGACCTAAAATGAAAAATGTCAAGTTATCTTGGCCTTTTCCTTGCTTATGATATATCTTAGTGATTTCTTTCAGGAGTCAAAAGGTCAAGTATGTGCATGTGGGGAAAGGCAAGCAAACCAACACATCCTCCCCCTTACCTCAGTTTCCCCACCTGAGTCATGGTCAAGAGTGGTGTTCCCATACCAAGGGGGACAGAGGAGATGCTATCCAGGCACCCTGGCGCCAAACGGGGCCCAGGCAAGTGGTGATTATGGGGTGATGTGTCCATAGGTTGGGCCTGGACAGCCTTGGAGGTCAAACTCAGACATACTGGTCCTCAGTTTCCCCACCCATAAAATTGAGGCCACCTGCTAAGTCTGTTCTTGGAGAGAAGTTGCAAAATAAGGCCTGGAGGAAAGTCCCAGAGTAGGCAAACTGGAGGGCTTGGGCCTTGTGGCTGCTGGGACCTCCCCAGTTAGGTTAAGCTGTGGGCCCCAGTGCCAACTGGGTACAGCTTCTGACTGGGAAAGGGGCCCCTTCTTTCCCTCACTCTTCCTTCCTGTTCTTCCCTTCTTTTCTCTCTCCTCCACCTCTCCCTTTACAGAGATCCTTGTGATCTGAGCACATTAGGGGCTTTGTCTCCACACCTTGCAGCCTTCACCTGCCTCTCCTTGGTACCAGCTGATAGCCTAAAGGGACAAGTTCAACCACCAGAGACAGAGCATTCTCTCTCTTCTCTGAGCAGCAATGACTGGGAAGAGACCCAGTCAACCACCTCAAGGAAGCCTGGACAAGCTGCTTGTCACTCCTCAGCTTCACCTGGAACAGAGAGAAATTGACAGCTGTGATACAAGACAGTTTTGAGGGTTGCAAGTAATTTTTCCAGTGCCTGGTACTTTGCAGGTCCTCAGTACATTGTAATAGCTATCCTTAGGATGGGGTCTTTCTGGGTTGGGGACACCTGAGGGCATGTCTTTGAGTTTGGCCTTACCAGGTGGGCATCCCAGTGCCCTTTGGCCATCTCTAACCCTCTACCCATCATGCTATGCATTCCAGGACTGAGGAGGTGCTGATTGGGTGTTAGGGCAGGTGAGGAGGTGGACAGAAGGAGAGAAATGGAGGTGTGGAGGAGGGGAGGGTTACTGGACTGGATGGGGTGGGGAGAATGGGCTGCAGGGCCCACATGGAAACTGACTGGGACTCTGTCTCACCGGTTTGGGGAGAGACTGGCATGGGGAGTGGTGGGAGGGGTTGGCGGTTCCCTGGGAAAGGGGAGCTGAGCAAGCCAGTGGGATGACTGGCTAAAGGCCTGGATGGGAGTGCCTAGGAAGAGGACAGCCTCCTGCTCTCAGGGAACAACCCCTAAAACACATCCCCAACACCCATTCTCTCAAACAAAGGCTCTCTCAAATGTACACTTGGGACATGCATATCAATACACTTAAACTGTAACCCATACCTAACATAACTATCAACTTATATAACATTAATATTTCACTGCTCGTCTCCTCCTTAGAACATAAACTTCACAAGGGCAGGGTGCTTCGGCACGCACACTCAAAGACCTGTGTCACATACTCACACCAGACCCGCACATCATCACACACACAAAAGCACACAGACCTTCACACCCTGGCCTACAGGCACTCTTGGACCCACACCCAGCCATGTGGATTCCAAAGACTGTGCTCATAGCAGCACACATTTACATAGACACGCTTAAGCACATCCCGCTTGGCTCCCTGCTCTCCCGGTGCTAGCCCTGGAGGGCACCCCCTCCCAGGAATAGGGGCGGGCCGCTGACATGACAACACCATAGCTTGGAAAGGGTGGGGTAGGCAGGGCTACCCTGTCACCTGGGAGCTATCTACCACTGCAGACCCACCTGTGGCAGGGCAAGGAAGGAGAGAGGAAAGAGGAAGCTCTCCAAATCCCCAGCTTGGACTCAGCCCTTTCTCCAGATGCAGACTTTGGCCTTCCTGCCCTCATCTGGATCAAGGTCTAGGGGAGTGGTTGGACTGGGGCAGTCTTCCAGGGCACAGGTGGGTGGGGCCCAGTCCAGGTCATCTGGCACATGGGGTGTGGACAGGGGTGAGGCAGTGAGAACTTAGCTTTCCAGAGTCTACTCCACCCTCTAGTAGGAAGCCTCCTGTCACCCTGTTCCCCGGGAGCCTAGCAAGGCAGAGAAGAGGACAGATGGTCTCCTGGTTAGCCTTGGCCCTGTATTCCTCTCAGAGGGGCCCCTTTTGTCCCCACTTTCCTACTGTGGAATGGTAGTGGGCCAGTAAGGCTCAGTGCTTGGTGGTAGAACTGGGACACTGTCTGCCCCCACACCTCCAGACTCCTGATGATACAACATTTGGCAAGAAGGCTATGACTGTCCCACTGTGCCAAAAGAAGACCCAAGTCATCAAACCATATCCTGATGTTTCCTCTGGCCCCTGAACTGGGGCTCCAACTGGCTTTCAAGGGGGGATGGTCAAAGGACAGAGCAGGGCATGCCTTCTCTGAGTCTAGAGAAATTCCAAGAAAGTAAATGAATTGTTAAGTAAATGTCCTTGGGCCCCATCTCTACATCACCGGCCATATGCCCTAAGAGGAGTGATGCAGAACTACGAAAACAAAGGACATCCCATCTTGGAAATTTTAAACTATCATCTTACCAAAGGAACAGTGTTCTCACACCCCCTAGTGGCAGATCCAAGATGGTACACAGCTTGCAGGATGACTCAGGTCTCACACACAGACCCTGAGATAGACAGACACGAGGGCCACACTGTGTTCTACCCCTGCACTGTACAGAGAGGAGATGGACGCAAAGGGTGGGAGGCAAAGACCTGCACCCTGGGGAGACTGGGCCCCGGTGCTGGGATTCATTCAACAATAGCCATTTATTTATTGAGCACCCACTCTGGCATTTATTGAGCACCAGAACTCCAGGTCCCATGCTCTTCATGACCACGCTGTCCCTCTGCAACTCAGGCTGAGACTTCAGCTGGCAGCTGTAAGTTTCTCCTTCAAGAGACTGTCCAGGAGGGAGGAGCAGTGGGGAGAAGAACCTTCCCAACCATAGCCCTCTTGGCCTGTAGCACCACCCCCACCCTGGAATCCAGAGACACAGAAGAGGCAGGATGGGATCTGGGGAGCAGCTCCCACAGGTGGGACAGGATGGGGTCCAGTCACCTGTGTCCATTTTAAGTTTTAATAAATAGCTATTGAGCCAGGAGCCAGTGGCTCACACCTGTAATCCTAGCTACTCAGGAGGCAGAGATCAGGAGGATCGTGGTTCAAAGCCAATCCAGACAAACAGTTCGAGAGACTGTATCTCGAAAAAACCCATCACAAAAAAGGGCTGGTGGAGTGGCTCAAGGTGTAGGCCCTGAATTCAAGCTCCAGTACCACAAAAAAAAAAAAAAAAAAAAAGGTCTTGTTGCCCAGGTGTCCCAAGCTCTTGAGGGGGCACAGGGGACCCCCTTTTCTCATGACAGTTCTGGCTCTGGTTCTGAAAAAGAAAGGAGAAAGCATTGGGTTAGCCCTACCCACTCCAACAGGTATCCAAGAGTTCTGGCTGAAGGTGGGATAGGCAGGCCCAAGGTCCCCAGGAATAGCCTCAGCTGGCCCCAGCACCACACACATACTCCAATAGGTCCATAGTCCAGGGGGTGGATCCCTGTCCCCAACCTCCATTTCAGATTGTGTCCCTACCCCCTCCACCAGGACCCATCACTGACCAGCCTCAGCCTCGTCACCCTTGGCATCCGGTTCCTGCCACCAGTCAGCATAGAGGCCCTCCTCGTAGTCACCCTCCCCCTCAAACTCAGTGTCAGATAGAGGTTCCTCCAGCTTCAGTGGTGGTTCTGTCTCCTCCAGTTCCATCTAGAGCAGCCCAGGGTTGGGAGAAATCAGGTCACTGCAGACTCAAACCTGGATGGGCACCTTTCCTGACCACGGTCCCATCTCTCATTTCCCAAAGCTCCCCTTCCCAAGGTCAAAGCCTAATATGAGGACAATATTAGGGTTTGTCCTGCTGGGTCCCACTCCCAAACTTCCCCCTCCCCGTCCCCGCCACCAACAAGTGAGGCATAGGGTTCCACCAGCAGAGGCCCAGTGCTAGCGTCAGCACTGACTGCATCCCAGCCCCACCTCAATCATCACCACCCCGTGAGAATACTGCCAGTACATGCACATTGTCTGCTGGGGCTGTTTCCCTGCCAGGAGTGCCTTTGCTCCCTGGGCCTGGACAGTCTTGTTGATCCCGCCAAAGCCAGACGTCAGCTCCAGGCTGAGGCCCTCACTGATGACCAGGCTGGGCAGGGAACCCTCCTCTGGTGCCCATGCTGACCTCTCCACAGTTTGGGGCACCCATGAGACCACTCAGGAAAGGGACTGTGTCTTTCATCAGCTTATCCCAACCCTAAGCCTGGTGTCTAACAAATAGCAGGCAACAAGTAACAGTCATCAAAACAGCCATCATTCCCTGAGCACCTATATCAAATGCTTTACATACTTGATCTCACTTGATTCTCACCACCGCAAAACATAAAAGGGCAATATTTTCTCCATTTGATTGTTGAAGAAACAGAAGTATGAGAAGTTACCCGAGACTTGCCTGGAGGCCACCCAACTGATAAGTGGTAGAGCCAGGTGTGACCAGCACCTAAGCCAGAAGCTGATAGTGAAGATCATGCCCCCAAGTTTGCTGAATGGGGGTGCCAATGGGGGAATGAATGCACAAGTGCTGGGCAGCAGCATCTCAAAGAAACTCAGCCCATCAAACTCATTTAGAACCAATATAATCCACTATGGTCCTTTCCTTCCTGGCATCCTGCATTCAGTCATTCATTCCCTGGTTCATTCACACTGTTTCTGAGTACCATTGTTGTGCTGGGTGCTATGGAGGAGCTAGGAATAATCCCCTGTCTGGGAATGCAATTCTCCAGGCTGGAGAAGGGGAAGGGCTAGGGCTGCAAGTAACTCCAAGTTCCAGGCCAAGTGGCCAGGCAGGAGGGAGGGTCAGAGTTGGCACTGCAAGCCCAAAGAGAGCCAGGGCTCCCTGGAGGAGGCACCATATGAGCTTGGCCTGGATGAGCTGGTGTGGGGCATGCCGAGAAGGGACCATGAGAACTCTGAGGTGAGGAGAGAAGAGGAGGTGCAGATGAGGGATAGGCAATCCTTTCCCGCTTCAGGACAGCTGGGCTGACCTGTCCCACACAGTAGCCCCAGGAAAAAGCCCAAGGTGTCCCCACACAGCCCAGCCGAGAGCACAGGGGGCCACTCACCTCATCGTCTGACTGCAGGTACACGTGTGTGAACTCCAGCAGCTCCCGCAGCTCAGTGGTCTGGTTGTGGTAGAGCTTGGCCTCCTGGGAGAAGGGAGGAATGGCGTAAGCCACATTCTGCTGCTAGATGGCAGGGAGACAGGGCTCCCGGCATCCCAACCCACTGACCCCTTTCAGCTCAAAGATCAGCCCATATGCTGATCCAATAATCACAGGTACTTGGAGCACTGGGTTAAGGATTCTGAGGGGTCAGGGAGAATTTATCTCAATTCATTAGTAATGTCTGCCATTGACAATGAAAGTGACCTAGACACCAAGGCTTTCCTTAGTTGGTTCAGCTAGGAGTTCTGGGGGAAGAAGGGCAAAGGGCACCAGTGAGGGCAATGAAAGGAGGAGGGGAGAAGGCAGGCGTGGTCCCCTACTTTCATCCGTCTCACATCCCTGACACTGTGATGCTGAGGTAGGCAGTTCCACCCCTGTATTACAGGTGAGGCAACAGATTCAGAAAGGGGCAGTGATGTTCCCAGGACCTTACAACTGTGGGGCTGGGTTTTAAACCCCATGATTATAACCACAATCTATATTCATTCTTTCTCCTTCCCCTTCTGCCTCCAAAGGAAGCCAGGAGTTTTTTCATCAAACTAAAATTGCATGTGTGGCAAGTGTTCAGAAGGTGGTGCCCACCTCCCGGGGCTGGAAGTCCTCCTCTTCCAGGCCCCAGCGAGCCCGGTGGAAGCGGTAATACACCAGGTTCTGCTGCATGACGCTGTCCTGGGGGTCGAAGAGCATGTAGCTAGCAGCACTGCGGGCAGCCTGGCGCACGTCATTCACTGTGGTAGGACAGGGTGAGGAACAGCCCTGGTGCTTTCCTGCAGGGCAGCCCCATGAAGCCCTCCCCACACCCACCTCCCAATTCGGTGCCCCTGCTCCCCAGCCACTTCCCACAGCCTGCCTCCCAATGCCTGCTGGGCTCCATGCCCCACCCAATAATAACGCAAACTAGCAGGTATTGGGTGTTTCCTGTGCACCAGGCCCTGTGTGACTCACTGCAGCCTCGCTCATTTGTCACTTGCATTTTATAGATGAGAAATCGGAGGCACTGAGGGGTTAGATAAACTGCACCAGCTCCCACAGCTGGAGAATGACAGCACTGGGAAAGTAGAGGTGCTCCATCTCTCTGCCACCCACCTTCAGGAAGGGTCTCCTGGCTGGTCCTCAGCCCCTGCATCCCTAACTCCAGCCTCTGAAGCTTGGCATCTCCACATTACAGGGACCACAGGCTGACCATCCCAGCCCTGGTCCATGGCAGGATCTATCTCAAGTGAGAAGAAGTATAGGTCCTGGTGCTACTTTGTTTTAGTCATGGGACGAAAGGTCCCCTGCCCTGTATGAGCCTCAGTTTTCTTATCTGAAAAATGGGCCTAGTAATGCCAGCTGTACAGTTTTGGTAAGATAAGGGCTTTATAAACTGGAAGTGCTTAGCAGTTGTTGGCTGCCTAGCCAATCACCCAAGAGGCCCTCAAATTCTCCCCAAGGCTGCACTCTGTTCCCAGAGCCTCTCACCCACCCCATACCCTCTGAGTTCCCTCCCTCTGCCCCTTCCTCTCATCACCCAGGGTCCTCAATCCGAGAGATGACCGTGGGAACCCAATGCTGTCATCTTCCACACCTCTTCCTCCCCTTGCCCAGCCCATGCAGGAAGCTCACGCTTATAATAGGCAAACTGCAGGTAGTGATACATGGTGGCCACGAACTTGTCCACAAAGTAGCCGCCCACATTGGGAGTCAAATTGGCCTCACAGTCCACCTTGCACTGTAGGGAGTCTGCAAAGAGATCTGGGGGTAGAAGCAGCAGTGAGAAGCTGACAGTGTACTGACCCCAGCTTGGTGGTAGAGGACTCCAAAGCTCAGCTCTGCCTACTGGCCTGCTTCCCTGTCTACAAAGAGCGAGCCTGTTGTTTCCCAACACACCAGATAAAGTGTGTGAAGTGCCTGGCACATAATATGTGATGCAGGCTGGAAAAGACTGACTTATCCCCCAGTTCAACCCCCATTTCAAGCCAGAGGGAGTTCTGGAAGAGTGTGGCAGGGTGTTTGGGGTGGGACTGGCCCCACAGAGAGAAGCTAAGGACAGCCCTTTGTGTCCCTTTGAGGAATCTTTTAGGGATCTAGTGATCTTCCACACACACACACACACACACCTGCTGGGCGTTTATAGGACATCTTCTGCACATCTGCCTGGAAGGCCTTTGAACCCAACCTTCCCAGATGCTTCTGGGTACCACTATCTCTCTGCAGCAATACTCAGCTCTTTGGAAACTCCTGATTAGCCCTCTGCAGGTTACCCTCAGCTGACCGCAGGTTACCCAAGGGCTGAGAAGACTTGTGTTCACTGTAGCTGCTCCCTGAGCATTGGGAAAATGAGTATTTAAGGGGCCTGAGGAGTCCTGGGAAGCAGGGCCCTGTGGCTAAGGGATGCCCATGGTAGTCTGAGTGGGAGATACCTGCTATGGCTGGGTAGAAGTCCTTGAAGTCCTCCTGCTCGTGGGCCCCCTCACAACCAGCCAGACAGCGGGCAAAGATGGCCAGGTATTCAACCAGGGCCCGCTCCATGTCCTCCGTGCTGCTGCGGAAATCCCCGCTGTTGTAGAGCTTCACAGCCTTAAGGAACACCGCCTGTGGGGAGCATGGCGTGGAGAGTCCAGGGTAACCCCGCACCTCCTCTTCTCTACCAGTGGGGAAGGGGGTTGGGAAGGAGCATCAGGGCCAGCCCTGCCCCTGCCCTCCACCCCACCTCGTAGGGCTGGGCCTCTAGATCCGTGAGGGACTCATCGGAGACGTCCAGCATCCCTTGGTAGTACTTGAGATACTTGGCGGTCAGCTCGTGCTTAGGGTTCTTCTGGAGGAAGGTATAGGCCGCGGCCACCGCCTTCTCCAGCCGGTTAGCCTAGTGGAAAGCGTAGGAGGAAGGATCAGTAGGGCCGAGCCAGTAGCCCCGCGGGCACAGGCCACCCACGTTCCTACAGTCCCCGGGCAACTCAACGTGGACCCGGGTCGCGCCGTGCGGGCGGACGGGTGGGCGCCCACCTTGAACAGCGCATAGTGCAGGTATTGGTAGGGCAGGCGACTCTGGAAGTCATGCAGCAGCTGGCGCGGCGGGTAGGGCACCTGGAAAGCGGGCAGGGTCCGCTTGCAGCGTCGCAGGCAGGCGGCGCGCTCCAGGACGCGGCCGAAGAGCCGCAGCTCGCGAGCCCAGTCATCGCCGCCGCCGTCGCCGTGGCCGTCGGGACTACGCGCCGGCCGGGGCTGCGTGGGGTCGCTGCAGTTGGCGTGGCAGAAGGCCTCGCTGTCGCGCAGCAGCCGGTGCAGTCGCAGCGCCGCCTCCAGGTAGCGCGCGCTCTCGCGCCAGCTCTCGCCCTCGTACTGCTCCAGCGCGTGGCCGTAGGCCGTGGCCAGAGGCATCAGGTCCTCGGGCGGGAAGCCCCGGAAGCTGTACTTCTCGTACTGCGCCCCGGCGCTGCCCAGCAGCAGCCACAGCAGTCCCCACGCCGCCCAAGCCATGCCCCTGTCGCGCCCCGAGGCTCCCGGAGCAGAGAGCGGCCCGGCCCCGCCGACGGGCGGAGGGTCTGGAGCGAGGCCCCGCGGCGCGCCTGCTGGGTCTTAGCGCCCGCCTGGGAAGGCTCCCGAGCGAGGGACTAGTCGGGGAGGAGGGGAGGGTAGAGGCGGGAGGAGGGGAGGGGTGAGGGACAGGGTCGCGCCCCCTTTCTTTTTTAGAGGTTCTCATAATATCCCGAATCCGCTATGTTGGCCTGACCCCCTGCCTTTGGGGTCTTCCCGTTGGCAGATGGTGGGTGGATTAGGGCATGCTTCATGCCAAAGATGGGGAACCCAGAATGACCCACAGACAGTGCCCCCACCTTAAGATCAAGAAGGGGAGGGAGGTACCACCTCCCTCTACTCCGCGGGTCTCGGGGAAGTCCCGGAACCTGGACTTCCCTCCGAGCGCCCCTTCTGTACCCTCTAGGTCGCCCCCCCACCCCCCGCATCTCGAGGCACACACCTGTTTTTACCCTGTATATCCTTCCCAGTCACTACCACCCACCCGGATCGAGCTCCATCCCCGCGTCACAAAGTCCTTTTTGCAATCAAAATTTGTCACGACAAAGTTGCTCTTCTCTGGACAGACTTCCCTTGGAGGACAGCTGGGGTGGGGGAAGCATCACATTCCCGACCTCACCTTCCACCCGGAGGGGCCTAGGTTTCGAAGTGCCAGGAAAAGAAGCAAGGGATGGCAAGACCCGGCTTTAGGACCCAGGGGCTACGGAAAAAGACAAAACTTTTTTTTTTTTTCTTTTTGGGAGTCCACTCAGACTTCTCATCTTTCCCGAACCTCCCTCCCGGCGGTGGTGGGGGTTGGGGGTAGGGGGAATCCGGAGATCTTTGCGGCGCATTCTTGGAACTCTAAACTCTCAGCCTGGCCCCCTTCTCCAGTTCCACCCTCTCCAGCCCCGGCCGGCTTAGTCTCCCCAGCCCCCATTCCACGTAGACCGGCCAGGGCGGGAGTGGGGAAGAAGGACAGGAAGAGGGGGAGCCAACTCTGGGAGGAGGGGGGAGGAGGGTGGCGGCTGTGTCTCCCTCCTTCGCCCTCACTGCCGGCGATCTCGCTCTGGGCACCATGTTCCCCGCAGTGTCTCACACCCTGCGCCGGCTCCCCTTGCTGCATTGGCTGCTGCTACTGCTTCAAGCTTTGGAGAGGGGGCTGGGCCGTGCCAGCCCGGCTGGGGCCCCCCTGGAAGATGTGGTAATCGAGAGGTACCACATCCCCAGGCCTGTCCACGCGAAGTGCAGATGGGGGATTTTGTTCGCTACCACTACAATGGCACGTTCGAGGACGGGAAGAAGTTTGACTCCAGGTAATGGGGTTGGGCACCTCCAGACTTAACCACCTCTTCCCCCAGCCCTGCTCCCCCTTTTAGACTTAGCATCCTGGTACTCACTTTCATGATCCTGTAGCCCCAAACAGCACCGTGGAGGGAGGGTTCCCAGACATCCATCTCCCCAAAGATGACTCTGTCCCGAGTTCCAAATCTTCACCTTTGGAAAGAACCCCCAACCCCAGATTCTTTCACACAAGCTCCAACATTCCCAAAGTGCTTGATAATCCAGGTGAACTGCTCCATTTACCTACCACTGCATTATTTAAGACTAAAGGAGGGGGACACCCTGGTCTACAGTGTTGGGGGAAAGGGGATGGTGCCTGCCGCATGTGAACCTTGGGGTGTTCCTTTATCCTGTGACCCCCTACTTTTCTTCCCACCCTGGCTCCTTGTCTGGTTCCACCCATGTGCCTTTGTGATTAGAGAAGAGGGAATAAACCTTTTTTTGGAGGGGGTGGGGATAAAGCAGGGTAGGCATTATAAGACAGGAGGATGGATCTAGGGGTAGGGCACAGATTGATGCCATGGCTGTCTGTCCACGTGTCACAGGTCTGACATGACACCCCAGAAGGTTTTTACACCTCCCTCCAAGGCTTCTCCATTTTTAACTCAAGCTTCTGGTCTGTCCCAGGCCTTTCATTTGCTTGGCAAGTTCACTTGGTTGGTGGAGGCAGGGCAGGGCTGTGTGCCAGCCTCAGGGGCAAACTTTTGGCCCCATCACTGCAAGAAGTCACCCCTTGCTCGCGCCTGTTATCTTAACCACTCAGGAGGCAGAGATGAGGAGGATCATGGTTCAAAGCTTCAAAGCCAGCCCAAACAAATAGTTCATGAGACCCTGTCTCGAAAAAAAAAAAAAATCACAAAAAAGGGCTGGTGGAGTGGCTCAAGGTGTAGTTCAACCCCCAGTACTGAGTACTGAGTTCAAACCCCAGGACTGCAAAAAAATAAAAAATAAAAAAAAGGGCTGGCAGAAATGGTTCAAGTGGTAAAGAAGTCACTCCTCTTAGAACCTTGCTTAAAACATACACTCAGCCCACAGTCAATTAACGACCATGTCTTTGGAGGCAGGCAGTACACTGGGCAAGAACTGGATCTGCAGAGCCCAAGACCTTGGTTCAAATCCAAGGTAAAGCTTTACTTTCTTTACCTGAAACATGGAGCTAAGAACAGTACCTACTCCTAAGGCTGATATTAAGACTAACAAGGTGGCGAATGACTGGCCTTCTACAGAGCCTTCAGGCCCTTGTGGGTTCAAGGAACATTAGTCTTGACCTTGGGGAGAACCATAGCCCTGATGAGTTTAACTTGCAGAAACTTTGTGCACAGCTTGGGTCTTCACAATGGCACTGTGAAGAATCAGGCCAAACATAAAACCTGCCCAGTGGGCAAAGCAAGGTATATGCAGTAAGTAGGAGCTCAGCCTGGAGCCCTTGACCGCTAGGAGTGGAGTTGCAGCTGGGAATTGGTGGTTGTCTTCCCTGGTGGGGACTTCCTGGGGGCCTAGCTGCTGCTAAATTCTTAAGTGTTCAGCCTAGAAACCTTTCTTAGCCCATGCCTTCTTCAGTCAAAATAAAGTCTTCCATCCTCCCGTCTGAAAGCAGGTAATAGCCATGCCAAGTTTGCTTCTATTTATTTATCTATTTTGGCCATACTGGTGTTTGAACTCAGAGCCTTGAGATTGCTAGGCTGGCACTCTACCACTTGAACCACTCCTCCAGCCCTTTTTGCCTTAGATAGTTTTCAAATGGGGTCTCGTGTTTATGCCCAGGCTGGTCTAGGCTATGATCCTCCTATTTATGTTCCTTATGTAGCTGGGATTATAGGACTTGCCACCATGCCCAGCTTTTATTGCCTGAGATGGGGGGGAGGGGGCTTGCTAACTTTTTGCCCAAGCTAGCCTTGAACTGCAGTCCTCTGGATCTCATACTCCCAAGTAGGTAGGATTACGGTCATGAGCCACTAGGGCAGCACGTCTCGGCAGTTTTAGAATAGGCCTTTCCAAATTTGAAAAGAGTCCCCCATCTCTGCCTCTGGCCTACTCTGCTTTCCCTGCTTTCCTGGAAGAACAGATGGTACAGTGGCAAAATTATGGGCCTCGGATCTCAACAAACCACATATTAACTGAGACTGTGGTAAGGTGCTTAGTCTCCAAGGTCTCAATGTTTTCTCATAAGAAAAATAAAACAACAAAGAAAAAAAAAAAAGAAAACAGAGCTGGGGAGCTCAGTGGGAGCTCAGTGGTAGAGCACTTGCTAGTACGCATGAGGTCCTAGAGAAGAAGGGGGGAGGCAGCAAGGGAAGGAGGAAGGAAGGAAAGAAGATAAATGAAAAGAACCATGACCACCTTACAGGGGAGAGAATTTAGTAAGACAATAAAGTACCAAGCATTTAATCTGGCATATAGTAAATGCTCAATAAATGCTCCTTTGCTAGAGTAAACTTTTTTTTTTTTTTTTTTTAGCAGTACTGGGGTTTGAACTCAAGGCCTCATGCTTGCTAGATAGGCACTCTACCACTTGAGTCACTCCATCAGCATAAATGTTCCTTTGCCCTCTGAGCTATTCTTACCACTCTTGCTGTCAACAAACAGAAGCAGCAGACTGGCCTGTACCCCATCCACGTTCCAGGGGAATAAAAACCCCCCTCCTCAGGGACTTCCCTCTTGTAACAATCCATCCTTTTAAGGCTGGTATCAGGCCTGGCCCAGCAGGGATTAGAAGAGTTGGTGAGGAGCATGTGTGTATCCACTTGTGCACAGGGAGGTGGCATTATATGTACACACACGCCTGTGCCTATATGAGATGAGCAGAGGAAATCGTGTGACTGTGTGCACCCTCGCCTGTGCACACCTGAGGCCAGTGTATCCCTCTGTCCCTTCCTCCCCCCAGCTATGACCGCAGCACCTTGGCGGCCATCGTGGTGGGTGTGGGTCGCCTCATCACTGGCATGGACCGAGGCCTCATGGGCATGTGTGTCAACGAGCGACGACGCCTCATTGTGCCTCCCCACCTGGGCTATGGCAGCATCGGTGTGGGTGAGAAGGCTGGGACACAGGCATGGTGGCAGAGGCAGAATCAGGGACCCCAGGGTCAGAAAGCTGAAGCTCAGAGCCACAGAGTATCTTGGCCAAGGTCACACTGCACAATCTGATTAGTGGTGACTCTGTGGCCAGCATTTTGGTCTCCTGCGTCTAGGGTAAGAAGAGAGGGTGCTGAGACCCTGGGTGGGATCACAGCTTGGCTAGGAAGGAGCGGAAATGGGAGGGGGTTAGCAGGGCTCTCACACTCCCACCCCACCCCCCACAACCCTAGGGTTGCCACAAACTGCTGCTCTGCCCACAGCGGGGCTCATTCCCCCAGATGCCACCCTGTACTTTGACGTGGTCCTGCTGGATGTGTGGAACAAGGCAGACACGGTGCAGGTGAGCATCCTGCTGCGTCCACCCCACTGTCTCCGCATGGTGCAGGACAGCGACTTTGTCCGCTACCACTACAATGGCACCTTGCTGGATGGCACGGCCTTTGACAGCAGGTAGGGGCCCGGGGGGGACTGGAGCAGAGGGAGGGGCACCCAGGGCCCATCCTGCCTTGCCCACCTCCAGCAACACCACCTCTGCCTCACTCTTTGCAGCTACAGTAGGGATGGCACTTACGACACCTACGTTGGCTCTGGTTGGCTGATTAAGGGCATGGACCAGGGGCTTCTAGGCATGTGTCCTGGAGAGAGAAGGAAGATCATCATCCCTCCTTTCCTGGCCTATGGCGAGAAAGGATATGGTAAGGGCAGGCAGACTCATAGGACTATTCTCCGGAAGAGGGAAAACCAGGGTTCCACGTACAGTTGTTCAGGTTGTATACAGCACAAGGGCAGGGCTGGTGGAGTAGCTCAAGTGGTAAGAGCACCTGCCCAGCACAAGGGCATCCAGCCAAGAAGGCAAGTCGGAATTCAAATTAGCCTTTGGTGATTGTCTTACTAAGGGGTGCTTTATTCTGATTCATACAAAAGCTCAGTATAGACTGATGGTAGCCCTGGGAAAAACCCCAGCTCAGGCCTGAGAGGAGGAGCAAGAAATAGGGCTGTGGATGGGAAAGAGGGGCTCTGGAGAACAGAGCAGGCCTTTTTGCGTGGCGCCCACTTAGGCCTTCCTAAGCCTTGGTTTGCTCCCTCCTTGTATGGTTCAGGCCCTATCTCCTCCCCAGGGACTGTGATCCCCTCGCAGGCTTCCCTGGTCTTCCATGTCCTACTGATTGATGTCCACAACCCGAAGGACACTGTCCAGGTAGAGACGCTGGAGCTACCCCTAGGCTGTGTCCGGAAAGCCGCAGCTGGGGACTTCATGCGTTACCACTACAACGGCTCCTTGATGGACGGCACCCTCTTTGATTCCAGGTCAGGGGCATCCTGAGGAGAGAGGATGGGGGTTGGGGGGCTGCTCTGAGCTGTCTGTAAGGGGAAGGGCCCCTGTGACTTCTTCCCTGGCCCTCCCCACCTTGTTTTGCAGCTACTCACGCAACCACACCTACAATACCTATGTCGGGCAGGGCTACATCATCCCCGGAATGGACCAGGGGCTGCAGGGCGCGTGCATAGGAGAGCACCGGAGGATCACTGTCCCCCCACACCTAGGCTATGGGGAGAACGGAACTGGTAGGGTTGTTCCCAAACACACCCAGTCCCCATGGTACTGCAGCTTCTACCGACCCTCTCATGACAACAGTACATTTGCTTTATGTCCAGGCATCCTGTCCTACTCCTGCCACATGGACACTATCTCTTTCCTCCAGGGCAATCCCTGCTCCTGCTCCTATAGTGGAGAAGGGCAGCCAGCATCTGGGGACAGAGGGTGGTCATGGAAGAACAGACCTGAACACAGCGGGGAAAGTAAAGAGGCCCAAATTTGAGGCCTTGGGAGCCTCAGATCCTTATTCATCAACAGCATGAGTCACGGAGAGCCTGCAAAATGATGAGGATTGCCCTCCTGCCCCACTCACCCCAACATCAGGATATGGGAGGCAGTGACTGGACAAACAGACGCTGTCCTGTCCTAGAATCCCCAGGGTGAGGAAGGGCTGTCTGGTCTGGGTCCCACCTAGAGCCCTAGCTGACCCCCACCCTCACCCCGCCTCAGGAGACAAGATCCCTGGCTCTGCGGTGCTCATCTTCAACGTACACATCATTGACTTCCACAACCCTGCGGATCCAGTGCAAATTGAGACGCTGTCCCGGCCCCCTGAGACCTGCAATGAGACCACCAAACCTGGGGACTTCATTCGCTACCACTACAACTGCTCTCTGCTGGATGGCACCAAGCTCTTCTCCTCGTGGGTCCAGGGGAGGGCCAGGGCTGGGCAGGTGGGTGGGCACAGGTGTGAGCGACCTACTAACAGCACTCCAGACCCAGCTCCTCTCTCTCTGTCCCTAGAGTCTGTTGCTTCCCCGAGATTTGTGACTCCGAAGGGAAGAGAAGGTGGGGCTGGAGTAGGGGAATGTTTACATGTTATGAGGGACAACTGAAGCAGGGAGAGGAGCCCTCAGGGCCACAGGAGGGGCAGTGGCAAGATGAGAAGGGACCCTATGTCTCCACTCTTGGGCCTCTGCATTACTGGTGGGTGGGCTCTAGTGAGAGTGCCTCTGGAATTGGGGGCTTGTCTGGGCCCACCTGGAGGAGAGTGGGGTGTGAACTGGCAGGGGACTAGGATTGGTGATGATCTGCAAATCATTTCTCCCCAAGCCATGACTATGGGGACCCCCAAGAGGCCACCCTGGGAGCCAACAAAGTGATCGAAGGCCTGGACACAGGCCTGCAGGGGATGTGTGTGGGAGAGAGGCGGCAACTCATCGTGCCCCCACACCTAGCGCATGGGGAGAGCGGAGGTGAGAGGCAGAGACACAGATCCAACTGGAGTTCCATCCCTTTTGTCCCTACCTGTCTCAGGCATGGATGGCTGGTGGGAGGGTGGTTCTGTAAACATCCCATGCCTCACTCTCCAGCCCCCAGCCAGAGAAACTGAAGCGCACCGGAAGGCTGCAAAGCCAGGCCCACTCCCTGCCTCAATAAGACCCTTCTCTACTTCCCTTCTTCCTCCCTCTCTCCAGCCCGGGGTGTCCCTGGCAGTGCTGTGCTGCTGTTTGAGGTGGAACTGGTATCCCGGGAGGACGGACTGCCCACAGGCTATCTGTTTGTGTGGCACCAGGACCCTCCCACAAATCTATTTGAAGACATGGACCTCAACAAGAATGGAGAGGTTCCCTTAGAAGAGGTGGGTTAGGAGCTCAGTCACAGCACCCTCATTAGGAAGCTAGCGTACATGATGCATGTAGCGAGCGTGCAGGGCACACCCACCCTCCTGCCACCCACCCTGCAGCCCGTATGCTGAGCCACACACCTTCCCTTCTTTGCCCTGCCTTTCCTTCCTACCCATATGCAGCCTGTTGCCCCACCTGGCTGTCACTGATCTGACTGGCCCCAGGCCACAGCCTCCCTGCACTAACACTGTCTTCTCTCAGGCCTTAACTGAGTTGGGTGGGAAGTAGGCTGGTCGGGATTAAAAACACACGCTTGGTCTCCACCTGGGGCCCTTCCCATGGTCATTCACAGCTGCTCCACCACCACGACTCACGCCCTGTCCTCCCTTGGCTCTCTCCTTCCCCAGTTCTCCTCCTTCCTCAAGGCTCAAGTGAATGAGGGCAAAGGACGCCTCTTGCCTGGGCAGGACCCCGAGAAAATCATAGGGGACATGTTCAAGAACCAGGACCGCAACCAGGATGGCAAGATCACAGCCGAGGAGCTCAAGCTGAAATCTGATGAAGACCAGGAACGGGTCCATGAGGAGCTCTGAGGGCAGGGAGCCTGGGCCTGGCCTCAGATACTAAGGCCCTCTGCTAGGGGGCACAGTGGCAGTGGAACTAGCCTGCCCCAAGTCCCTAGCCTTCTGCTGGGATAACTCTGGGAGCCATGGGGACAATGTCAGGGGAGACTGCCCGGCCTTCCCACCAGCCCTGGATTACAGTCCGCAGAGCAGGCCTCTTTGCCACTTTTCTCTTCCAACTCCAAATCCTTAAGATACTTGGAGCTACAAAGCCAATTGGGGGGCAGTGGTGGTGATATCTGGGATTGGCTAGAACCATTGCTGGAACCACATCCGCACCTCCCATTCACATCACTAAATTCCTAGCAAGGCCGAGATCCTCATTTCCTGATTTCCACAAACTGCCCTGTTTGTAATGTCCCTCACCATCCCTGCCCCAAAACCCCATTCCATGGTCATGGCAGCTCCCTGGGACATGAATCAGACCTGGGAGGTCTTACAACCTCCTTCCTCAGCTCTGCTTGGCTCCTAGGGAAGGGATGGCCCCAGGAGGGCAACCCTGCCACACCAGTCAGCTGGCCCTTCTCACTCCTCACCCAGGCACTGGAGGTCAGGGCTGGGCTCTGCATAGCCTTTCATCCTTAAAGAAGGTTCCTTTCTTTAAGGAACCACAGAAGAAAAGCTGTGTGAGGAAACCTGCTTAGATGGGCTTTAGGGCTATGAAAATATTGGCATTTGGTGTTAATTTGGAGCTGAAGGGTGGGTGGCAGGGAGGTGGGCAGACCTCTGGACACTCAAAAAGCTAAACTGGTGTTTGATCCCTTTCTCCTTTGTGTCAATAAAAGGTTAAACCACAGGCCTCAGGAGGTAGTCTTTAAGCAGCCAGGGTCTGTGTGGCAAGGACTTCTTTTTTTTTTTGGAGACAGGGTATCACTATGTAGTTCAGACGGGCTTTGAACACACTATGTAATTGTGTTCCGACTAGCCTTGAACTTGAAATCCTGTCTCCACCTCCCAGGTGCTGGGATTACAGGTGTGAAACACCACACCCAGCATGGCTAGTTCTTTTTCTTTTTTGGCAGCTTGGCAGCACTGGGGCCTCACACTTACTAGGCAGGAGCTCTTACTACTTGAGCCACTCCACCACTGACCATCCAAGTCAACAGAGAGAGGAGGGACAGCTGATAATGTAAGATACTAGTGCCTAAATTACTTCTGTCTCACTCTGCACATGATCCCGCAGGGTCCCAATCTCAAGCACCTTTCAGGACGTCTATTTTGGTGACCCTTGGCCAAAAAAACAGGAGAAAGGAGCCAAGGACATCAGGAAAAATCCACTCCTGAATGGATCCCCTTGGGAATACTTAATAAGGAGGCTCTCAGACAGTGTCACCTCAATCCAACTGATCCCAACTGAATTTCATCTCTGATGGCTGCATCAGAATTATCTCACCTCATTCCAGGTCAGAATCATAGCCTCCTAACCCCACCCACCCTCCCTCATCAGCACAGACCCACCCAGGCTGTACTCAGATGGCTTCTGCGCTGCTTCACTATGGTTCTCAAACTTTGAAGCCCAGAGGCTTCTCGGAGGTTCCTGTGTGTGTCCAGGGCCAAGAGGTTAGGCTCTCCCCCACTTGCCCCTAACCCACTTACACACACCCTAAATCAGAACAGCTTTGTCTTTTCATTTGTTACCTTTACTCTTTTTACACATTATATATTTCTGAAGTATAGCTTCCCATGTTTACAAAAAAAAATTTTGTTTTTCCTCTTTTGGTATTCTGGGATGGAATCCAGGAACTCGCACATGCTAGGCAAGTGCTCTACCACTGAGCTACATTCCCAGCCCTAAAAAAATTTTTAAAAAGAATCCCTGAATTGGATGACCATAGAATGGTGACATGCTGTGGTCCACAGTTCATCTTGAACCATACTTACTGGCCTGGGCCTACCTCAAACCTCTGGTAACCAGGAAGAAGGCAAAGGCATGGGGGGAGGAGAAGGCAGGGAGGGGAGGGCCACCAGCTCTGGGCCACCCTGCACTTTTCTCTGCTCACAGCACAGTGGTACCGTGGGGAGGCGCTCTTCCTCCTCATGCCTGCAGTCTGGCAGAGGCCTGCGCCCTTAGGTGCCCTGCATCTCCATGTGGTCCCCCTGGCTCAGGATATACTGCAGCAGCCCGTTGACCACGTCCAGTGTCTCGTCCTTCTCCAAGACAATGTCATAGGAATCCATATAGCACTCCCGCTGTTCCTCCACCTGCCCAGGGAAGGAGAATGAGAGTCCCCAAAATGCCCTGCCCTGGGTCTCCTGCTCTGAAGCATGGTGGAGCTGGGCGCAGCAAGCAGGACTCCCCAGCTCCCTTGTGAATGCCCGAGTTCAAGGTTACAGAGACCTATCTTTTGGAGACACAAATGGGCAGGCAGGAGAGGGACACAGGCTACCACAATTAACCCCCTTAGTCAGTGTCAAAAAGACAGTGACAAGGCTTAAAAACAAAAGCCTAGGTGCTGGTAAACTCACTGGTAGAGCACTTACCTAGCATGGGCAAGGCTCTGGGTTTGATCCCCAGCACCAAAAAAGACAGAAAGAAAAGAAAAGGCCAGATATGATCTCTGACCTATTCAGGCTGAATTTTCATTATGGCTCAAGCATCTGGCAGAGTCCAGTCCCTGATGGTAGAGATGAAGCACTCTGGTAGCTTCCATGCCTGACTCTGTACTTTGTACTTTTAGGACCACGCTATTCCATCCCTCTAGTCTCTGGTCTGTTCTTGCTATTTTTCCTTCTCTAACCTATAACCCCACATTCTGAATATCAGCACCTCCCCTCCCAGTCATGCTTCGTAGATATGACTTAGGAAGACTGGTTTTCAGCCCCACTGCTCCCTAAACTATGGGATTTGGAGTGTTACTTCACCTCCTTACCTCACTTTCCTTATCTATCAAATGAGGGTAAAAGTCACTACTGAAAGGATCGCTGTAAGAATTAAATGGGTGGAGGTCTGTGACATGCTTAGCACGGAGCCTGACACGTGGTGAGCACATCATAGAAGCGATGATGACAGGCCACCAGCCTACCATCCAGGCCATGTGGTAGAGCACACAGTAGTAATCGCTCGACATTTCCTATGAGATTGCATGCTCTGAAAAACTATGGCTGTGTCTCACCCCTGTTGATCTAGCCATGTAAGGTATTCAAGAGCAACTGTTGACAGGAATTCCCACGAAGACAGGAAGCGCTAGCCTCTGCCTACCTTGTCATTTAGGAATCCAATCTTGAGAATGTTCTGCACCCCAGGAATCCCATCAGCCATAGTGAGGTCCCCCATGGAATCTCCAAGCAGGAGGATGTTGGTTTTGCCCTGAAGCTGCTGGAAGTAACTGGAGTTCTCACACACACAGCTGTTCTTGTTGTACGTGTGGATGAGCTGGCCCTTGAATCCCTGTAGGAAACCCTAAACCACCCAGAAAAAGAGAGACAGCAGGGCTGTAAGGAATCTGCTCTCTGTCACAGAGGAAAAGGAGTTCTGAAAGCCATAAATAATACCGAAACTTCACATAGACTAAAGTAGGGGCTGGCCAACCATGGGCCCATGGGCCACATTTGCCCTCAATTTGTTTTTCCTTTATTCTTTTGGCCTGGATTTGTAAACGAACTTTTTCTGGACCACAGCACACTCATTATCTGTTTACAAACTGACTATGGCTGCACTGGGCACTAACAGTGAAGTTCAAGAGGCCACAAAGCCTAAAATTCTTACTGTCTGGCCTCAGAGGGAAGGTGGGTGCGTCCTCCTTTAAACAAACAGGGGTCATTAAATATTACCGATAATCTCTTCTGGTGGAAGCATGGTAAATAGCGCTGTTCATTTGGGCTGGGGGTGGAGCTCAGTAGTAGAGCACTTGACTAGCATGCACCAGGCCCTGGGTCCATCCCCAGCACTCCTTGGTGGGGGAAGGGTGGAGAGTGCCACTGAGGTCCCAGGTGTGTTAGCACTCCGTTGTGGACCACATCCTAACCACAATCAGAGTGATAAAAATTCTGCTATTGGTTTTAAGAGGAAGGAGTGGGAACACAGAATGGCCCATCTCTGGCTCTAGAAAAAGAAATCAAAGTCTAAGCCTTTCAACACCCGGGAATGCACAGGACCCACAATAGTGACCCAGGGCTGGACTGACCCATAAACTAGGTCCCCACGGCAAGAGAGCTGACTATTGGCCAGATACCAAAGAGAAGGTCCTTTGAAAGTAACCCATAAATCCACACACATGCTAGTCCCAGCTTCTTGGGAGGCCGAGATAGGAGGACTGCTTGAACCCAGGAATTGAGGGCCAGCCTGGGCAACACAGCAAGACTCTGGCTCGAAACAGAGTAACCCATAAATGCCCACCCAAGAACAAAGAAAACCAGTACGCCTCCCTCGCTCTCTCCCAGGTGAGGGGTCAAGTGCAGAGTAAAGCCCACAGACTGGCGGGCCCCGCTGCTCTCCCTTCCCAGCCTGGATGAGATGTGCCTCACGTCTTCACTGAAGTCCATGTAGTTAGACACAATGTGGATGTTAGGGTGGAGCACTTTCATCTGTCGGATAATTTCTTCCAGGATGTCTCCAATGCCGGCAGAAAAGATGAAAAGAGGAATGTTGTTTTGACAGAGTGTGTTGAAGAATATCTTATACCCCTCCCTGCAAAGAGAAGAAAGAATTCTAAAAAGACACTGCTTTTCCTATCTTTTTTTTTTTTTTTTTTCTTAGATGGGACTGGGGTTTGAACTCAGGACTTTGTGCTCACTTGAGCCACACCTCCAATCCATTTTGCTCTGGTTATTTTGAAGATGGGATCTTCAAACTGTTTGTCCAGACTGGCCTGGAACTGTGATCCTCCTGACCTCAGGCTCCCAAGGAGGTAGGAATACAGGTGTGAGCCATCAGCCATCAGCACCCAGCACTACTGTTCTTTATTCCTACTTGGGCTAGGTATTTAAAATTTTTTTCTATTTTGCTTTTATTTTTGTTTTTTGAGGCAAAGTCTCACAGTGTAGCCCAGGCTGGCTTCAGACTCTTGATCCTTCTGCCTCAGTCTCCCAACTGCTAGGAAAAAATTTCTTTAAAAAAACATAACAAAAAAACATTTAAAATGAAGGTATATGGGGACTGGGGACTTGACTTAAGTGGTAGAGCGTCTGCTTAGCAAGTGTGAGGCCCTGAGTTCAAACCTCAGTTCTGCCAAAACAAATATAAATAAACAAATAAAACTGAAGTATACAACATGCACAGTTAGTTATTAAAGTGTGCCAATCTTCAGCGCTCAGCTCAATTTTCATGTGTGTATACACTGACGTCACTACTAACCAGATCAAGGTTCCTTCATTTTGACTTTATGTTACCATTTGTTAGCTCAGGCTGCTCTTGAGCTTCATATAAATGGAGTCATACAGAATGTGTTCTTTTGTAGGAGACAAATGGCTCCAGCTTATTTTGCTCAGTATAATGTCTGTGATTTATACATGGTTTTTCCCCCAGTGTACTGGGGATTGAACCCAGGGCCTCATGCTGCTAGGCAAGTGCTCTACCATTTGAGCTATACCTCTAGTTTTTGGTTTTGAGATAGGGTCTCTATCTGGCCTTGAACCCATAATACTTCTGCTTAGGTCTCCCCATGTTTTGCACTTGATGTGTAATTCATTCTTGTCATTGCTATGTAGTAGTATTATTCCATCATGTAAATATGCTACAACTGACCTAAGCCAGGACACCTGAGATGTTTCCAGATTTCAGTTTCTATGAGCAAACCCTATGCACGCAGTGGTGGCCGTATGCACTTACTGCTCTCGGGCATTTACCTAGGAGATGAACTGTGGAAGAGGAAGGGAGGCACCTGCCTTCTGTCACTGTTCATACAACCAGGCAGTTCTCTTGGGATACCTTTGATAGGGTTCTCCACATCTACCTTGGGCTGCACACATCTCTACTCTCTTGCCTTTCCAGGAGTTAGCCTCTCTTCTCAATAAGGATACATAACCTAAGGGCAGGCACCTATGTGGGTCTTCCTCTAAACCTCTCTCCCTCCTCCAGGAAAGAAGGCTCCAGCACAGAGGGGCTCTGTTAAGGCTGCTGCTGATCAATGGTCCTGGCCTAGCCAGCTCCCATGTTTGGGTAAAGAACACCAGTCATTCAGAGGGACCCCAAAACTCTTTACCAGTTTGAAAAATGAGCTGGACATGGGAGATAAAGCCTGCCCATTCTGCACTGCATCTCCCGGCAGCAGGTGGCTCTTGGGGTTGGGCTCTCCAGCCACCAACTACACTGTCCTCCCTAGCTTCCTTTGTATGCATGAAACCGTTTCAGACTTTTTCTCCCCAGTACTAGGGATGGAACCCAGTGCCTCACATATCTACCTCTGAGCTACACCCCCAGCCCACAAGACAATTTTAAATAGCTGGGCATCCTGGCTCACTCCTATAATCCTAACTACTCAGGAGGCAGAGATCAGAAGGATCACAGTTCAAAGCTAGCCTGGGCAAATAGTTTGCAAGACTCCAGACAAAAAAGGACAGGCGTAATGGCTCACGTGACAGAGCACCTGCCTAGCAAGCCTGAGTTTGAGTTCAAACCCAGCATTATCCCCATTCAAAAAGAACAGTTTCAAATAGTCCGAGGGAAGTGCTTCCAGAGAAGTTCACCTGAGCATTGCAGTGGACTCTCCGACCACCTGTGCTAGCTGAGACTTCTGAATCCTCTGCTGACACAAAAGGTTGTGCGCCTTGGTCCACCTAGGAGCAGATAGCCATGAACCCCAAATTCCAATCACCTAGAGAAGCAAGTGTCCCTTCCCTTGTCCCCTCTGGTAGCACCAATGAGGGGCAGAGGGTAGGTACATCCTTTTTACAGAGTCATATCCTGAAGGACTTTGCCATCAACCAGAGTTGGCTAAGGAAATCAAAGCTCTTATGACTTCTCTCCCCCATGAGCCCTGGTTTCTAAACAGGTTGCTATAGTATGAATGTGTCTCCCAAAGTTTATGCACTGGAAACTGGATCCCAATGCAGAGGGACTAGGAGGTGGGGCCTAATGGGAGGTATTGGGTATAGATTGATGCCATTATCACAGGAGTTGGTTGTTATAAAAGGCAAAGTTCATCCCTCTCTTTCTTGCCCTCTCTTTTTTCTTTTTTCTTTTTTGTGGTATGGGGTTTGAACTCAGGGCCTACACCTTGAGCCACTCCACCAGCCTTTTTTTGTGATGGATTTTTTTGAGATCCTCCTGATCTCTGTCTCCTGAGTAGCTAGGATTATAGGCATGAGCCACCAGTGCCCAGCTCTTGCCCTCATTTGAGATCACACAACATGAGAGCCCTTCACCAGATGCTGGTCCCTTGATCTTGGGCTTCCCACCCTCCAGAACCACAAGACAAGAAATTTCTGTTTGTTATAAGTTACCCAGTCTGTGGTATTCTCTTACAGCAGCACAAAATGGACCATGTGGACAGTTTGTTCTAATAGCTGGGTGAGTGGCATTGTTAGTTAAGCCCTCAGAAAGATAAGGGAGCCTGTCAACTCACGGAAGCTCTGGAAAAACATGCACGGCCCAGCCCACTCCATCCTCAGGGAACAGGAGTACTTCCTCGCCAGCATCACTTACCACTCCACCATATGTGGCAACTTTTCTTTGATAGGCCGGTGTGGGTCAATCTCAATGGGGTAATAGTGGTGAAAGAGTGCCGCGAGCTGGGACAGTCACACGAAAAGCCATTAGTATACATCAGGTTTCCACCTGCAAAGTCTTACAGCTCAGAGTAAGAGGAAAAACTAGAGGTTGCAACTTACTACAAGAGAGTATTCATTTTCTCCAAGTTTTCATTTGGGGACACATCGGTGTATAAGACTCAAATTTCTTCTCTTGTTCTCATCTACTGCTCACAATTACTTATTTGATAAAGTCCAGACTTTATCAGACATTCATTCCTCTGCATTTGCCCTGAGAGTGAGGTCTAAGAATTAGCAATGTGATCCAGGCATGGTGATGCATACCTACAATCCCAGCACTCAGGAGGCTGAGGCAGGAGGATCGCGATTGAGGTCAGTCTGGACTACATAGGAAGACTCTGTTTAAAAAAAAAAAAAAAAGAAAAGGTACCAGGCACTGGTGGCTCATGCTTGTAATCCTAGCTACCTGGGAGTCTGAGATCAGGAAGATCACAGTTCCAGGCCAATTGTGGCAAATAGTTCCCAAGGCCCCATCTTCAAAATAACCAGAGCAAAACTGACTAGAGATGAGGTTCATATAATAAAGTGCCTGCTTTTACAAGCAGGAAGAACTGAGTTCAAACACCAGTCCCACCAGAAAAAAAAGAAAAGAAAAAAAAAGTCATACACATATGCAACAAAAAGACAAAAAACATGAAAGTAGGGCTGGGGATGATGCAGATCAGTGGTACAGTGCTTGCCTAGTATGTATGAGGCCCTGAGTTTGAGCCCTAGCGCTGCATGGACTTCCTCTGGCTAAGGTTTCCTTCCACACACCAGGACTTTTGAGACTCTAGGGCAGCTACTTCAAGGATCATGTGTTACATGAGTAACACATGGGCAGTAAGAGTGCCCAGTAAAAACGAAAACTGACAGAGTAAAGCACTTTAGCTGAGCACCAGTGGCTCAGCTTGTAATCCTAGCTACTCAGGAGACAAGAAGTCAGGAGGATCGTGGTTCAAAGTCAACCAGGGCAAATCGTTCTCAACACTCTATCTCGAAAAAAACCATCACACAAAAAAGGCTGGTGGAGTGACTCAAGGTGTAGGCCCTAAGTTCAAACCCTAGTACTGGAAAAAATAAACTGCAAAAAAAAAAGAATTTTAATAAACCTGGCATTAGTGGCTTGTACCTACAATCTTAGCTACTTGGGAAGATGAGATTGGGAGGATCTTGGTTTGAGGCCTGCCTGGGCAAATAGTTTTCAAGACCCTATCTCCAAGATAACCAGAGCAAAAGGCACTGAAGGGGTGGTCAAGTGGTAGAATGTCCGTAAGCATAAAGCCCTGAGTTCAAACCTCAGTCCCACAAAAAAAAAAAAAAAAAAAGAATCACCAAAAAGAAGAATGTGAATAACCATACTGTGGGTGTGGTTCAAATGGTACCACACCTTGTACTTCCTGCCTGGCAAGTACTGAGTTCAAGCCCTACTGTCAACAAAAAAAATTCTTAATAATCACATGGTCTCAGAACTATTATGTGTTCAAATGAAGTCTCTACCCATTTGTCTGAAAAACGATTACACAGTAACCTTGCAGGGGAGAGGAAAGGGGGGTGGTGGTGGGGCGGGGGAGAAATGGCCCAAATAATGTATGCACATATGAATAAATGAATAAAACAAAACAAAAAAAATTACACAGTAACAAAGGCTTCTAAAATGTATTAAGACTCTCAGTGTTAGCTGGGGATGTAACTCAGTTGATAGACGGCCTGGTGTGCATGAGGCTCTAGGTTCAATCCCAACCATGTACCTGAATAAGATTCTCAATGTGCATGTGTTTTTTGGAATGTAAGAATGTTTTTCTAAACGTATACTAGAACTCAAAAAAAAAATGTAATTTTTAAAAATAAAAAAGAGGAGTCTAGGGATGTCGTTCAGAGGTACAGCAAATGCTTAGTAATTTCGAGGCCCTGGGTCAATCTTCAGCACCAAAAAATTTTTTAAAAAACTGGAAAGATTGACCCGTATGAGAGACCAATAGACCAGACAATGTGCAATTTTTGTGAATAATGAAGTGGAATTAAATGATATAGTTATTTACCCACAAAGCTATAAAAGTATGTACCATGGCTCTGTTCTGGTAAGAGGAGGGGGTACTGATGGGAACAGCCTGGAGCAAGGTGAAGCCAATGACCAAGGCTCTAGAGGTACTGTCACCATATGTGTACACATCTTATGGAAACGGGGGTTACATATGTATTGACATTAACTCAGAAATTTCTTGGGATCTATTGCCTTACCAAGAAAGTTGTATCATCAAGGAGAAAGCATAATACAGCCAAAAGAGTTTGGGATAGAATTAATCTAAGCAAAAACTCAGCTGTTTGAATTTAGGTTAGACATACAACCTCTCCAAACACCTATTTTCTCCTCTGTTAAATGGAGGCAATAACTCCATGTTCTGGAGTTGCAGAAGGGTTCAATAGCATAACATCCAAGTCTCTTACAAACCTGATAGCTAACAGTAAGCACAATGTCCATATTCTAATCATCAACCATCATGCCTCAGACTTGTGTCCAGACTAGACCCTCCTGAGCTACTGATGATTTTAAAAAGATAGGAACTTTCTAAGATCTGTGCTGGAAACTTTGGTTCCAAGCAGGAACCATCTACAGTAGCCATTTCTGAGGAAAGAAGGGACGTGACCCACCTCTTTTCGACACTCCTCACTGATGATCTTGCTGTTATCCAGAATATCTGGAAAAATATAAAACTCCTTTTTGTTTGCCCCTTAGAAGATGTCCTCTTGACAAATCCAGCAAGGCAAGCTAGGATGTGACTTACTGTAGGAAGAAGGGCATCTCTTTCCATTATATGCAAACCTGCTCAAGGTCATGTCAAAATCAGAAATCACCTAAGAGGCAAAAAGAGAGATGATGGAACTTTCTCCAGTGGCCCTGTCTCGGCCAGTCTAAGTGGCCCAGGGACCACCTGGGGACAAAACTCTCCGGGCATAAGGAAGGACAGAGAGGGGCCAGGAAAGAAGTGATCCTGGTTAGGAAAGCCCCAGTGACTGAGGGGGTGTGCGGGGGTGGTCTTGGGGGGTGAGGCTTGGGGGGTGGTACTGGGCGCCGGACGCGGGGGGGAGGGGAGTGTGGGAGATTGTGGGGTGAGGCTCCAATTGGCATCCCTCCAATGCATAGAGCTCTTCCTAATGTGTCCCCACCTTTAGGGCCATCTCTGTATCTTCAATTTCTTGGGGAGCCCGCAGGCCTGGGACTTTCCAGGTGTGTTTTCTTGAGAGGTAGCGGCGTGACCATATTGAAAACCTCGAAATCTTGGTTTTTAGGACAGCGGGCTCTCTCCCAAGGTGAACCACCTCGCTGGCCTTCAGGACGCTGGTCATGTCCTCCAGAGCGAGGCGGGAAGGCCGCTGGGCAGGCACCCTCCCGCTGTCCCGCCCCGGTCGGTCCCCCTCTCCCCGGTACCTGCAGCCGGTCTCCCCCGCCCCGGCGGAGAGCGCCCACGATCTCCTGCACCCGCTGGGGCTGCCGCATCAGGACCGTGGCCTTCATCAGGGTGCCCACCTGTCGCGAGATCCAGGACAATCGCTGACCCCCGTGCCGCGCCGAGCCCCGGGTTACACGGCCTCGTGGCGCCGCGAGGAGCTCTGGGCCCTCCGTCCGCCCGACGCCCTCCTCCGCCTCACCTCGTCCGCCATCTCTAGAGTGGCCCGGTGCAAGGCTCCGAGGACCGCGACCGCACTGCGCAGGCGTCGCCAGCCGCCCGCCAGGCAGGACAGGGAGCTGGCGCTGGGCGCGGGCTGGAGAAACTCGTGGCGGTTCTATTGTGAGCAGGAGGGGGAGGGCCCCAAGGCACCGGTGACGCACGTGGGCCAGGCAGGCCTGGCGCCTTGCGTGCCCGCCTGCCGTGCAGCTCCTTCTGGCTCAAAAACGCTAGCAACAGTGGCCATGTAGGTCCTGAGTTCAAACCCCAGCACAGCCAAAACAAAAAAGTGGTTATTTCAGAGCTGGGGCTCAGTGGTAGAGTGCTTGACTAACAAGTGTGAACACCCATCTCTGGCAACTGAGGAGAGAGGGAGTGAGGGAGGAAGGAAAGGAGGAAGGAAGGAGGGAGGAAGGGAGGAAGGAAGGTCGGAAGGAATTCATTCCAGTATTTTTTAGGTTGAGGATACATCCAGGAGGTGCATCCTTAGCTGGGTCCCTTCTCACCATCATCACAGAAGAACAGTGAGCTACCCACACATCCAGGGGATTGGAAGATCCTAGACAGCTGGACAGTGTGAGATTTAAATCAGCTTGGCTTCTCCCGCTGCCCCTGATGACTTGGAGTTCCTTGAACTCTCTGTGGGAAGCACCAGGGAACTGTGGATGTTGCAGGGGTGTGGACCCAGGCAACCTGAAGAGGGCAACAGGAAGTAGAATCAATAAAAGCTCTACTGTGGTGTCAGTGGTCACAATTCTGCTGTGGGTCAGAGGACACAGAGGTGTAGTGTGTGGTTTTCTGTCTGGGATGTCATTGGGGGAGGGGAGAGGAAGGAGCAGGGACTGGAGCGAATTCCAGAATCCGAGAGCACAATCCTGAGCATGATCTCACTGCAGGCACAGGATTCTGGAACTTGGGCTGCCCATGGGCCCTATATGAAAGATGTAGTAGGGAAAAGGAGCGACAGCTGGCTAAAGGGGCCCCCCCACAACCCTCCCCGACACCCCAGGAGAGCAGCCTCTCTCCGCTGGTCCCAGGGTGCCATGGAGATGGAGAGCACGGCGGCCTCCACACGGTTCCACCAGCCTCACATGGAGAGGAAGATGAGTGCGATGACCTGTGAGATCTTCAATGAGCTTCGGCTAGAGGGCAAGCTCTGTGATGTGGTCATCAAAGTCAATGGCTTTGAGTTCAATGCCCACAAGAACATCCTCTGTAGCTGCAGTTCCTACTTTAGGTACAACAGGGTACTGAACTAAGCCAAGGGGGAACTGGCTTCCTCTTGAGACCTTTTGATCCATTTTCTGTTTCCCATTCACCGTAGGGAACTCTGGGCTCCCGTAGCCTGGTTCCATTGTCTTCTGAAGAGGCACAACTGGGACAGAGCCTCTTTTCTCTGATTTTCATCTGGACTTCAATTTCTGGTGGGCCAGGTGCTTTCTTCTTTGATCCTAACCCAAATCAACCTTTGGTGGACACCTATACTGGATTTCCTACTTATACTCAAAAGACAATACTACTGTTGTGTCCCTTCTGCTCCTGTCCCAGTAGAGAGCATTTGAAACAGGGTGCTAAATTAACAAGCATGGAGGGGAGGGGAAGGAGATGAAGGACAAGTACCCAGGATGTTCTTATCAGAAGAAAGAGGGGAGTTTGGGGCAAACTATGCAATCCAGGAAGTGGAAGGGCTATGTTGTTTATGAGCTGAAAATGTCTGCAAAGTCAATTCCAATGAAGATTTGATAAATGTGTCTCACCTGTTGCTAAAAACTCTCATTCATCTAGACCCTAGAGCAGGGTCCACAAAAAGACCAGATAGTAAATACTTTAAGCTATATAGGCCATGTAATTCCTGTAGCAACTCCTTAGCTCTGTGAACAGAGAGAGCAGCCACAGGACTAAGTGAGGGGCTGTGGCAGTGTCCCAATAAAATTATTTATGGACACTGAAAATTCGATTTAATTTTAGGGTGCCACAAAATAGTCTTTTGATTCCCGCCCCCCCAGCCACTTCAAAACGTAAAACAGCACCACACTGTCCTTATCTTGTAGGCAGTATGGTAGGCTGCATTTGGCATAGGGTTTTCAGACTTCTGCTCCTGAAGAAGAATCTCTAAGCCCATATTCCTTACACCTTTTAGAAAAAAGAACAAAGGCCAGACACTGGTAATCCTAGCTGCTGAGAAGGCAGAGATCAGGAGGATCATGGCTAGAAACCAGCCTGGGCAAATAGTTTGGGAGACCCTATCTCAAAAAAAAAAACCAACACAAAACAAGGCTGGTAGAGTGGCACAAGTGGTAGAGCGTCTGCCTAGTGCAAGCCTAGCAAGTGTGAGGCCCTGAGTTCAAACCCCAGTACTGCAAAAAAAAAAAAAAAGGAACAAAAGTGTATACTAGGGCAGGGATTCTGTCCTATTAAATACCTAGAAAAGTACCTAGTTATACAGTAGGAATCCACTGCACAGTTGTGGAATGGCAGTCATTCGATTATTCAATTTTTTTTTTTGTGGTACTGGGGTTTGAACTCAGGACCTACTAAACCTTAAGCCACTCCACTAGCCCTTTTTTTGTGATGGTTTTTTTCAAGATAGGGTCTTGTGAACTATTTGCCCAGGCTGGCTTCAAATCGCAATCCTCCTGATCTCTGCCTCCTGAGTAGCTAGTCATCATAAATTATTGATTTATTGAGTGCCTATTTTGTGACAGGTACTATTCTGGGTACTGGAAAGAAAACAATGAATAAAGAGGTAAACATTCCTGATCTCATGAAGCTTAACTTCTAGTAGGGAGAACAGGCATTGAGTGAGTGAAATATCTGTCAGATGATAAGTGCTATGGAAAAACAAAAGGAAGATAGGAAGTAGTAATTTTAAATAGGATTGTCGAGAAGGCCTTGCTGATAAGATGACATTTGAACAAAAAGACCTCAAGGGGGAGAGGGTATGAAAATATACAGGTCTGGGGGATCCTTCCAGGCAGAGGAAAGAGCAAGTACAAAGGTAGAATTACCTCTGGTGCTCAAAGAACAGCAAGGAGGCCAGTAGGGCTGGAACAGAAAGAGAGGGTTGGAGGGGAAGGTGGGAGCAGAAAGGGCAAAGAGATTCAGATCTCAGAGGGCTTTTGTAGTTCCTGGTAAGAACTTTGTATTTCACTCTGAATAAGAGGGAAATCAATGGAAGGGCATTTTGTCTGTGTGTGTGTGTGTGTGTGTGTGTGTGTGTGTGTGTGTGTGTGTGTTTGGTTTTATTTTTTGACAGTACTGGGGTTTGAAGTCAGGGTCTCATACTTGCTAAGCAGGCTCTCTATCGCTTGAGTCACTTCAGTAGCCCCCTGATCTCTGCCTCCAAAGTAGCTAGGATTATAGGCGTGAACCATTGGCGTCTGACTTCTATCCCCATTTTTGTAACTCAGAATTCATAGGCTGTCACTCTGGGACTGGAGGGGTGGCTCAAGTAGTGCCTGCCTGTGATCAATCTGGCTGCTGGGCTAAGACTATAAACACTAGACGGTCAAGGGCAGAAGCGGATAATCTCAGCTAGAGATGGTGGTGGCTTGGATCAAGGAAGTAGCAATAAAAAGGCAAAAAGTGATCAGATTCTGAATACGTGTTGATTGTTATTTATTTAAGTTTATCCTTAAGCTTAATTTTCTTTAAGGAAGAATATAGTGGGTAATGGGTTAAAACAGAAAAGACCTGGGTTTTCCCATTCTAGATCTCAATTTCTCCATCCAAAAACTAGAAAAAAGACCTAGTTATCATGAAGTGAGAGTGAGCAAGTCAAACTTCCTGGAAAGGTTCTCTTCTTGCCCAGTATATAAAGCACTTGTTTGTATCCCACTTCCTCAGACCAATTTATTTCCAACATATTCACCATGCACCATTTGTAAAACATCCTCCTCAAGAAGAAAAGGAAGTGTGGGAGTAGGACATGGAACAGAGAGAAAGGTTTCCATGGCTGCTAGTTTCTTTCTTTTTTTCCAGAGCTTTGTTTACAAGTGGCTGGAACAACACTGAGAAGAAGGTTTACAACATTCCTGGCATTTCCCCTGACATGATGAAGCTAATTATTGAGTATGCCTATACACGGACCGTGCCTATCACCCCGGACAATGTGGAGAAGCTGCTGGCTGCTGCAGATCAATTTAATATCATGGGTATTGTTAGGGGTTGCTGTGAGTTCCTCAAGTCGGAGCTGTGTTTGGATAATTGTATTGGCATCTGCAAGTTCACGGACTACTACTACTGCCCTGAGCTGAGGCAGAAGGCCTACATGTTCATACTGCACAACTTCGAGGAGATGGTGAAAGTCTCAGCAGAGTTTCTGGAGCTCTCAGTCACTGAACTTAAGGATATCATTGAGAAAGATGAGCTCAATGTCAAACAGGAAGATGCTGTGTTTGAAGCCATTTTAAAGTGGATTTCTCATGACCCCCAAAACAGGAAACAGCACATTTCAGTTTTGCTTCCTAAGGTCAAGTTTAGTTATTCTTTGCAAATGCTTACTTGCTCACTCTATTTTTTTTTCTTTTGGTGGGACTGGGGTTTGAACTCAGGGCTTTGCACAGGCAAAGCAGATGCTCTGCCGTTTGAACTACACCCCTGTCCATTTTGCTCTGGCTATTTATTTTTATTTTTTTTTTGACGGTACTGGGGTTTGAACTCAGGGTCTCATGCTTGCTAGGCAGGTGCTCTACCACTTTAGCCACTCTGAAGGCTTGCTCTGGTTATTTTGGAGGTGGGGTTTCACAAACCATTTGCTGGGGCTGGCCTTGAATTGCGATCCTCAAGTTTCCCAAGTAGCTAGTGCTAATTGCTCATTCTCTCTCTCTTTTTTTTTTTTTTTTTGCCATACTGGAGCTTGAACTCAGAGCCTACACCTTGAGCCACTCACTCCACCAGTCCTTTTTTTGTGATGGGTTTTTTTGAAATAGGGTCTCAAGAACTATTTGCCTTGGCTGGCTTCAAACTGCGATCCTCCTGATCTGTCTCCTGAGTAGCTAGGATTACAGGCATGTACCATTGGTGCCTGGCTACTTGCTCATTCTTGATTCATTTATACTAGAGGGATTGTCCCTAAGAGCCACATACAGATTTCTGACAGATACCAGAGCTGCATTTACATATACTAACATAGAAGGCATCTCCTACTATTCTCTGGAATTTGGCAATTTTCTTTTCCCTTGGCATTGCTAGTTCCTTCTGTTGAAGTTATATTCTTTGACCAAAATTCTCCTTGGTGGTGGGAGGTGGTCTTCCAAAGAATTCTAAAAGGTCTTTTCACCGTTTTTCCATTCAATGAGTTCCCCACACCCAAGATACAAATTGGACTAGACACCAAATCATGAGGATTGTACATAATTGTAGCCAGTTGGTGCTAATTAGTGATATTTTACATATGTGGATATATTTTATTCTGAAAAATTACCACAACTTCTTTTGGTCTAATAGCACTGTCCAGTGACCAAGGAATACATAGTTCTCTTAATCCCTCAGGTGTCTCTATCTCACTCATTCTTAAGCAGCTATGTATAGACCACCTTCCAAAAACAAATATTTAAACTATGAGTTACACATTTAAAAAAACAAACCAAAATATTCCCAGCAATCCAAAGACAGACTATAAGACAAGAGTTAAGGCCTCAGAACTTGCAGGTACCTCGGCTCACCTGAATGACTGTCTGTATTTTCTTCTTAGGTTCGCCTGGCCCTAATGCATGCTGAGTACTTCATGAATAACGTTAAGATGAACGACTATGTTAAAGACAGTGAGGAATGCAAGCCAGTCATCATTAATGCCCTAAAGGCCATGTACGACCTAAACATGAATGGACCCTCCAATTCTGATTTCACCAACCCACTCACCAGACCCCGCCTGCCCTATGCAATCCTATTTGCAATTGGTGGCTGGAGTGGTGGAAGCCCCACCAATGCCATCGAGGCATATGATGCTCGTGCAGACAGATGGGTGAATGTCACTTGTGAGGAAGAGAGTCCTCGTGCCTACCATGGGGCAGCCTATTTGAAAGGCTATGTTTATATCATTGGGGGGTTTGATAGTGTAGACTACTTCAATAGTGTTAAGCGTTTTGACCCAGTGAAGAAAACTTGGCACCAAGTGGCCCCGATGCACTCCAGACGTTGCTATGTCAGTGTGACGGTCCTCAGCAATTTCATTTACGCCATGGGAGGATTTGATGGCTATGTGCGCCTCAACACTGCCGAACGTTATGAACCTGAGACCAATCAATGGACGCTCATTGCCCCCATGCACGAGCAGAGGAGTGATGCAAGCGCCACAACACTCTATGGGAAGGTAAAGAACCAGAGTGGGAGGGGAAGTAGAAAAGATCAGCATGGAAATGAAACTGTTCTTCCTTTTGGGGGGGAGGCTGGCAAGCAAAATGGCTTTCAATACAAACTCTGCAGGACATTCGTATTCAGTATCCACAGGAGACTTGGTCCAGGACCCACTGTGGACACCAAAATCCAGATGCTCAAGTCCGTTATATAAAAGGGTGTATACGCAAATAACCCATGCACATCTTCCTGTATATTTCAGATCATCTTTAGATTGCTTCTAATACCTAATGGCATATAAATAGTTTAGAGAATAAGAAAAAGTATAAACATTTTCAGTACAAGTTTTTCTCCCAGTATTTTCAATCTCTGGTTGAATCCATGGATGTAGAACCTGAGATACAGTGTGGTCTCATTGTGCTGTTTCAAAAGTGACTATTAGTAACTTTTACTTATTAAAAAGTAATGCATGGGCTGGGAAAGGCCTGTAATTCTAGCTAATTGTGAGGCTGAAATCAGGAAGATCACATTTTGAGGCCAGCCTGGGGAAATAGTTTGTGAGACCCCATCTCCAAAATAACCAAACCAAAATAGATTGAAGGTGTGGAACAAGCAGTAAAATGCCTGCTTTGCAAGCTCACAGTCCTGAATCCAAACCCCAGTCCTACCAAAAAACAAAGGGATCCACGCACATGAGAAAAATACTGAGATTATACTGTAGCATTGTGTCCTCCCTGCCACACACATCCGCTTTCTACTTCCCAGACTTCCCAGAGTACAACTGTAACAATCATGAATTCTCTTCACTCAGGTCTACATATGTGGTGGGTTTAACGGAAATGAATGCCTGTTTACAGCAGAAGTGTACAACACCGAGAGTAATCAGTGGACAGTCATAGCACCCATGAGAAGCAGGAGGAGTGGAATAGGTGTAATTGCTTATGGGGAACATGTATACGCGGTGAGTTTATCTTGGAGATTTTCTAGTTTTTCTGTTAGCAAACAGGGTTAGGCTACCATCAGTAAGCACTTTTAAAGAGGGAGGCATGAGATCACTGGTTCTCCCCAAGGGTTTCCTCTGTGAACAGAAGCAATGGTTAGCAGTCAACCATGTTTCTTTTGCTGTTCACAGGTAGGTGGCTTTGATGGAGCTAATCGACTTAGGAGCGCGGAAGCCTACAGCCCAGTGGCCAATACTTGGCGCACAATCCCCACTATGTTTAATCCTCGTAGCAATTTTGGCATCGAGGTGGTGGACGACCTCTTGTTTGTGGTGGGTGGCTTTAATGGCTTTACCACCACCTTTAATGTTGAGTGTTACGATGAAAAGACCGACGAGTGGTATGATGCTCATGACATGAGCATATACCGCAGTGCTTTGAGCTGCTGTGTGGTACCAGGGCTGGCCAATGTTGGGGAATATGCAGCTAGACGGGACAACTTCACAGGATTAGCACTGCGAGATGAAGTAAAGTATTCCGCTTCAACAAGTACCCTACCTGTATGAGCCTCTTCGTTTAGCTAATAAAAAGTCTAAGCAATAAGAATTAATTCTTTTCTTAAATAAATACAGTGTTTAAACTTGTAAGAGTACTGGAAAATGTTCAACTTAAGGGAAGCAAGGGTTGGATGAATGAGGGAGTAAGGAAGAAGCAATTCCATTCAACAGTGCATAATTAAGAAAAAAAATCACAGTGCAAACCAGCTCTGAAGAAATAAGTTTATTGGAAACTTACATTGAGACAATTAGTAGCTTTAACACACAGCAAGATAGCTTTGGGAACATAGAACAAGCTATTTTACAATATAATGTCTCAAAGTGTTCTAAATACTACATCTCCTCTGACGTGAAGGGAGATAGTCACAATTATACCTTAGGGGTCTGGATACTGCTAGCCCCCTAAACTGTTATCAACTAAATATTTGTTTTACAAATAAGGAGCCTTAGCACACTGATTGTAAAGTCTTCAAATACCTCTCAAGCCGCTTTTCAGGAGTGCATGAGCAGGAGGGTTAAGTTAACAAGTACTCTAGTAAATGTGTTTCAAGGTAAGACATTCCTAGTGATGGTCAGAGAGTAAGACAAAAGCCCTAAAAGGGTCACTGACAAAGAGTAGTAATTTGGCCAATTACATTCCTTGAAGCAAAATGACTATTTTGTTATGGTACTGTTATTGTATTACAACACTCAACCATGAACTGTTTTGTTTCTAATGACTAGAACACAGGCCATAATGTTAAGCATTAACAACAACAAAACGGACTTTTCTCATGAAAGTAACAAAATGGAGTGATGAGCTGCGCCAAAATGATTGATGATTGAGGGAAGACTGAATTGTTTCTCAAATATTCTACATTAAAAGCACCATATTTTTCTAGTGTAGGCAGAGTATTTGTTTCACAATACCATATACATTTAAAGACATGAAATGTGGTCAAAATGCCCTTTTTACTTAAGCTTAACTTGAGGAAAGTGCCCAAAGAGGACTTTTTACTTATGCTTGATTAGGTAAGTAAACTAAAACATACAATTCAGCTCACCAGTCTACTTATAGTCTAGTATAATGTTGATACTAGAATGGTGAAGTAGAAAAGAAAGTATTTTAAACATACCACATGCTGTACGGGTCAAAAGATAACGAGGAAAAAGTGTGTGCTAAAACTGCCTTACCAGCAAACTGAAGGATTAAAAACACAAAAGCACACAAACCTTCTCTCCAGCTGTTCAAACTTATGTTCTGCATTTAAAAAGGTCAGTATTTTTCAGTTTTTTGGTCCCAGAAATATTATACACGACCAGATGCTCAAAACAAAACTGATGTCAATGAATTTTAACAGTTCTCAGCAAAATGTTATTTTGAACTGGCACAGTAAAAAGCAAAGTTGACTATCAAGATACACAAGACTAATCATGCAAACAACTGCAAGTGAGATGTATTACTTAAACACTAAGCTCATGACTGACATTCTCAATTTCTACTACTGGTTCTTCTTTTAAACCATGGTAGGGTAAGTACAGTTAAAGGATATCCATTCTAAGATATAAGTAGGCTCACTCAAAGTTATGTAGTTATCACTTTTTGGTATAATTAATTTCTCACCACCAAAAGAAAATAAAAGCAACAAAACAAATGTATGCTTGAATACACATTAAGCTGTTTTTTACATAGTTGTGTTTTCAACTGCTTATATTACCAAACACAATCTTCAAATTTTCATCAGAAAGGAAATTTCTTTCCCAAGCCATATTAGGCCTGATCATCATAATTGAATCATTCCAAATACTTTTTAAGTTACTTCCAGTTTAGGATTTCAGAATGTCAGCCTTGAACAGATTTAAGCAAATCTGGTTTCTTTCCTTATTAACAAGTTAGTTAGGATATTTAGGAAACATAAGTTACTGACATTAAGTCACATATGTGAATTCAAATATAAAAATTAGAAACTCAGTAATCAGGAAAATCTGCACACATCACCATGCAATTAAGGACTTACCCCTCTTTCAGCCAGGGCCTAGGCTGCCTGCTGAGTTAAAAAACAACAGTTTCAATCAAATTTTAAAAACCAGATTATACCTAAATCTTAAGAGTTATAACTTCTGCTACATCATGTGAAAAAAAGATGACCCTACAAACAACTTGGTAGTGAATGTTTCAGAAAACAACTCGCAGATCAAAAAACAAAAAACACACTTTTCTGGGAAAAACTGGCATCCTACAGAGATACTAAATTATTTCAACATAACCAGGAAAAGGAGGTTTGCTCACAGTGCATGAGAGAAATGAAAACTTTAATTGATTCTTAGTTGCATAGACCTCTCACAACTAAGTAGTGCCTCTCAGAATCCAGAGACTTTTATTAAAATAACTTCAAAGAAATGGAAATTGAGGAAAAAAAATAGTGCAGGAAGGATAGGATAATAATATATCCTATGTAGAAACAGATTCAGTTTACCACCTTTAAATGATTTCAAAGCAGATTTCCAAAACAAAGGTTTTTAATAAATAGGCAGGAACACTTACTTAGAAATTTCAGGGAAGTTCTCAATGTAGAATCCAAGAGCTAAGACATTAAGTCTAGCAGCAAATAAAGAACTAAAATTTCTGGTTGTGCTTTTTTCTTTCGATGTTTGATCACACAGTAAGGTTAACTATAATGAGCTGGGAGTGGGGAGGAAATCACTGTACTTGGACTTTGACTTTTAGAATGGCATTCCTGAATGTCTAAAAAGGTAAAGACAATCTTTAAGAAATAAAATAAGCTGGGTGTGGTAGTACACATTTATAATCTCAGCACTTGGGAAGCTGAGGCAGGAGGATTATAAATTTGAGGCCAACCTGGGCAAATACAGCAAGACCCTGCCTCAAAAAAGAAGAAAGAAAAATAAACTTGATCCACAGTGCAAACTATCAGAACAGGCGTCTTTTTATGGTAACTGAAGACTGAAAGATTCAGCCTGAATGTAACTTGTATAAAACTTAGGAGAATGTCAGCGAATCAGAATATACAAAAATAAATAAAGATAACCGTGGTGGTAACATTTTAAGATTCAAAACTGCATACCCAAATTTGGTATTCCTAGGCTCAGGTAAAATTCCAATAGAAGTCTAGGGCAACTGTATAAAATAATGTAACAACCAGGGCCAGAAATAATATGGCTTCTCTTAGCAACATTTCTCTAAATTGTCACTTCCTTCCCATTCTGAAAAAAGCTTCTTGTAGAAAGAAATGAAGATCATATATGATAAGCATTAGAGCAAAAATTAAAACTGAAGGCATTGAGTGTTGATTGTCATAGGCATTATTTAAACTCATTAACATATCCTCAAATAATTCTGTAACTCTTGAAAAAGTGTTTTAAATTTTAAAAATTCTTTTGATTTCTGTCTATATTTTACTTTTCTTCTTAAGAGAAACAAATTTCACATATGTAACTTCCTTGTGTTCAATCAATCAGCTAAAGATCAATATCTCTGCCAACTTCCATCATCTCAGAGTGATGGCTTAAAGTCTATTACCAGCTGCTAAAGAAGTAAAAATATTTTTTAAAAAATGCATGAGCCAACCAACCACAAATTTTGTTCTTTTATAAATGAACAAAACAGCATTCCTATCCAGATAAACACATACAACAAAGTATCAATGCAAATATTCTGAAATTATCTTGCTGAATTGTGCTTTTTCCTTCAGATTTCAGTCTTAATTGCACACACCTCCTGCAGATGAGGGCTTAACCCATAAATTCTGATCTTGTGAAACCAACCATTCCATTAAAAACAAAAAGGAGTATCAAAGAAAATGTGCAAATAAAATTGGTGCTTCAAGCCCAAAACATAAGTCCTTAAGACAAAGGAAATAGCCAAGTAACTAGACCTGCTTTTTCCTCTTGTCTTTAATAAGATCTTATTTACCTAGTACATAACACAAACCAAAGACAGATAAGACTGTAAGCTACCAAACATTACCACATAGCAAACTGAGTTTCCCATTCTTCAGTTTTTAACTATACTTCCTTTTTATGGGATAACAATGAGTCCAGGTAGAAAATAAGTTATTGACATACTTTTTCAAGTAACAGTCTGGCTATCGTCAGCCTCAGGGAAGAGTTTGAAGCTGTATGTGTTAAGAGAATTTAGCATTCAATCTGGGAGCTTGGCACTCGCCGCATATTTAGGGCATGCCGATGTATTTCTTGCATCTGTCTGATGCGGTCCTTCTGCCACATTAGGTTTTGAGGCATAGGATACCTCTGTGTGCCGTGTAAGTATCGGTAGGGAATCCTGGCATGACAAGCAGTAGCTCTACAACGAGGCTGTGGCATGGGAGGAAGGAGCATCCACCTCTTTCTCTCCGCACAGTATCGATAGGCTTCTTTCCGATACTGTTTGTCAATATCATCACTGTTTTTCCAGCCTCCGATAATGAAGACATCATCTTTGTAATAGCAAATGGCTGCTCCTTCAATGCTTAGGACTTCTGGAGGCAAGCTTTCAAGGATCTCATCAGACACTTGGTTGGCAATTTTTCTTACTGCCTCTTCATTTTCTAAAGAGTAACTCTTGGGACAGCATGATGCCGTCTGATAAAAGTTTGAATTGACCACAGACATTTGGAAAAAGCAGTAATTGTCAATAAGTGGCAAAGACTCCACATCTTGCCACTGCCGAGTCTCGGTGTCATAGCACGTAATTACAGCTTTTAATCCATCTTCAGTATCCCGGTCCACAGGAGTGCGGGCAGCAATGTACACAAACCGGTCTTCGATGGCTAGTGCTTTGACATCTCGAAGAATCTTTGGTGCTGATTCCAAGTTGTGCCACTTATCGAGCTCAGGATTGTAAACAGTCACATCTTTAAAGCCAGGACTAAAGTTGCCATGTCCTCCAATGCTATACAACTTCCCTTTGACTTCTGTTAGCCCAAAAGAATGCTTTCTTGTCATTAGACTACAAACGTGTTCCCATGTATTCAAATTTGGATTGTATCTTTCCACAGTCTTAGCAAACCCTGGTTCCATGGATCCAGCAACGTACACATAGGATTCTGTTACTGCAACTGCATGTCCATCAAGGTGATTATGAATATGGGGCAGGTTTACCCATCTGTCCTCATCAACAAAATATCCCACACATTCACTTAAATAGTCCCCTCCTTCTGACACACCTCCAATAACCATGATCACGTCCATGTTTTGCCCATAGCGAGGTAATAATGAGACATGAGAAGCAGGATGCTGGAATGTGCCAGACTGTATATTTTCAGCTCTCAGAGCATGCCTCTCCACTGCATCGGCCACGAGCTTGACGCAAACTTCATTATTGGCCACCAGCCTCTCTGGTTTGACATGCCGAGTAAGGTAGGTAGGTTTCATCTGGGACAATCTGAGTAATTTAAAAAGTTCTTCAAAGTATCTCTCTCTCTCTTCAGCATTTCTCTGAACCCACTTCAAAACTGTTTCAAAGAGAACCTCTTCAGAGTCAACTGTAATTTCCAAGTCTGAAAGCCAGTCTCGAATGAGATGGAAAGGTAAAGTATAAAATTCTTCATCCTGAATAACTTTGTGGAAATTTCTCCGTATCATGTCAGCAGCTTTCAGAGCAAGTTGGCTAAGGGTATACATGTGAGCTAAGCTATGAATGGCCACACAATTTGAAAGATGCAGTTTTTTCTTGAGAAATTCTCCACAAAATTCTTTTAAACGAATTAACAGGAATCTAGAATCAAGAAAGTAAAAAAAGATTAATTTCAGAATGTGCTTACATGGTCGTGTTTTGAGAACAATTGAATTATAAAATTGAGATGGTGAGATTAATCTCATTTTATATACACAACATCTGAAAAAGAAAATCTCCCAAGTTACAAAGTATTATACTGGAAAAAAAATCTATTTTTAAAATTTAAAAATTTTTTTGGCAGTACTGGCGTTTGAACTCAGGGCTTCTAGTTTGCTAGGCAGGTGCTCTACCACTTTTTAAGTCTTGCCTAACATACCTAAAGTCATGAGTTTGATTCCTATTACCACAAAACAAAAAAAGCCTATGTGGGCTGGAGATGCAGTAGATGTGCTGGGGGTAACCCATTTGAGACCCCTTAACTGAGAAGAATGTTAAATACTGTAAGGATGACTTCATCAGTCCAGGCTCATCTCAATTCAATAACCATTTGGTATTATGGCTATTGTGCTGAATAACCTTAAGTTACCTTAACCACAATATAAAGATGAACAAGAGCCAGGCATGGTCAGACAGGTCTATATAATCCCAGCACTCGGGAGGCTGAGGCAGGAGGATTATGAGTTTAAGGCCAGCATGGATTACATAGCAAGACTACCTTTAAAAAAAAAAAAAAAAAAGAGTCGCATGCTGATGGCTCACACATGTAATCCTTGCTCCTCAGGAGTCAGAGATCAGGAGGATCACGGTACAAAGCCAGCCCAGGGAAATAGTTCCTGAGTTCCTAACCAGGAAAAATCCAACTCAAAAAACAGGATTAAAGAAGTGGTTCAAGTGGTTAGAGTTCCTGCCTTGGAAGTGTGAGGCTCTGAACTCAAAACTCCAGTACAAAAAAGGCTTTTTTTTTTGGTGGGACTGAGGTTTGAACTGGTAGGTTCTGTGCTTGCAAAGCAGGTGCTATACCATTTGAGTCACACTTCCAGTCCATTTTTCCTCCGGTTATATTGGAGATCGAGTCTCACGAAGGGGCTAGCCTTGAACCTCAATCATCTTGATCTCAGCCTCCCAAGTAGCTAGAATTACAGGCGTTAGCCACCTATGCCCAGTTCTTCACTTTAAGGAATCATGCCATCTTAGAGATAAAACAAAAACAATGGGCTGGTGGGTGGCTCCAGTGGTAGAGCGCCTGTTTAGTTAAGTGCAAGGCCCTGAGTTCAAACCCCAGTACCACCAAAAAAAAAAAAAAGGTGGAATAGTAAAGGCTCGAATGTCTTCCAGACATGTCGGTGTGCTAGGGTCATCCAATTCTCAGGATGCCTTGAGCGCCTATGTTTGGCAGATAATTCTGAGACACATTCCCTTAGATAGGCTTTGTTTTTGAATTTCTTTTCTTTTTTTTGACAGTACTAGGGTCTGAACTCAGGGTCTGATGTGCTTGAGCCCTCCACCAGGTCCTCCAACAACTTTTGGGAAGCACTGCTCTACAAAAACAACAGCTTTTACACACTAGGCATCTGTCATGTGAGGAACATCATGCCAGACATGTCCTATTATTTCTGATCCTTACAAGTGGCCTGCAGGATTGGATCACCAAGACTATATGTGGGTGGAAGGGAGGGTATCCTGCCTCAGAACTGATGGGAAGATGAAATATGGTAATCGCAGGGCACTTAGAACAGGGCCTGACACAAGATCCAAGTCCTCTGACAGATGGAGAGAAGTTAGAGGTCTAAGTAAATTGCCTGGTATTCTCTCTCTCCTCACTTTTAATTCCCCAATAACAAGGGGACAAGTCTGAAAAACAAAAACTCACAGGACAGAAACATTGAGTGAGTGCAATGACCATCTCTATGTATTTTCATTCATCAAACTCCCCCCTCAGCAGTGCCCATCTAATAACACCTTCTGATGACCAAGCCTCCAAGCCTCATACTTTGAGAAAACAGGAGCAATCTGGTGAGCAGGAACTTCAGCTTCCCACCACCCAATTTGCCTGCAGCTATATTCTGTGTCTGCTTTCCCAGTCCAACCTATTTTAAAGTATATTGGTTTTATAGTTCTGTTTCTATTTAATTGATAAACTACCATTGCTTTTAATATTTTTTGTGCCATAAATATACATTTATACCTAGTTTTATGTCTATAAGTGACATTATAGTGCAAATAAATGATCATTAGTAGGGATACAAGAGAATTTTTTTTCCTTTCAAGAGAGCCACTGGGGAGTTTTAAATGATATGATCATATTGGCTATCTATCTATTTATTTATTTATTTTTGAGGTACAGTCTGTGTAGCCCAGGCCTTGATCCTCCTGCCTCAGCCTCCAGAGTCTGAGATTACAGAAAGTGCCACCACATTCAACATTTTTTTGTTTTCAAATATAAGATTTGTTCTCAGTGTTCGATGAACAGCCTCTACTTGACAAGGCGTTTCCTACTTATTGCATTGTTTCTCCCCATGATTTCCTTGATTTTTCCATAGCCTGACCTGGAGAGCCGATGCTCTTCTATACAACTGCCTATCCCGACATCATCTTGACCAAGTTCAAATTGACATTTCTCCCAAACCTGCAATTCTGCAATTTTCTATGTCTCAATAACAACTCCATCTTTCCAGCTGCTTGGGTCAAAAACTTTGCAGTCTTTCAACCACATCAAGTCCAAACAAAAATTCATCTCCTCTATCTTCAGAATACAGATGTCAGTCTTCTCATGACCTTCCTGTCTCCCTCCTCAATCCAAGCCTCCACTACCACTGCAACAATTTAAGCTAGTCTCTCCTGCCCTTGCTGCATCCCCCAAAGCATTCCATCTTTTTTCAACATTGAATTCATCAAATTAAACCGTACCATTCTTCTCCAAACCTTCCCAATTCATTCAAAGTACAAGCTCAAGTTCTTCTACAGGCCAACAAAGCCCTAAGAGATCAGGTCCATTCCCATTAACCCTCTGAGGCTTCAATTCCTTCATTCCAGCATCCTCCATCCAAACATTCAGGGCCTCCTGCTGTTCTCTAACATTCAGATAAGCTCCATCTAGGGCTTTGTATTTGGGTTGCCTACCTGAAGCAGTCTCTACCTTCCCTCTTTCATTCCTTTGCTAAATATCTTCTGAGCATTCTTTACCCACCCAATTTAAAAAATCACTTCCTCTTGGGCTGGAGGTGTCCCTCAGGTAGTAGAGTGCCAGCCTGGCAAGGGCAAAGCCCTAAGGTTCAAACCCCAAGGCTGAAGAAAAAAAAAAAAAAGATCAGTTCCTCTCCACCAGAGCCTACAATGTATTCCCATCCCCACTTTACTTTTCATCACAGCTATAATCATCCAACAGGCTGTGTATGTATTTACTGTCTGTCTACCAACAGCAAGTACAGTGAGGAAAGAGACTTTTGTCTGTTTTGTTCATTGCTGGATCCCCAGCACCTTAAAGCTAATAGGTGCTTAACAGGTATTTGTTAAAATAGCGTGTAATACAATTCTGTGGAAATTCTCCTCCCCATCCCTACAAATGACACTCACCAGGCTCCTAAGCACTCAGGAGCGTCCATTCCTACTCCCTGCCTCTCTTTTCCACAGTAGCAGGCTAATCTTTTAACTACTGAAGTCATTTATCCAGCTTCCCATCACACTCAGGAAAACCCAAACTCATTCCAGTGCATCTCGCACACTCTTCTCCCTTCAACCCACTAGAGTCAGCCTCACTGGATATTCTTTTTTTTCCAAGTCCCCTCTCTTAAGCTAAACTTGATTCCTCCTGAAGGCCTTTGCTCTGCCTGGGCTGTTCACTTCCCTCCCCCCTCCCCATCTTTGCACAATTTTCTCGCCATTTAGAGGTCGCATTAAGGTCTTTACTCGATCACTAGTCTCTCCCTCCTTTTTGATGTTATCACTGCATTCGTCACATTCTGACTTCACTCCTCATTGCCTTTGTCCCTCCACTCAAGGCTCTACGGGCCTCGCCGGACTCACGGGGCATCCTCGGTCCCCCGGGAGGTGGCTGCCCGCCGCAGGCGCAGGCGCAGCGGTCCTCGCTCACCTGTCGGCCAGCTCCAGCACCTCATGCACACTGCCCGTGCTGACGCGGATGCGCCCGGTGTACATGTACTCGATAACGGCTTCCACCGTGTCGGGCTCAGGCCCCGGCTCCGAGCTCCACTTGCGCATCTCCACCCGGCCCGAGCGCGACTCGGAAAACTGACCCGAGAGCAGGGGCGTGAAATACTCGGTGGCGGCAGCCAGCACCGAGCGGTGGGCCCGGAACTCGCGGCCCCCGGCGCCCCCGAAGCACAGAGTGATGTCGCAGAAGAGGCCTTGGCGACGTTGCTCATTCTGCCGCCAGGAAAGCTCGGAGCAGTGAGAGCTGCACTCGAAGTCCTCAGCTTCTGGGCCCGGATCGCCCCCGCTTGCTTCCATGGCAGAGATTCCGGGACCGGGCCCGAAGTCCACAGTGCCGCTGCCTCGGACCTCGGCGGCCAGCCCCGCGGAACCGGCGGCGGCCGTCTCCATGCTCTCCATTTCCAGCACCTGAAGGGATGCAGCCGCGGCCGCCGCCGCCGCCGCCGCCGCCACAGCCGCCGCCATCTTGACGCCGCTGCGCCGGCCTCCGCGGCTTGGGAACGGTGCAGCCGTTCTGGTGCGACACAGAGGGATTCTGGGATTAAATAGTGCGCGCGGGGCGGAGTCGCGCCTGCGCCGTCGCGCCGCGCCCGGCAGCCGCCGGCTCGCACCCTATGGCCGGGAGGTGACTTCTCGTTGCTTCTTCAAATTAGAACCACCTTGAACCCATCGCTAAAGCCCTCGGTAGTTAACATGGGCCCTCTACTTAAAATGGCTTTGGGGTTTGATCTCCAGCATCATAAAAAATGGCTTTGGAGAAAAACTTTTAAAAGGAGAAAGGATTGGGGGCTGGAGGTATGGCTCAAATGGTAGAGCACCTGCCTAGGATTTGAACCATGAGTTCAAATTTCAGTACAAAAAATTTTTTTTGTTGTTGTTAAAGCTTTTAGTGGTACCATGGGCTTTCTATTTAAAATAGCTTTGGATTTCGACCCCCAGCACCGCAAAAAAAATAAACTGACCTTGGAGAAAAATAACCTTTTGCAAATAAAGAGGTAGAGTTTATTGAGATATAAAAGCGGAAGGAGGTCCCAAGAGAGGCACCCTAATGAAGGGGAAAAAATAATATTGGTAAAGGAAAAAAGAATACAAAAAAAAAAAAAGACTTAAGACCGGGCCCCAGTTAAGAGGCTGGTGAGCGAGTTATTACTTCTGAACTGATTTGTCTTCTAAAAACGGGGATGCTACCTACACCTTACAAGATCACCGAGGATTAAATAAGGTAATGCTGAGTCAAATGTTTTTGCATAGTGCTCGGCCCAGCCTCCCAAGTAGCTAGGACTACAAGCGTGCACCACGGGCATCTGGCTCATTTTTGGGTTTTAAGCAAGGGAGTGGCTCAGTTTGATGAGCTCTCAAAAATATCACTGGGGTCTATGCAGAGAACAGATTGTACCAGGACAAAAAGGGACATAAAGGCACGGGTTAGCAGACCAGATATAGATAGGAGAGGTAAAGGGTAAATCAACAGGACTTGAAACCTGGTGAGGAAGATACTGACCTGCAAGCTTATGGCCTGAGTATGTGGGGAGAGCTTTGGTTCCCATTCATTGAGAAAAAAGGGAGGAACAGACTTAGGGAAGAAGTAGGTTTTCTTTGTTGTTTTTTTTTTTTTGGGGGGGGCTTGGGTTTTGGATTCAGGGTCTTACACACTTGGCTAGGCAGGTATTCTACCACCTGAGCCTCTCTGCCAGCCCTTTTTTGTATTGGGTATTTTTTTTTTCTTTTTTTTTTTTGCTGGTGTTTTTTTTCTGTATTGGGTATTTTTGAGATAGGGTCTTGCAAACAGTTTGCCTGGGCTGGCATAGTATCTCCTCCTGATTTCTGCCTCCCAAGTAGCTAGGATTACAGGGGTGAGCCACTGGCACCTGGCTAGAAGGGAGTTTTTTTGTAAGCTAGTGTCTTAATTCTATTTTTCTTCTCAAGAGGTGGACAAGAATTTTAAAAACTACATGTACTGAAGCTATTAGAAAGTACATTTCAAAGGCATACAGAAGAAAGGCTATGGCCTTCATTGTTACTATATAGTTTATTTAAACCAAACATGATAATACAGAGAAGAGACTGAGGTGGCAGCTGCCCAGAATCTTTGTGGGTTACAGATGCAAAGTAGCTGAAAATGAGTCTTTGGACCCACACTTCAGTAACAGACAAGTCAGCTGCATAAATACAGAGAACATAAGACACAGGACATTTCACAGCTTTTTGCTTTGCATTTTCATCTTAAACATATGTATGTTACAACTTTACATTTTAAATGTACTACTCCATGTATCTGTGACAATGGCTAAGGATGCAATGGTCCCACCCTGCTGACATAACCAGACTTTGATCTGTAACAGAACATTTCAGTGGGTTCCTAAATAAACCCTTAACACATAACATACAAAAAGACCCTTTTACAAGTCAGATTAATACAATGTTCTTCATGTTTATCAGGAGGAAGAAAGGGAAACAGAAAAATAAGACATTGGAGTAGTTTAAATGTATCATTCCCTTCCTCCAAAGGAAAAAAAAATTAATAGAAAAGAGAAAGCAACATCATAACACCCTACACTATTCTGACAGTGCTTAGATGCTTTCATATAATAAATACAGCAGGTAGCAGAGCAAATGTCACAAGTATTGGCTTGCTGTTTATTTCTATGCTTACAAAAAAAAAATATTAAGCTCCTTTGTATGGAATGAATGGTGTTAGTCTGTGGGTGTTGGTCTTCAGTTCCTGCACACCAATGGGGGATTTACGTTCTTGATCCATCCTATAACAGGCTCCACAGTCAGTTATCTTCATGCTATTTCCCGGGAGGAGTTCTTGTCTTCTCTTTACTGCAGTAGGGTTCCTGGCTTAGTTACATGCTCATGTGCTCCGGAAGAACATATGAAATATCATCCCATGGATGACGATATAGCCCCTGCTTCAGCCTCTTCTGATCAAGATAGTGCCCTAAAATGAAGCAAAGGTATCTTTTCATTAGAGTTCCATAAACATGGTGAGGGCAGAGAATGAGGAAGGGAAATCTCCCAGATATTAAAAAAGGAGACACTGAGCTACAGCTGTAAACTCAGTGGTAGGGTGCTTGCCTAGCAAGCCCAAGGCCCTGGATTCCATCCCCAGTGCTGCAAAAACAAACAAACAAACAAACAAAAAAGGTAGACACAAAGAAATGGGGAAATTCAGATTCATTCCATAGGTAGATAAATTAGATTTGGCAAAAGGGAACTGTTAGATCTGATTCCATTTTTCTGGGCTAGCAAGTCATTCCCAAGAATAAAAGAACAAAGATAAAGATAAGGGGGAAGTTACAGAAAGAAAGGATTATGAACAATCATCTCTGTTGTAGAAACCTATATGGACAAGTGATGTAGCTGAACTGTGGAGGTTTTAAAAAAAGAAAACAAATCCTTACAACAACAGCAGCCAACTCACCAATGAAGCCCATACTCCTTCCCAGCACAAAGATGCCATTGAGAGCTCCAATGTCAATATATTCATCAGCTTCCTCCCTGCAACACACAATCGGCATGTAGTTTTAAACTGACTCACATGCCCATCCTCCTCTCAGCAAACATTACTACTTCTGCCCAAGGAGGAAAAGCTCCCAGGTTTACAGAGGCTCAATTTTATCAAAGCACATTATATGCATGTATGGACAAATCACAATGAAAACTCCTTTATATAATTAATTCATGCTAATAAAAACACATACACCAAAAAAAAAAAAAAAAGGGATGCCAAAGAAGACAGCCAAAATGCTCACCGAGTAAAGGACCCACAGTTCCTGAGCATGTCCACAAATGCAACTCCGATGAAACCATCTACGTTTAGGATAAGATTTGGTTTCTGGGAAGGCAAAAATTCATAATATTTATTATCATGTTTCTCTTTTTTTTTCTCTGTAATCTTTCCATGGTTTCTACTAGGTTAATTTTTTTTTTTTTTTCTGGGACTGGGGTTTGAACTCTGGGCTCTGCACTTGCAAAGCAGGATTTCTACCACTAAGACACACCTGTAGTACATTTTGTTTGTTTGTTTTGGAGATGGGGTCTTGCAAACTATTTGCCTAGGCTGTCCTCAAACAGAGATTCTCCCCATTTCAGCCTCCCTAGTAGCTAGGATTACAGGTATGAGCCACTAGTGCCCAGCTACTGTGGTTAATTTTGATTGTCAATTTGATTGGATTAGAAGAAGGTAAGAGATTCGTAAAGCATGCTCTGAGTGTGTCCAGAGAGGATTAAATAAGAGGCGGGAAGGCCCGCCCACATTAGGACAGCAGCATCTCAACAGACTGGGAGCCTGGATGGAATAAAAAGGGAAAAAGGAGAGAGGTGGCTAACGCAAGCATTCTCTGCTTCCTGGCCACCATGCCCTCCCGGCCATGATGGGCTGAAACATCTGGACAAAATAAATCTTTCCTCAAATTATTTCTGTCAGGTACCACAGTGAGATAATGCTGACACAATTATTTTTATTTTTTGGAGACAAGGCTCACCATGTAGCCTAAGCTTGTCTTAAATGCTTGATCCTCCTGCCTCTAGCTCCCAAGGGCCAGGATTTCAGGAGCATGCCACAACATTCAGTCAATTACCATGAATTCTGACACCACTTAAAAACTTCCCATTTGGTTGACCCTGTGCAGCAAAGTACTCCTCACCTAGACATTTAGTACATGTCTGTTCAATTTAGTTATGCAATACAAAAATTTCCAGAAAACAAAGCTCCATTTTAGCTATACGATCAAACTGGTTCCCATTTCCCCTAAAAAATTCACCCAAAAACAAGACTAGGAATTCTTTGTTACCTTTGAGGTGGTAATCTTCTCCACTTCCAGTGCATAATCAAGTAGCGGGGTGGCTGGGAAGTGCTGCTTGACATAGTCTTTGAGGATCTGCACTCGCATGTCTGGGTTATTTATCTAGAAACAGACCCAAAGTTACAGAGAAACCCACTGCTGCTAAGGGACATGTTTGTGCTTATTTCACAAGTGGACAGAGCTGAACATATCATATCCTGAAGATGACACAGGGACCTGATCCATGTGTACAATCCTATGTAATATCAATGATGACATAGCTTTGGGCCCAAGGATTTTGAGGCCCTCATCTGATTTGGGCCTCAAAACAACCTCTGTAAGTTTTCTCTCTTATAAAGAAGGAACTGAGCCAGATGTGTGGGAAGTTAGCCATGGCCTATGGTGTGAAGCAGCATGGGATGAACTCACCCATTTTCCAACACAAAGTCTTAGGTTCTAGACACCAACCAGGGTGTGCACCAGTTGTGTGGTCTGCTCAAACTATATAACAAAGTTCTTGGCTAAGCAAGTACATGTTGAGAGTGAGGCAGCAAAGTATCCCTAAATCTTAGGAAAAAACTCTGATCTGTGATAAATGATGCTAACTATCTGTTAAGAGACCCACACCTGTCAGAGGGGGAGTGAAACAATTTAGGCACAGGCTAAATCTCAATACCGGTGACTCCTCCAGTGGCCTGATAGTGACATGCTATCAGGACACACAGAGGACTATCAGCCTCAGATATTTTAGCTATTTAAATATTTACCCTCTTTCTCCACTGGATTTTCCCTAACAGGGCTGCCTTGATATTATTATTCATCTGCCCTAGGAAGTCAGGTACAATCATCAGATTTGCTTTGGCCAATAACAAGTGAGTGAAAGTGAACCAGCAATTTCCAATGGTCTCCCAATGGTACTGCCATTGTATTGCTAGTTTCCTTCTAACACAAGACCAGCACATTCCAGACACGGGCTGCTCCTTCACCACACAGCCACAGCCCACCAGCAGCGGCAGATGTAGTATGGACAAGAGATAAACCTTTGCTGTTGTAGACCACTGAGATATGTGGAGCTGTTACTGCAGCCTGAAATATTGTGTAGCCTAAGGTGACCAATAATTCCCCTTCACTCTTACCTTAGTCCCCTCTCCTATACAGTACATTTGGGAAGCTAAAGTTACCAAGTTTCCACCTTAGCATATTTTCATACTACAACTGAGTGAGCTAAAAACCGCTTAAGGGTGATCTGTATTATGACAAAGACAGCCATCTTGTATTTGGCATCTGTCAACAGGTTCACAGTTCTGTACACTGGAGTCAAGGGCTTGGGTCTAATGAATAGACTATCTCCCATTACTACCCATCCTATACACACCCTCCCTGCACCCCATCATAAGGACAGCAACAATTTACTGATTTCACTCGGTGGCCGATGCCCATGATCAGTTTTCCTTCCTTCTTCATCTTGTTTACGAACTCCATAGGGATAATGCCACTGTCAAAGGCTTTACTGAACATCTTGGCTGCTGCATCCAAAGCACCCCCAAACCGATCCCCCTGTAAGAGAAGTAAGTACACACAGCCCTGAGCTGCAATGGTTTCCTCAGCTTTGCAAACCAATCTAGGATGTTCCAAACCAGCCCAGCCCAGCCCAGCGTTTTGCACACAGGGACTCCTTCTAGGTCCCCACTGTAGCCAAGCAGCATGATGCCAAAGCCCAGCATCCCTACTGTTCATCTCCTAAAGGTGACAGGACTTACGATAGTGAGCAGCCCTGAGGTGAGGCTGGAGACCAAGTCTTTCCCAGCCCGAGCACAGATGATGGTGTTGTGGGCCCCAGAGACAGCTGGCCCGTGATCAGCTGTCACCATCAGACACATCTCTATAAACTGGCAAGAGTACTTGGGTAACCTAGGAGAGGATGAGTAAAGATGCAGGGAGAGGCGAGATGGAACAAAGGTCAGGAAGTACAGTGTTAAGGCCACACTCCTATTTTCTCACACCTTCCTGAACAAATAACTCAAATCCAATACAAGTCTCATACTGTGGACAACTCCAGAGCAGCTCTGGCCTCTGTTGTTATCAAATACTTCTTTCAAAACAATTAGCAATCAAAAGCATGTTGCCTCAAGAAAAAATAAAAGCAATCAGGGTTTGAAATGTCTTCTTCAGGCAGTTTTCAGCATCAGTTGCTGCCAACAGGATCTGATCTGTATTCATGGCTACCCTTCTCCACATGCCAGACAGAGATTAAGGAAGACCCCTGCCCAGTCTTCCTGCACAGTGTTCCATCTCCCCTCTAACAGTCAATAGTGAAATCTGGAAATGTGAGTAGACAGAGAAGGCTGCTCAGGTCTTCTGACCTGTGAACTTTGTCCAGGAAGGGCCTAAAGCAGAACCAGGACCTATTTCTCTATAGATGAGGACATGACAGAAACCAATACTTTGATTGGCCTTTTGTCCAGTGTTGCAACTCATGTACTTACTGTCTCCTTTACCCAGCTGTCATTCTCAGGGTAGGCAGGGTAGGGCTAACTTGAGAGTGGTGGAAAAAAACCTAAATGTTTTCTACTGATGAGAGACACAATTTGTGTGTGTGTGACTGGGGCTTGAACTCAGGGCCTACACCTTCAGCCACTCCACCAGCCCTTTTTTGTGAAGGGTTTTTTCAAGATAGAGTCTCAGGAACTATTTGCTCGGCTGGCTTCAAACCACGATCCTCCTGATCTCTGCCTCCTGAGTAGCATATAGACATGAGCCACTGGTGCCCCGCAAGAGACACAAACTTGCAAAGAAAATACAACTACTTTTTAGTTGGTTCTGCAGTGTCCCAGGCCCTTTTTTTTTTTTTTTGTGGGACCTCTAGTTAGGTCACTGCTGCACTGCTGCTTCTTCTCTTGGTTCAGACTGTCCTTGGAAGAGTCAGGAATAACCTGTGTCTCTTTTCTATGGCCTTTCAGTTGGCCTGTGGTTTAAGACTGATGCTGAACACACTCAAGCCTACCTACCTCTAATTTTTTGTCAGGGGAAGGCCATTAACTCTGAGCCAGGGCCCTACCATCCTCTGTTCTCCATGCCTCACCTTCTCTGGAACCAGAGGAGGCCAAGGACCCCGCCGATGCCCATCTCTTCCTTGAAGACCTCGGTGATAGGCATACCCGCATAGATGAGCTCTTGTCCTCGCTCATCACAGATGCTGGTCATGAACGAAGCAGGTTTTCGGATCAAACCCAGTTCCTGAGTAAATATAGAGGTAGAGGGACACAAGGCTATGTTGACCACCACAGATTTCTTTAGTACAGCTATTGTCTGACTCTCTGAATTAAAGTGTCCTAGGAATGTCTTGGCTGCTCTGGTGGTCAAGCAACAATTTCCAACCTTTTTCCCAAGTGCAAAACCCTTTGATAAGACCATTTAGGGCACAGAAAATAGAAGCACCATGTCCACAGTACCTACTTGGCACCAGCTCCATTTCTATTCTAAACCAAACATTTGCTGGACCAGGCAGTACATTAGGAAGCTTACATCCACTGGTTCACTTGAACCACACAAAGCAGAATCATTCCTACAGCAGAGGCTTGGAGAGGCTCAGAACCAGCCACAGTCACCTGGCTGAGAATGGAATAATGACTCCAAAAGGAAATCTCTAAAACACTCAGATACAGCTGCCTACCGCTCCAAAAAAAAAAAGCTACAAAAAAAAAATCAATGAAGTATGTAGCTGTGGAAATGGGGGAATCCCCTCAACACTTTCTTTACCCTGGGGAAGGGACTGAGCTCATGAATTTCCCATTTTCAAAGTTGGGACACAATAAGAGTAAAGCAGGAACCAATACTGTCCAACCTCATTTCTTTAGGATCACGAGTTCAAGGCCGTCTTGAGCTACACAGTGAGATCCTATCTCAAAAAAGCAAAAACAAGCCAGGCACTGGTGGCTCACACCTGTAATCCTGCTACTCAGGAGGCAGAGATCAGGAGGATCACAGTTCGAAGCCAGCCCAGGCAAATAGTTCAAGAGACCCTATTCTTGAAAAACCCATCATGAAAAAGGGCTGGTGGAATGGCTCAATGTGTAGGTCCTGAGTTCAAACCCCAGCACCACAAAAAAAAAAAAAAAAAGAAGCTAACCTAAGTATCTACCCTTCTCCCTTTATTCTGAGCTAGGATCTCACTATGTAGCCCAGACTGGCCTCAAGCCTGCAGCAATCCTCCTGCTTCAGCCTCCCAAGTGCTGGGATTACATATGTGAACCACCATACCTAGCTTATGTTCTTTTTAGGTTTGTTTGTTTTTGATGGGACTGGGGTTTGAACTCAGGGCTTTATGCTTACAAAGCAGGTGCTCTATGCTTTAGCTATACCCCAAGTCCATTTTGCTCTGATTATTTTTGAGATGGGGTCTTACAAATTATTTGCTCCTAGGCTGGCCTTGAACCACAATCCCTCTGATCTCAAGTCTCCAAAGTAGCTAGGATTATAGGCACGAGTCACCAGTGCCTTGCTGGCTTTTGTTTCTTTTCAAAATTTAAAGCAGAACAAATAATTATGTCCAACAGGTGACTGGATCCTTTTTTTGTTGGAGGGGGTGGGAAATGCGGTACTGGGGTTTGAACTCATGGCCTCATATTTGCTAGGCAGACATTCTACCATTGGAACTACTCTGCCAGCCCTTCATTGGGTCTTTTTTTTTTTTTTCTTCCTTCTTTTTTTCTTCCATTGGGTCTTTTAAGATTAATTTCTTTTTTTTCTCCTTTGGTGTTCTGGGTTTGAACTCAGGGCCTCATGCTTGCTAGCTAGGCACTCTACTACTTGAGCCACTTTCATCTATGCCCCACAGACAATTAAGTAGAGTGGATTCTACTTCATCCCTGAAATTCTTTAGCAAGCACAAAACAATGAGGGGACATTATCTGTCCCTAGCCGCCTCTGTTTCCAGGTCAGGTGACAGATATAGAAGACAAAGACTGCCCCTGGCCCTCATTTATTCAATTTGTGTGTGTTTGTGGTGTTGGGGATGCAATCAGGGAATCAAGAAAAGACAGGGTAGCATAACACTGAGCCACACCCCCCAGTCTGAGCTCTGGTCCTCTTGAGGCTTGCATTTGTTTTACCCAGTGGTCGGAAGGCTCATATCACAAGCTCCAGTAGTACATAGTAGGTAGAATATAAGAGTTAATAGTCAACCACCCTAGCCTACAAAGTCTCACTAGCCCATACTGCTAGGGACACCCAAGGTACCTACCCTGGCCCAGGAGTAGTCCATGGGCACTGTTGGGGGCGGCACCTCCTGAGCAGGTACAATAGCTCCTTTGGTCACAAGATCTTCATATACAAATCTAAAAATGAATATGAGACAATATTCATTCATGTGGATTTCATTATTCTGGGCTTCTCCACCTAACTGAAACATCATAGGCTTCTTCCACTGTCAGTTGCTTACTCTTTCTGGCTGGATTCTAAGAACTAAATGAAAACAAGTTTTGGCCAAGATTGTCCTCACTCCCTTACCCCATCTTCTCCTCTCTGCATGGAGATTAACAGAAAGTTGAAACTGGGGATCAGGGAAGGACAGGTTCAAGAGGTAGCAATAGGAAATCAAGTAACACTATCAATCAGGCAACATTTTCTAAGCATTTCTCTGTTCATCTCTCATACGGTTACCAACTCCCAAGGCAAGTAGGTGAGCCCAGAAACAAAACAGGTTTTAACACCAACCTGAGCAACCTGGACCTGCTGCTTTTACAATCAAATTAAAATAAGAAAGCCAAGAGAAGGATGGTTTTGAACCATTTGAGCAGCTGCACTGAGGCCTGAGAGGGACCAGGACTATTTGGTGCCCTGTGTTGGAGTGGCTGCTGTCCTCAGAGGGATTAGGAAAGGTCCCTCTCCAAGGTCCACGTACTGGATAATCTCTCCAAGCTCATCAAAGCTCCGGGGCACAAACACTCCTGCTTCCTTCAGAGCCTGGTTCTTGGCTACTGCGGTTTCAGAAGCCTGATTGGCACAAGCTCCGGCATGGCCAAACTGGACCTGGAAGGCAAAGGACAAGAGCTTTAATGGGCATGTTAAGTCCCCAAGAGAGAAAAATGGATTTTGCAAAACATCAACACTGATCACAAGCTGGCCCATCATATCACATGAATCAAGTTATTCAACTCTCACAAAATAGGTAGGATAGATGACTCCCATTTTATGGAAGGAAACTGAGGTACAGAAACATTCAGGAGCTTATTTGAAACCACAAAGCTAATGCATACTAAAGCCAGGATACAAAGCCTGGTAGTCCAATTCCAGAATCGCCTTCTCCATACAGAGCCACATTCAGCTTCCCTTCGACAGTGGTCGGGGTGGAGGTAGGAAGTAGGGGATTAGTTTTGAGCAACATGTAGAAAAATGAGGTTGTCGGGCACCGGTGGCTCACACCTGTAATCTTAGCTACCCAGGAGGCAGAGATCAGGAGGTCACGGTTTGAAGCCAGCCTGGGCAAATAGTTTGAGAGACCCTATCTGGAAAAAAACCCTTCACAAAAAAAGGCTGGTGGAGTGGCTCAAGGTTTAGTCTCTGAATTCAAACCCCAGCACTGCCAAGAAAAAACAATAAAAAAAAAGTGAGGTTACAAACTGGCAACCTTAGCATAAGATGAACTCACAGATGTAATCTCATTGTTTCATACTATTTTTATGAAAATATACACCAATGATCTTAGAAAAAAAAAAAAAAAAGAAAGAGAAAAGAAAAGAAAGAAAAGAAGAGATCATGTAGAAATACAAATTCCAGCTTGTTTAAAAAAAGTCAGATTTTGCCAGGTACTGGTGATTCACATTTGTAATCTTAGCTTCCTAGGAGGCAGAGATCAGGGGTTTGCAGTTTGAAGCCAGCCTGGGCAAATAGTTTGAGAAACCCTATACCCAACCCAAAAAAGAGCTGGTGGTGGAGTGGTTCAAGTGGTGGAGTACCTGCCTATCAAGTACAAAGCCCTGAGTTCAAACCCTAGTATCACAAAAAAATTTAAAAAAAAAATAAGAGGGAAGAGAAAGCTCATCATATTAATATCTAGCCTGTGTAACCAACATTTACTACCGTCTAACCACTTTCTAAGAGCTCTGCTCATTTTATGTTCTAGTAGCTATGCCTATTTCACATAAAAAAAGAAAATGGAAGTACAGAGGAGCAAAGTAACTCTCCCATAGTCACACAGGTAATATGTGCACTTCAGCAATTTGGCCTCAGCCTATGCTCTTGCATATTGAAGAAGAAAAGGGACCTTCAGAGTTGAAAAGGTTAAAAACCACTACTCTTGTGCTGTTTGAAAAGGTTGACCACATGCTTTAAAGCCTTTTTTAGGACTTCATCAGCCCGGTGGATAGAGGGAAGAAGAGATTCTGTGCTCAGAAATTCTGGTTACAGAAAGTTAAACAAGGTTTATTGTTTTGTATTTCGTTTTGTTTGAGATGGGGTGTTGTAAGTTGCCCAGGTTGGCCTTGAACTCCTGAGCTCAAGCAATCCTCCTTCCTAAGGTTCATGTGTGTATCACTGTGCCTGACTAAACAAATTTTTAAACTTCAGAATTTCTCAAAACTAAAACCCAAATTTCTAAAAAGGGAAATAAAAACTGGGTATGGTGTCACACACCTATAATCCCAGCACTCAAGAGGCTGAGGCAGGAAGATCGAGACTTCTAGATCAGCTTGAGCTACATAGAGATCCTGTCTCAAAACAGCACCCACACACACGTACACACATATAAGGGGTGTTGCTCAAGTGGTAGAGCACCCGTCTAGCAAGTGTGAGGCCCTGAGTTCAAACCCCAATGCTGCCAAAAAGAATTCAAAATCAACTATTAAGGAGGTACCAGTGGCTCACACCTGTAATCTTAGCTACTTAGGAAGCTAAGGTGTCGGGAGGATAGAGGTTCAAGGTCAGCCCAGGCAAACGTACCACGAAAAAAAAAATAAATAAAATAACCACAGCAAAATGGACTGGAGGTGTGGCTTAAGCAGCAGAACACCTCGTTTGCAAGTGTGAAGCCCAGAATTCAAACCTCAGCCCCACCCACCAAAAAAAATAAATAAATCAATTATTAGATAGGCAGTCACTGTACTATTCCACATTGTACATGCTTGTAATTTCATACAAAAAAATTAAATATTAATTTAAAAACAAAAACAAAACATGTAATGGACCTGCCCTACCCATGGGAATGTAGAGTGCCAGCCCAATCCAAAAAGCAAGGTGCTCACCCTCTAAGAGGTGCCCTCAGCATGGTGAGGGGCAGGAGTTGGTAGTGCAAAGCAGGGAAAGAAAAACAATGGAGGGGAAGAATTACTATGGGGCTGTCTGGGAGGAGGAAAGTGTCAAAAGGAAAATCAGTAACAGCTTCATGGAGTAAGTGGATGGAAGAATGCAAATGAAGAGTTGCTTAATCCTATGTTTGCCAGACCTTGACAATCTCCCTTCCTCCCTTCCTTCCTGTACTAGGAGTTGAACTCAGGGCCTCATGCTTGCTATGCAGGTGCTCTACCACTTGAGCTATACTACCAGCCTACACCATAACTTTTTAAAGTTACCGAATGACCCTGTATTCTCCCCATTTTACAGCTCAGGAAACAGGTACAGAAAGGGTGCCCAATTTGCCCAAGTCACAAAGATCCATGAAGATCTTATTTTAAAGCCTGCGCAAGTAATCAAGTAATCTCTGAAGGGTGCCCGATTGTGTGAAATCTCTTTCCCCTTTTATTACTTGGGAAACGCACATGCACATTTCCACTTATACAAAATAGAACCTTTTAAAAACATTTACTGTTGTGTTGCCTGGCTTTTCCTAGATGAACTCTTTCTACATCAACAGAACATAATCCCCCTCATTCTTTTTCTGCCTGACTCATCTGTGTAAAGGTAAACTGGGCAGGCATGAAAACACAGATGTAGCATGATGACAGTTTACTCAATGGCATTTGAGTTGTTTCCATTTTCGACATTACAACATTGCATTGAATTTCCCTGTATACACACTTCTAAGTATTTCTACACGCATGCTATAGGGTAAACCTGCAGAAATGGAATGGCTCCTTCAAAGGAGACATGCATTCTACAACTGGACATAAACTGCTGTTCTGAGGTGGGCAGGAATCTGAAGCATTTTAGAACAAAGATAGTGTAACAAAGGCTTACTAGTAGGGAAAACTAACAGTTTGCATATAAAAGGCTATCATTGTTTCAGAAAGCCTTGGTGGTCATGTTTTTTCTACATATACACAGCACTAAGGAAAGGCCTGAGGGTAATAGGCTCTTCAACAACTACTGATGAACCAATTAGTTGACAAATGATTTTTATCTTTTGGTTTTATCATCATGTGATGAGCTATCTTCAAGATAAAACTGTCTAAGCGATCCCTAGCAACAGACAGCTCAGCAGACAGCAGAAGCTCAGAGAGTGTATTTAACATCTATTCTATGCTGCCAAGTGCTTTCACATATATTCTGCCATCTCTTTTTTTGCATTTTTGCAGACAGGGTCTTGCTTTGTAGCCCAGCCTGACTTGAAACTTGTGATCCTCCTGCCTTAGTGTCCTCTCCCAAGTGCTTCGATTACAGGCATGTATCAACACACCCAACTACACATTATATCATCTTAACATGTCAACAACAATCTCCTCTCACTCTCCAATAGCTACCCTACGGTGTCTGCACCATGGTCCAGGTTCAGTTCCCTCCCTCCTTAGCTTCTCTAAGATGCAGTTCATGCAACACCTTCCCAGTGTAGCCTTCCCAATTCCTGCATACAGTAAGGAGGGAATCTGGGTTGTAATCTGCTCATGAATGTGTTTCTTATGAGTGGACACAAGCTCCCAGAGAGGAGGGCTCTGGCTGGGCTTTGCAGTAAATGAACAAGTAAAACACATTCAATAAAGGAATCAGCTTGATGTGATAGCATTTGACTCACCTCAAATGCCTCCCCTTGCCCTCCCACTTCTACCATACCTCAGAGGAAAACATGGTGGCACAGGTCCCGATGCACCAGCAGACCACTGGCTTGGTGAGGCGGCCCTCCTTGATGCCCCGACAAATCTTATATTCCTCAGTGCCTCCTATCTGCAGCATAATAGGGGATGACAAAAAGCCCATCCTGTGTCATTCCAGGACGAGCAATGCAGCAGAAAAATCTGCCCCAACTCATTCAGGGCCAAAAGACACCAAGTGTCCTATAAGATACAACTTGACTACAAAATGGGAGACATGGGCTTTGGCCAAATAACAGACAGGGAGTTTTAGTTTCAACCTGAAGATTCACCCTAAATGCAGGGAGGAATTCCAAAGGGATAACAGGTCTCTTAGAGGACTCCCCAGGATGCCTCCTTTCTGATCCAGAGTATAAGATGATTTAGATGAGATCTGCTCAGAAAACAAGCAAAAACTTGTCTCTGCCATGGGACTCTCTTCAAATGTAAAATACAGCCCTTTCTGCTCTAACTAGCCACTGCCCACCAGGTAGAGACCCTGGTCAACAGGAGCAGAACTGCCCCTTTCCTGGTGCTAACATCTTGTGCCACTGGGAGGTAAAACCTTCTTTACCACGAACTTACATGGCAGTGCCAACAGTACAACCACTAGACCTCAGTCTCAAAACTGTCACTTTAAGTTATACATCACCAAAAATGCTTGAATTTTTAAAAAACTGAGGTCATATATTACTTTTACAATGAAAAAATGTACCTTTAAAAAAAACTTACCTCTCCAAGAACCACAATCATCTTGACTCCTGGAGTGTCCTGGTAACGCAGCACATGATCCATGAATGTGGAGCCGGGGTACCTGTAGAGAACAGGGAGGACAAAGGATCAGGAGGAGCCTGAGGAGGTGTGCATAGGTGTGGGAAGTCCCTTTGGATATACTAGGAACACTAGATTTTGTCATGGGTATGGATGTCCACTGTGGATCAGAGGTCCTACGATAATGGAGTGGGTCGGAGGAGACAAGAAACAAATGGAGCAGAGGAGAAAGGAAAAAAAAGAGAAGGGAATAGTTATTTAACTTGCAGAGGAAGAGACTGGCCACAGAATAACCCCAGAAAGGTTCATTCATCAGTGGCGATGCCCTTAAAAGCATACATTATGGTTTAAAAATATGTCCCTGCACCAAAAAATAAAAATGTCCATAAATGTGTCAGAAAAGGTGAAACCTGATGCCATTCCTCTTGAATGTGGATTAGATTTAAGAATTAGCTTCTCAGCCAAACACAGTGGCTCATACCTATAATCTTAACTACCTAGGAGGTGAGGATAGGAAGGATTGCTGTTCAAAGCTAGCCTAAGCAAAAAAATTCATGAGATACTCCACCCCATCTCAATCAGTAAAAGCTGGGCATTGTGGTATGCACCTGTCATCCCAGCTACACAGGTACATAAATAGGAGATGATAGTCCAAGCTGGCATGGACATAAATGAAAGACTGTATTTGAAAATACCTAAAGCAGAAAGGGCTATGGGTATGGTTCAAGTGGTAGAGCACCTGCTTAGCAATTGCAAGGCCAGTACCACAAAAAAATAAATAAATAAATAAATAAAATAAACTTCTCATGAATAAAATTGGGCAGAAGTTTTTTTGACACAACAATGGATAATACAATGTGTGAAGCTATGAGCTAGGATGGCAAGTTGTTGCGGGAAGTTCTATATGGCTGGCTTTATTGGTGGTACTGGTAGTTGAAGTCAGGGTTTCATGCTTGTTAGGCAGACACACTATCACTGGAGCCATTCTACCAGTCCAAGTTGTTCCACTTTCTAATGTATATGAGTTTGCAAAAGGGTTGTTTAAGACCAAGAAGATTTCTCTGCAGATCTTCCTGTGTATTATATGTCCAAGAAGACAGTCTAACAAATGGTATTTGCTAGATTTACTTTGATTTAGAGGCTTTGGTCAGGGAGCACCACTAAACACCCTGGCAAATCTTTCTTCTTCCAAGCATCCTATCTCACATGAGCTGGTAGAGCCAAGGAGATGGACAAGGTGACTCACTCTTCCAGAAGCTTCTGGGTCCTGAGCCAGACCACAACAGTAATAATAATAATAAATAGCAACGGCTAATATTTATTATGGATTTAGTAAGTAACAGACATTACTCTGAATGACACTGTTGATAACCATGCTGTTGATGACCTTCTGATCATTGGTCCCAATAACAAAAATAATGAAGTAGGGCATGACAGTGTGTATCTGTAATTCCAGCTACTCATACAAAAAGGTAGCAAGACTCAGTCTCAAAATACAAAATTAAAACAAAAGGATTAGAATGGTAGCTCAAGTAGAAGAATGCCTGCCTGGTATGCATGAGGCTCTGGATTCAATCCTCAGTACCACAAAAAAAAAAAAAAGAGGATACTATTATTAATTATAGTTAACAGTTACCTGAGCACCTAGGAAGTATTAGGTTCTATGTTGGCCTTTCTATATATTATCTTGCCATATATATTCCTGCCAAAGATCTCATGTGGTGGGTGCATTTATTTCACCCATTTGATATCTAAGGACTTCAGAGGTCAAAGGAAGTAAAGTTATCACTCAGAACTCTCTTGTTGGGAAGCTGGACTTGAATACCTTTGTTATGGTTTCAGAACTGGCCCTCCTAACCACTGTACACTCCTGCTTCACTGTGGCCACCCCATAGACAACAAACAGAATCGCCTCCAAAGACCTGAAACACCTATAAAAACTCATTTCCCTATATTTTCTGATTTCCTGTTTCTGCCAGTGCTGAGGCAGGAATGGACTTCGGCAACATCCCCTTAGGCCTGAAGCTAAGTGGCAGTGAGGAGAGACTGCAGGACCCACCATGCCATCTCCCAGCCAGCTACTCTCAGTGTGGGAGATCCCTCTCAGCCCCCAGCTCATTACCTGTCCCCGCCGATGGCCACACCCTCATAGACACCATCCGTGGTTCGGGAGATGATATTGTTGAGCTCGTTGGACATGCCTCCAGAACGTGAGACATAGGCCACACTGCCTGGGCGGTACAGCTTCGAAGCCAGAATGTTGTCCAGCATCCCACCTGTATTCCCGATCTTAAAGCACCCCGGCTTGATGCCCCCAACCTGCAGGGGCAGAAACAGCAAGGAGGATGGTTCCTGACTGACCACAGGACACAGGGGAATCATAAAGCCCTGTTACTTCTGCAAGGTTGAAGAGAAAATGGCTTAGAGAATTACACCTATTTATTGGGTTTCCCACTTAGGAAGATCTCTTCTAAGAGACATTACACAGAAAACAGCCTTTTGTTTAAAAGATGTTACACTTTGGCAGATTCAGATCATAGTACTCTAAGTTAGCTCCCTTGCTCCATAGGGTTATAGCACCCAGCAAAGGTACATAACACAGCTGGGGCTTCTCAGTGCATCATCATGACCTGTCTCTCACATGAAAGTCCCTAGCTTCAGATCTGGGGGCGTGTAGCTCACTTGGCATCTCAAGGCCTTGGGTTCAATCAATAGCACTGAGGGAAAAAAAATCCTAGCCTCCAATTTTTAATGCAACAATTAAGTAAAAATAATAAACTAAAAAATGCAGAGTAACTTCTTATACGAAATTTTTCGAGTCAAAATGAGGCTTTTAGGTAGCTTTTTCTCTAGTTTATCTTTAAAGGAGTATCTGAAGACTATGACATGGTTGTATGAGGTAAATAAACCCAGAATCTCTAGAAGAGAGTAATAAAAGTAAAAAAAAAAAAAGAGGCCCAAGGGCCTCCAACCTAAAAGGCTTTCTAGAGGTTATGCTCACCGTGGCAGGTCCTATTATGGTCACTCCCTTCTGATCAGCCTTCTTGATCAGCTTCCGTGTAAGGGCCTCGGGTATGCCTTCTGCTATGATGGCAATGGTCCGGATCTAGAGGATTAAAAAAGTCCCCTCCTGTGAACATTTTGCCTCAGACATGCAACAGGGAGGTACAGTTCAAGGGTCCACCTCCTAAATCTATGCCCCCTTCCAGGCTCCAAGAACAAAGTAATGTTAACAGTATACATCTTCTTCCCACAGGCCTCTGTACTACCCTGCTCACTTTAACCCCCTCCCAAACAGAGAAGCAGTAGACACCAAAACAGATCTCAGTTGGCTAACACCACAGGGATTGAGTACATGAGCAGAGGCAAATGTTTCTAAAACTCTGCTACAGTCTCTCCAAAAACTTCAGATCCAACTGATCCCTACTTGCCCTTGAATCTTCTCATAAAGCAGCTATCTATCACTTTTCTTCACAGTACCCACTAAGTCTCAACTATGTCCTCAAGGGTGGGGTCAATGTGTGAGAGAAATGAACTGTTTTCGCACTTAGCCCAGAGTGCTGGCAGGAGGAACAGGCCAGAGGGGGATAGAGGGAAGTGGGAAAGATTCAAGAACTATGTCTCTTTGGCTGTGGGCCAGAGGCCAGCAAATGTCTGTAAAGGGTAAAGATCAGTTTAGGCTTTGTGGTCTTGTAGTCGCAGTCGCTGTGGCAATTTTTCCAATGTGAAAGTAGTCATGGACAATATATAAATGAAAGTATGGCTATGTTTTATAAAACTTTATTTACAAAAACATGGCAGGGTAGGTTTTGCCTTGGACTATAGTTTGTCAGTACCTGCTCTAGACTAAAAAAAAAAAAAAAAAAAAAAAACTGCTCATCTTTAGCAGATGTGCTTTCTTTTTCACTTCATCTAGATATCAAAACAATTTTAGCCAGCAGCCAGTGGCTCATGCCTGTGATCCTAGCTACTTGGAAGGCAGAGATTAGGAGGATTACAGCTGGAAGATGGCCCAGGGAAAAAGTGAGACCCTATCTCAAAAATACCCAAACAAAAAAGGGCTGGCAGAATGGCTCAAATGGTAGAGCACCTGTCTAGCAAGCGTGAGGCCCCGAGTTCAAACCCCAGTACCTCCAACCCCACCCCGTGCAAAAAAAATTTAATCTTCTCCAGTCATCAATTAAAGCCAACTGGGACCAGACAATAAAAGAATCAATATCCTAATCTTTATAAAGATTTTATAAATCAGTAACAAAACCAAAGGCAAAGACTCCAATAGAAAAAAAAGGGGAGGGAGGGCAAGTCATAGAATACGAATGCCAAAGTTTTTAAAAACTCATCTTAATTAATCATCAAAGATTAAATAGAATTAAAAATTAAATAGAATAACAATTAATTTGGTAAATGTTTAGTGTGAGCAAGGGGAAAAGGGATGCAGTACATTTAAACTCCCAATGGGTGTTTACATCATTACATCTTTTCTGGAAGTCAGGATGGATCGAAGATTGTCAAATCTTCATGTTCTGATTTAATAGTTCAATTTCTAGAAATTTATGCTAGGGCAATAATTAAGGATTTATGAAAACATTAATCCATGCTGCTTGTCACAAGATTTGAAAAACAAAAAATGATATTGCCAGCAAGTGTCTATTGATATGGAAGGAGTAACTGAAGGAAACAGATTACACAATAGTTACCAGGCCATTTGTTCAAATCAGAAAAAGGTGTGGATTAGATTAAACTCAAACTTCAGCAGCCATGTTTCTGGGAAATGGGACTTGGAAGTATCTATTTTCTTTATCAATACTTCAATTTTTTTCTGTAGTAAGTATGTGACTTTTTTGGGGAGAGTGGAGAGGGCACTGCTAGAGATGGAACCTAGAACCACACGCATGCTAGGAAGAGCTCCACCACTGCCCTGTACTACCAGTCCAAGAAAGTGCTTTTTTATTTTACTTTATTTTTCGGGTGGAACTTGGGTATGAACTCAGGGTTTCACAAGTTACTAAACAGGCACTCTACTGCTTAAGCCATGCTTCTAGCTCAGGAAAGTGCCTTTGATCCTGTTTTTCAAGCCAGTCTTGGCTAGCACAAAGAGGATCTGGTGGAGGTAGAACAGTTGGAACTGAACCTTGGGTAAGCCCAGCAAAGCAGCCCCTGTCTGCTCTGACCTGCCCTGGGTCACTTCTGACTTCACTTTCTCCCAAACCACTGACTTCTCCTGACTCCCAAATCCTTTGTCCTAAGTAGCTTAAACTGTAGACATCATTCTGGAGGTTTTCCCACTTCCCCACCCAACACCCTAGAGCCCAGTGATCTACCTGTGAGTAATTCATGGTTTCTATGGTGCTGTCGTAGGCGGAGCGGAGAGAGGCAAAGTTGATCAGCACATCTACCTCTGGGTGCTTCTTCATGGCATCAGCCATGTTCTTGAAAACAGGGATCAGGATTTCCTTGTGTCCCCAGTAAAACTTTTGCTTGTGATCCCCACTGTGACACAGCAGAAAAAGGATTAGGACATCCTCGACCCATCAGCCCTGGGGAGGGGGAAGCTGAGGGGAAGAACTTCACCCAGAAGGCAAACACGCAAGGTCTCTACCCTCAAAGAATCTCTATATAAGGGGAAAAGATCATCCAGGAAAATGGACAGCCCCTAGCTGCAAGATGGGCAGATTCTTCCCCCTCAAAGAAGCTTTATCTCAGAGGGAGGAGATGAGATGAGGAATCTCACTTGACAGTCATCTATCTCCTGCAAGACTCACGTGAAGGGGTAGACCATGGCAGCCACTGAGGGCTCATCTCGGGAGCACACATAGTCAAAGTCCAACATGCCTTGCACAGCCCGGGTCTGCATGCCCCATACGATGGCCTTGGTATGGCGGCTGAAGAGGGTGGCATTCTTTCCTGGCGGGCAAAGACAGAGAGTGCACCCAGAACACACACCCCCAAGAGACCAAGAGGCAGGGGTTGCCTGCCAAACTCCATATGCCCCAAGTCCAGGATGGTGGCTCTTAAAAAAAGTAAAAGAATGATAAGATGATAGAATTCTGATAATCTGGGGGAAGAGGTGCCTCAATTTTTTTGGAAGGCGGCAGCAGAGAGGGCAAAAAGAGCTAAGAAGACTTGCCTGGTTGGTAACAGCTTCGCAATGAATAGAAAAAGTCTCCCTATACAAAGAATGGGTGTATAGCTGAAGACGCCTGGAGGAAAATTCCTTCAGGACCTACTTAATTTCACAGGAGAGGTATATAATCAGCTCATATACAAATGTGACCTTAATTTCACTGCGGGGGTGGGTGAAGCTTTAGCCCTCCCAGTTTTGATGGCCTCAGGACTTTAAACAATATCCCAACAAAACTTATCACCCTGTAAATCTGGACATAAACCCAGCCCTAGTCAGAGTTTGAATTCTCACAAATTCTAGGTCAGTGTAGGTCCAATGAAGAGGTTTGCTACAGCCAGGGCTGAGGCCAGGGCAGCATTATCTCTAATTAAGGTTCCGGTCTGGGTTCTGGCACAAGGAAGGAGCAACAAGCTGGCCACGCAGAGTCATGACCTTCTTTTGTATTTACCCAACCTCCTCCTGTCTACCAGGTAGCTCTCTGCTGCTCAGAACAATGCTCTAAGGCAGGAAAGAGGTAAGGGGCAAAAGAAGGAACTAAAAGAAGCTGGCAAAAGTGCAATCCTCAGCCCACAGGGAAAGGGCCTTTCCCCTCAGCTTCCTGCAAGTCCAGGTGGAGGAAAGCAGCCATTGGGGGAGGTTCTAAGTTCCCCCAGGGAGAACAACAAATCTAACCCAGTAGTATCTGTATTAATTAACCTACTGTACTAGTGCAGGCTTGGCTAACCAAGACCAAGGTCTGATTAAATCTCCGTACAGGCCAAAAATAAGCTTCGCATGCCAGAAGGCTCCTGATGTTGCAAATACCTGGGATTTACTGTTACCCAGACCCATGGATCTGATAAGACATGGGATCTCAGAACAAGAGAAGCCACCTAATCCAGTTCTCACTTCCAGCCCACAAAAACTGAAGGCATGACGCTAAATGACAATGATCTTAGACCACCTAGCATAAGAGTCATTGGGAATCACTGATTTATACACTGAAGGAAGAGGATTATAAGTGAGAGAGAGACACTCTCTCTCTCTCTCTCTCTCTCTCTCTCTCTCTCTCTCTCTCTCTCTCTCTCTCTCTCTGCTATTCCCTGGGGGATCCCATGCCGTCAGTGTATTCAGGCATCTATTTTCAAAGATCAGGACAAAGGCTGAATTTCCAAAAACCTACCCACATCTTCCACATTAAAGGGCAGAACTCAAGTGCTCACCTCCTCAAGCACAGGGAAACCAAAGCCAAGAAGTGGCCCCCAGCAGCAGGGAGGCCACAGCGGGAACCTCTGGTGGGGAGAGTATTAAGCCCCTTCTTACTGGCCCTGCTGAGGGATGATCTGGTCTCTTCTCTGTCCCATCCTCCCTTGTCTTCTCCCACTTCACAGCTCTCCTCCCCTGGAATACAAGAGTTCCTAGGGGACTGGGCAGAGTGGCTCAAGTGGTAAGAGCACCTGCCTAGCAAGCATGAGGCCCTGAGTTCAAACCCTAATGCCGCAAAAAAAAAAAGGAAAAGAAAGAGAGTTCCTGGGTGACTAGAGTCCATCCCTGTTCCATGTATACATTGGTCTTGCCTTCTAGGCAACCATGGATCTTATCAGAGGCAGACAATCTAGGGATTAAAAGGAGGTATCAAACAGAAGCCTGCAATCATTGTCCTTCCCTAGTTAATCCCTCCCCCTGGCAAGGGACAAAGTCATCTCAGAAGACTTCCCTATTCTCTTTTTGACAACTGTGAATGGCAAAATGTTACAAGGAGGGATTGAAGGTGTAGCTCAGTGGTAGAGCATTTGCCTAGCATGCAGGAGGCCCTGAGTGTGGCCCTTGGTATGGAAAAAAGTTACATGGAAACTCTGAAGGTTAGGATTGAATGTGTGTATGCAAAAACTGTTCATTGTAAACTATGACCTCAGATACCAGACAAAGCCCACATCCTTTTCAATAACCTACCCTATAGATACACTGCACAGCCTTCTTGGTTTCTGCATCTCTCTATTTCTATCCTGCTCTTCCACCAAACCCCAGGAGAGATCTAAACTTGTCTAAAGATTAGGAGTTCTGGGACAAAGCTGGCAGTGGTAAAGCTGAGGAAGGAAAAGTGAAGAAAGGGTGACACTGAGAAACAGATGAGTGACCTGTGGCACCAGCAACCATAAATGCCCAATGCTCTCTGCCACTCCCCTTTCAGCTGGCTCCAACTTCCCAGGACACCGCCCCCCACACCACCACATACACACACTTCCTGACACCCCTCCACTCTCCAAGTTATGGGCTGGCTCTCACTCCTTCTGTAGTCTCCACCTCCCTCCCAAGCAAGCAGCCAGAGATAGCCACACGGTGAGGAGAATGCTGAGTGAGGGCAAGTACTAAACAGAGTGGGAGGGCACAAAGAGCAAAGACTTGAGGGCAAGCCATACAGAGGTGGAAACAGAAAATGTACTAGACAACACTGCAACCCACCAGGGGAGGGAGAAATACCACACAGAAAAACTGTAACCCACTAACAAAGCCACACACGATTGGGGCAGGGTGGGGGCATCCTACCTTGCAGGGATCTTGGACTTGGGACTGAATCTGTCAAAGAAAATGACCAAGGCAACTGAGTGATCTGCTGATGGCTGGAGGCTTTGGTTGGAGAGGATCCCATGGACAAGCCTTTGTGTACTGACACCCTTCTATTCCACAATGAATAGAAGGACTAAAAAGCCAACAGAAGAGGCAAAAGCACCACTCAGCAGAACAGAAGCAGGAAAGGACAAAGAAGCAGAGAGAGAGGGCAGGGGAGAAGGAAGGCTGAGTGGTGCACTGAACACTAAGGCCTCTTCCAGGCACTCTGGAAGGACACAGGGTGGTGTACTCCCATCTGGACTCTCAGGCTGGCTGAGTCACACTCTTTTAATGTTAATCCCTCTTTTCTCCATGCAGCAAAGTATGGTGATTAGACCAGAATGGGGCTGAACCTGTCATTCTCTGCTGTGGACAAAGCTGCTGACTTGGTTCCAGATGGTGAGCCCCTGGAGTTAGTGCAGCATTTGGAGCTATTTCTCCAAATGCCTTAGCCCAGCCTGTTTGTATGAGGAAGAGGCTGCACAGATTCTATTAGCCAGTAGTTACCAGCCCTACTGATCTACTGCTGGCATAAGGGCTGGCTCAGTGTTATCATGACTCAAGACAGGCTGGTAGTCGGGAGAGTAATATGTGTGCAAGAGTCCCCAGCTGGTGGAGGTGGGCAGACTGCTATCACAGGAGAACTTCGTACTTCCTGGTATTGCTGAAACCCTGTCTCCTCTGCAGCCTTCCCAATCAGCTCACAGCCCCCAAGGAAGATCAGGGGTAGAAGAGGGTGGGGAGTGAGGTGACTCAGGCACAGGGTGAGTCCTCGGCTCCATGTAAGCCCAACAGAAGGCTAAGTCACTTCATCCTCATATCCCATTCCCATCACACGCCGAAGCCCATTCCCATAGCCAAGCGTGGACTGCTTTCTACCTGTCTCTGCCAATTTCCCTGAGAGGAAAGAGACAGGGAAGATGCTGAAGGGCCATTTCTGGCATTGTGCAAAAGTTCTGCAGGTTACCTTGAGGCATGGCAGGCTTGGCCTTCTTTGCAGGTGCCACTTCATCAGCCCTGGACTCAGAAAAAGACGCTGTCCTGCTGGGGGCTGGAGTCTAGTGATACAAAGAGAGAATAAGGTAAGAATCACAGGTGGTGGCCACTCGTTCTTAAGCCCCCAAAGAAACAAATGAGCAAAAATTACATATAGCACTGTTCTCCCTTTTTTTTTTTGAGACAGGGTCTTGCTATGTAGCCCAGGCTGGCCTAGACTTCAAGATCCTCCTGTGTCAGCTCCAAGTGCTGGAATTACAGATGTAGTACCACACTCAGCTCAGCACTGTTCTTTATAAATTGCTTCTAAAAGTACTATTCTAACAATGCTGAGGTAGGACTTAATATTGTCCCGTTACAATGAGTGGACAAGCTATCCAAGGTCCCTCTCTCAGCAAGCATAGCCAGATATGAACTCAAGTCTTAATTTAAAAATCTTTGGTCTTTCTATTAGTCTACCTTGACTGGAGCACAAAAGAAACAAGCATAGGGATCCAAAAAACAACCATGTAATAACCTCCCCTGTATTTCCCCCTGCTCTTAAATGGCAGAAGAGGGGTGCTATGTCCTAGATGAGTGGGTGGAGGTGAGAAAGAAAATATGGTACCTTCCTCTGAGGTAGAAGGAAACCTGGCACCTACCGACGTGCTCCCACTGGCATTGAGGAGGAAGTTGGCAGTGTGGGCTGCTGTGGGTGGCTGGTTGGGGATGGGCCGGTGACCCAGAGCCATGCCTACAATGGCTGTCATGTGAGTCTCTGTGCCGAAGACATGGATGGGAATCCCAGTGGTCTTCCCTACGAAAGAAGGTAAAGAATCCACGATTCAAGTCTTAAGAGTAAGTGCCTGAGTTCCCAGGCCCCTTTCCATCTTATTCAATGTTTGGTACTTTCAGTACCAAGATCAATTATCCAGGACAAATCAGTTGTCAAAATTTCATGACTAAACAAAACTTTCTAAAGGTCATCTACTGACAAGGAGGAAGAAGCAGCCTTACTGGCAAGCCTCAAGTTGACCACAAGCACTATTAGTGGGCATTCCTCCTGATCACAGCCAGGACTCTAGCTCTCCAACCTCTTCTACCCTCATCTGCACTACCTCACCAGCCTAATCTCTCAGTTCTTAACCACCTTGAGCTGGTTCTCCCAGCGCCCTGTCCCTACCTGTCCCTCTGCATGGAGCTGGAAGTACTCACTGAGCTCAACCCAAGTATCACCTGCTGAGAAAGGCCTTCCCTGGCCTTGAAGGCCACCACCTTCCTCTCCACCCTACCATCTTTCTGATACAGAGCCCTAGCTAACATCATTTTCTTAATCCAATTGTTTACTTTTCAATGTTCCACTTGGAAGAGCATGATTTGTTAACATTCACCCTCAGGGCCTTGCCCACAGTAGGTCCTTCATTTTAAGTGAATGAATGAAAGCTAGCACTTGGTACCACTTTAAGTCATTCACAGGGGTTTAGCATCTGCCATGGATATCAAATTTGGAAAAATGGGAAAATGGAAAGGTTTTGTTTTTCCAATTAGAGGGAAAGCTCACTAAGCAAGACTGTCCTCTTTTCTATTACCTTCCTGAATTTCATGTGAAGTCCTGCTCCACACAGAACCGCCCTTAGCAATGGGGCTGCATTTTAAGACCAAAGCTGCTGGTCCCCAAGTTCACTTGTTTCAGATTTAATCCAGCTGACTTAGGGAGACCCCACTTTAGTTCTGACTGATGAGACAAGGTACCTGGCTTTTTTTTCTTTTTTTTTTTTTTCTTTTGGCAATACTGGGGTTTCAGGGTCTCACATAGCTTTATTACTTGAGCCTCTCCGCCAGTCCTGTTTTATGTTGGGTATTTTCAAATAGGATCTCGCAAACTATTTGCCTGGCTTTGAATTGTGACCCTTCTGATCTCTGCCTCCTGACTAGCTAGGATTACAGGCATGAGACACCAGTGCCCGGTGGTCCCTAGCTTCTTGAAGGCTCTGAGTTGGAGATACCACAAAGCTGCACAGTCACAAAACACAAATGGGAGAAAGGAAACCAACATGGATGCCATTCTGTCTCCTCCCTCATCTCACTGAAGGTCAATTCTCCCATTTTACCAGTTGTCCAACCCTTATCCTCTTGTTTCCTGTATCTGGCCACCAGTGGGCAGGAGCTTGTCTTCTCCACAACTATAGCCTCAGTCCCTGCCACCACTATTGCCCCGGACAGGTGCCACAACCTTGTAGGTGGTCTCCCTACCTCACCCTGGCCACCTTTCTGTCTCTTCTCCACCCAGAGGCCAAATAACCCTACTCAAACCTGATGGTGCTGCTCTTCTGCTCAAAGTCCTCCCATGGCAGGGTCACAGCCATGTCCTCCAGAGATCTGTACAGCCCTGCCCTTCTTTCCTTTGGCCCCAATCCCACAAGCCCACCCCCACTGCAGGATCTTGTACCCTTTCTTCTGCAGGCATGGCACTGAGCTGCTCCCTCCTCTACTCCAAATCTTTGCTCAAATGTCACCTTTTAAACCATACATTTTCTTTTCTTTTCTTTTGTGGTACTGGGGCTTGAACTCAGGGCCTTCACCTTGAATCACTCTGCCAGTCCTTTTTGTGATGGGTATTTTTGAGATAGAGTCTCATGAACTATTTTCCCAGGCTGGCTTTAAACCACAATTCTCCTCATCTCTGCCTCCTGAGTAGCTAGGATTACAAGGTGTGAGCCACTGGTGCCTGGCTTAATCACACATTTTCTACTCACCCTACTTTTTTCCCTGCTTTGTCTTCCTTCATGGCATTCCACATTCTCTGACCTGGTCAAGCTGTAACCCTGGTATCCAGCACAGAACAGACACAGAGCTCAGCAACAATGCTTTCCTGCCCATTCTCAAGTTTAAGATAGATACTCTGTCAGGGGGTGGCAGAGGATGAAAAAGCCCAAAGACCAACTCCTTCAAAAATGCAGAGGCAGGCCATCAACTCTCAGAGTGGGCAGGAGAAAAAAATCCCAACTTACCAACTTCTCCCATCACCCGTAAGCCTTCCTGATAGTTGGGGCCGCCTCTTCGGACAAAGATCGTGACCTCATGCTCCTTCAGAGGACCCTGGTAATCTCGAATTGCTCTCACGATACCCTAGAAGCCCAAAGAGACGTGAGAGATGTGTGACTAAAAGAAGGCAATCGCCAATCAGTTATTTATAACCATGATAAACAAATGTACCAGGTGTATGTGACAAGGGCCGCTTCTCACAATGCATGGCAGACCCACCCTGGTGGTCAAATATCATACATGTGCTGAATGAACTTTGCAACCCAAAGGCTTAGTATGTGATCACTTGCAATGCTGTCGAGTGGTAGCTGAGAACCATACCCTTCAATACACTGGTACATTGGGGCTTGCTGGTCTCTCTTGCTCTGAAAAACATTCTTTTTTTCCCCCTGGAGATGGTGTCTCATAAACTATTTGCCCAGGTTGGACTTGACCCATAATCCTCCAATCTCAGCCTGCCAAGTAGCTAGGATTACAGGTATGAGTCAACAGAACCTGGCTACAGTCATTCTTATCTCGTAACAATGGGGGTTGAGGGAAAATCTATGTCAAGGCACTACACAAAGATTCTCAGAGGTACAAAGACAGTCATTTTTTTTTTCCAGTACTGGGGTTTGAACTGAGGGCCTCATGCTTGCTAGTCAGGTACTCTACCACTTGAGCCACTCCACCAGCCCAAGACATAGTCTTCTATTACAAAAACAGAACAGTTCTTACAATGGATATCCATCCACCCAGTCTGGAAAATATGAGTCTGTTTCTCCAGAAGACTGGTTTATGAGCCTGAAGTCTAATTGGCATTTCATAGGAAGCTCTCTGTAGTTCCTACTCCACACCTAGCCACTCCATATCTTACTCAGGGTTCTGCCTTTACCACAGTACTGCTCTCAAGTTAAAGCAATACTGCCAAGATGCACCTGCTTCAGATTTATCCATTAAATTGGGTCCAGTTAGGGACCAAGGTTGATACCTATTATTATCAAGACATGGAAGGGCTGTATGTGGCACATATTTGCACAGCCTCACTACACATGACAGTATAGAATAATGAACACCCTCCTGAGGTGGCTTGAAAGGACAACTCTTGAGACGTGTTAGTTCTTCACTGACTGACAGGCACAGTTTCAGCTCATGGCACTAACCCAAGCTGATGGGACCCTGACTGGATGACGTCATCAAAATTCTGTGCTCACTGCAAACTTTTGGAGTATGGGCTGGTGATTGAGGGATTAAAGACCAGGAGGTGCAGAGAACCCAGAGAGTTAGGACAGGGTATTGAAAATGAGAATCAATCAATCCATTTCTCCAAGAATTGGTCCTGGGAAGGAAGGCAAAGTAAAAATTCAACTTCCGCTTTGCTTTAGATGAGAGAATTATGGTCCAGTGCAGTTTCAGACCCACATCTCCTATGTTGGTGCCTTCTGCACCCCTAACAAGAACCCTATGGCTAATTTTAATCTCCAACACCAAGAAAAATAAATAGAGCGAGGCAGACCCCTACCAAGACTTGATTCTGGCTCAAATCTTGTATTTCCCAAACTCACTTTCCCCAAAAACTGTTCCATGACTATGGCTGATTACCTTGAAGGTGGCAGCCACATTGGTGAAGTTTGCGATGCTGCCTCCAATGATGAGGATCTTGCCTAAGTGTAGAGTAAGAAAAAAGTAAAAAATGGTTAGAGGTAGTTTGGAACATGGGTTCCCTAACTGTAAGAGGTATCAGGAAGTGAGCAGGATGGTCTCTCCTGATGTTCATTCAGCCGTATCGGCTCAGCCATCCATCATCTGCACCACAGGCAGGTATCATTCAAACCCACAGAACCCTACATCACTACTAGTGATGGTCCAGTTTGGTTTCTGGATACCTTTGATGGGAATCTCTCTCTCTCTCTAGCTGAAAGGAAGAGAAACTGGTATGTATAGCCCCCACACACTGGATAGGTGGTAAAGGGAAGCTAGGAGTCACAAAGCTCAATGATATATAAGAGGGTCACTAGGAACTGAGTTAACAGCAATCATGGCAGGAGCACACTGCTACTCCTCCTCCTCTTCCTTTGTCCCTATTTATTGGGCCATACTACACATAGCCTTCTTACTCACTGAAAGCCTAAATCTGATTGATACTGTCACTGCCCATTTGTAGTCAGGGAAATTGAGGTTCAGAAATTCAATGACTAGCCCCAAGTTGCAAAGGACCAGGACTACAATTTTGGTGACAACTAGACCAAAGCTGCATATTACACTATTCCAAAAGAAGGATGTGTGTGTTGTATGTCTGTGTGCACATGTGCACACTCATGTTAGTGCCTCACCATCTGGGTGCTTCTCTCGGGTCATAAGAGAGAGGATGGTCTTGGCGTAGTCATAGGTCTGCTGTTCACTGGGGGCACCTGAGTACTCTCCATAGTTCGCCAGCTCGTTGACACCACCTAGATCGCAGATGGTATCACTGCCAGGGGAACACAGAAGTCAGTGGTGGTTTGGGGCAGAAGACAGCTTAGTGCCTGGGAGGGTAAACAGTCCTTTATCCCAAAGCACTGAAATCAAGTCTGTGGAATTAGCCCTTTAACCTACTACTCTCAACCCCAATGCAAGCCTCACTTGAAGGTCAATGCACTTCACAAGACTTTCAAAGGTAGCTCACTCTGCCAGCCCTGGGGCACCAGGGCCCCGGGAGGTTTGAGTAAAATGAACAGTAAGCACCTGCCCAAAATAAAGACATAAAAATCCACATATCGTAAGAGTTCTCTACAAGCTACACAGTGAAGAAAACTGTGCCGTAGTTAGAGTAGCAGCTAGCCAGAAGGGACCATGCCAGATCATATGTCTAGAATGGGCAGACACTGCTTTCAGAGAAAAAAACTTAATTATTGCAAAGGGTATAGCATATGATCCCAATGAAATATAAGTCAGGTGCTGGTGGCTCACGCCTATAATCCTAACTACTTGGGAAGCTGACGTTGGGCAAATAATTCATGAGGCCCCCATCTCCAAAAAAAAAAAAAAAAAAAAAAAAAACACACACACTGGAAATGTGGCTTAAGTAGTACAGCATGTTTTACAAGCACAAAGCTCTGAGAGTTCAAACCCCAGTCCCACCAAAAAAAAAAAAGTTACATAGAGGTTTGGTGGAGTAGCTCATATAGCACTAGTGTGAGGCCTTAATTCAACCCCCAGTACAAAAAAAAGAAAAAAGTTATATAGGTATAGGTATTAAAAAAAAGTCTGGGAGGATACAGAATGTTCACCAGGGTAACATGGTAATGAAATGAGTCAGGCAATCTTCACTTTCCAGTGCATTTCTGTGTTATCCTTTTGTAGGGGCATATATCACTAATAATGAGAACTGAGACTCATAAAAATAGCATCATTTTGAAGCACACAAGAAGGTTGCAGAAGACACTCTGCAGGGCAGGCCCTCATCAGAAAACCCTCTCCCCCTGGGCACACATGGGTGGACACTGGGTAGATCTGGCTGGCATCCCTTGATGCAGCCCCCTGTCACCTGTACACGACGGAGGCACCACCCCCGGCCACCATGGTCCAAATCCTCCCCTTGGGGTTCAGCAAGGTCAGCTTTAGGCTTGCTCCACTTTTGGCATCCAGGTCTGCAATGTAGGCTTCCTAGGGACCAGACAGCAACATTTGGCCCTTGGGATGTCCCCTTCACAGATTCCCAGACCCCAGGACCATTCCCCTTTCCATGAAGTCAGCATCCCTCAACCACCTTAATGGGATGGAGAAGAGACTGCACAGGGTCCCAGATGCCTGAGACAAAACAGTGGTGTCTTCAAGTACCAAAACCACTCACAGCCACAGTTGCCACCTGCAACAAACTTCCCAACTCCAATTCCTGACTTCAAGTCCTTCACTTTGCTTCTACACACACCCCACTCTAGCACCTGCCTGCCTAGCACATCCTATGCCTCTCCCAGCCTGGCTGGGTTACTTCACAGAAGGCCTGATACTGCTGGTAGGACTTCTCAGAGGATAGAGTGGGAAGGAGAAATTAAAATTCTCAGCAAGTGGCTGACAGACTACCTTCCTGACTCAGGGGGAGCCACTTAGAATTATCAAGAAGAAACAAATCAAGTTAAGAGCCCAGGGAGGCTGATTGAAAACAAAGTCTAAAAGGATTGCTGGCTGGGATTCAGAGGCTTGGCGGACTACCACCCTCATCCCATTGGGATTTTAAGAAAATTAAATGGTTCTTGGTCTTTCTTTCCCTGCCAAATACACAGCTGAGAAGGGGACCTAATGCTTGTCTGAGATTAGTCACCCTGGCCTCTGACCCCATCATCTTCCCTCTCCTCTCCAAACTTGCCTTACCTCTGGATATGCCTCACGCCCAAAGGGGGGAGGGAACTCAATATCGCCCCACTTCACTTTGCAGATGTAGTCAGCTGTGGCATCCACCTTGGCTGCCAAGTCGAGGATATAGACGCCATCTTTGGTCACAACTGGAAGAAAAACAGAAGTAATCAGTCACTGGCTCCAGGTAAAGACAATCATTAATCTCCAAACCCTTTCACCAGACTTCCCTAAGTACTTCCCCCACAGGGCCCATAGCTTTTCCTCACTAAAGGAACAGCAAATTCTACAAGAGTATTTCCCATTCCCTGACCTTCTGAGAACAGGACAGGTATTAGCTGCCATGGCAATAGTCAGATATTTTAACAAAATGATATAGTCCCTGCTTTAAATATGTAATCATTCATCCATCCATGGCCCTGCCATTTTTAAAGTGTAGCTTAGTGGTAGAGCATATGTTCAGCAGGTGTGAGGCCCTAAGTTCAAACCTGAAATAAACAAATAGTGTTAGGTACACATCGCTATCAGAAGACCTCCTAGGTGTGTACATCTGGGGTTCCTCGAGTCCAGCTAGAAGCCTCAGTGTCAGGTAGAATGGGAGGCTGTGGGTGCACTGAGCTCCCAAGCCAGTAGGATTTATTTACTGCAACCTCACTGGGTATTCATCTTCCTTTCTCCCCAGGGTCATTTAGCTAATTAAATTATCACATAGCCATCTGGCCTTTAGAAGGACTGCATTCTCAGCTAGAATCTGATTTGGTTTCTTAGCTTCCTGAACTTTACCCCAGGAGCTCTGGCCAGAATCAGCCCACACCCCTCTTCCCAAACACCACCTGCTTCTTCACAGCCTAAGACCTGCAGCAAGCTCTTCCCTGTGTTGGGGCCAATGATTGACCAACTCTCCACAGGGAGGGGTAAGTGGGGCCTCTGAAAGCACTAAGAGGAAAGAAGGGCCTGAAAAGGACCTGGGAAGCCTAACCCGCTGGCAGGAACAGCAACCCAATACAGTCAGATCAAAACCAAGACTTCTCTATCACAGGGAAAATTAAAGCCAAAGAAAGAATCTGGGGTTGGTTAAAAGAATAATTATAATCTTCTTTTTCTTTATTTTTTGACAGTACTGGGGTTATCAGGGCTTCAAGCTTGCCAGGTAAGTACTCTTACCACTTGAACCACACCCCCAGCCCTTTTTTGCTGTAGTTATTTTTTTAGATAGAGTCTTCCTAACTTTTTTGCCCAGATTTGCCTTGAACCATGATCCTCCTAAGTAGCTAGGATTACAGGCATGAGCCCCCAAATCCAGCATGAATAATTATAGTCTTCCGGGAGCTCAAAACAGAAGCTAGCCCTAAATGAGCTTGGAGACCCCTCCTCACACACACCCCTGTCTTATACTGCTGCCCTCTGGCAAGAGGAATGGGTTCTCTGAACACCAAGGCCAGGGTTACTGTAGGCACTGGGTACCCATTCTATCTGGCCCTTCCACTATCCCACCGCAGCTGAGCCTGTTACCAAGGGGGTTGATCTCGAGGTAGGTGAAGTACAGGTCCTCATAGAAATTGAAGAGGCCAGAGATGAAGCTGGCTAGAATTCTAGAAGAGAGAAGGAAAGATGGACAGTTAACCCCTCAGGGAGGTGACTCAGTTACCACCACCACCCCCGCCTCCACGGCAATCTCTCATTGCTACTGACAGCCCCACTTTCCTGACTCCTGCCCTGCTGGTCTCTCACTGTCCTCTGCAAATCCTGTTCCCTGGGAGCCACTCTTCAGCCACTGAGGCGGAAAGGAGCTGTCAGGCACAGTGCTAGGGGAGGAAGTGCCAGACAGACAGGGGCAAGGAGGTGAGGGACACTGACAGCATACTGTAGTCTGATTCTAAGCCAGTTCCCTTCCCCCATGCATAGTTCTCTTCCTCAGGACAGGGCTGGTACTCTGCTTTCTCTGGGCTATGCCTAGAGCCCACCAGTCTCACCATCCCCACAGTCCTTCTCACTCAACTCTTTCTTGTCTTCAGGGGCATGGACCAACAGGTGTTTCTTGATGTCCTCGGGATTCAGCTTCTCATCCACACCAACGAGCAGCTTCTGGGCTTTGGCATCCACATCGCCCACATCCACTCCCCCCTCGTGGTGGAACAGCACATAGTCCCCTTCCCGGGTAGCATAGACACACACATAGAACTCTTCCGCCTTGTAGATGAAGACAGCATGAAGCAGGTAAAGACCACTGAACTGGGAAAAATGGGGGCAGCCACCTCGAGCCAGGAGAGGAACTCAATCCCTGTGGTGTCATTTCTGAAACTTGGTAGAAAGCATTCACCCAGGGACTTGTTTGTCATCTTCCCCCAGGGAAGAGAGACAAGGTCACTACTGAGCCAGTTTAACCCCATCTGAGAGAGGGGGTCCTGTCTTCTCATCCAAATTATCTGCCCTAACTCTCCCTTCCTGAAAACTAAGCCCCTTCCTCCACCTCTGCACTCCCTGTTGGACTTCAAATCTATAGTGTCTTCAACTTCAGAAATTCTGGGCCCTGTGGCTTTTCTCCATCAGCTTGTTGTCTACTTTCATCATTTTAAGGGACAAACACAAAGCTCCAGGAGGGAGAAGACCCATCTTGGAGCCATCTCACATACCTGATTATGGGGAACAAAGGGTTCAATCAAGAAGTTCTTGAGAAAGCCTTTGGCCTTGCCAACCTATGGAGAAATTGAGGGAGATGAAGCTTAGAAAAATTGCACCCAGGGCAGAAGGTGGAGCCCAAGCACTAGCACCACAAAACCTAGCAAAGAGATTTTTCCAGAAGCCAGGGCAAAGTCACAGATCCCTAAACTCAAGAAGCCCTCCTCCTCAGGAGGATCTCAAGTTCAAGGCCAACCTGGGTTACCTAGCAAGACAATGTCTCAAGAAAAAAATTTAAAAACCTTCTGAAATCAGGCACCGGTGGCTCACGCCTATAATCCTAGCTACTCAGGAGACAGAGATCAGGATGATCATGGTTTGAAGCCAGCCTGGGCAAATAGTTCGAGAGACCCTATCTCAAAAGACCCTTCACAAAAAAAAAAAAAGGGCTGGTGGAGTGACTCAAGGTGAAGGCTCTGAGTTCAAGCCCCAGTACAAGAAAAAAAAAAAATCTTCTGAGACACTCTCTTTTATCCCCTTGCCCTGGGCCACCTGCACTTCTCCATGCATTGACCTTACACATTTGCTTCCTGCCTTCTCTGGAGGGTGATATGTGAGCTCAGTATTGCCCCACTCCAAAAAGCACAGCTAGAGATGTTGCCTTCCTCACCATGCCACAAATTAAAGAGATGAGACAAAGCAAGGCTATCCTAGAGCTCCGACAGGAACATGGGAACTTGGTAGCATGTGTATATAAACATTCTGCTTTGTCTGCCTTGGGGTAGGCATTGTGACCCAGCCTGAGAACGGAGTTCAGGCCTGGAGGGTGGGGGGAGGAAGAGAGCCAGAGCTTGATTAGGGAAAACTTTTCCACACAGTCTTTCCTGGCTGAGGACAATGGGCCTGCAGAGCTAATCAATCCAAGTGGGTCCCTGGCAGCAGCCAAAGCGAGACAGTCCTCATCCCAGTGTCCTGAATCCCCCTCCCGCCTGTGCGTCATTGCTGAGTCAGGGACCAGACAGTGATCCATCAGAGGTAATGAGCTGCTCCTGCTGGGTGCAACACTGCTGCTGCCAGCTCCACCATTCTTTCCCCAGATTCCTCTGTCCCCACCTCCATGTGCAACTTCAAGGATCCCTCTTTACCCCTGAGGGCCAGAAATTGGGAAATGAACATCAAGAACTGCTTTGAGGAAGTCCATTGCCACTTTCATTCCTCCTTCCAGAGCAGCCAAGGAAGAGAACAGCCAATCTCTGTCCACACTCACCCCTTCTAAATGAAGGGGCTATTCGTTCAAAATTACATAAAAGCCAGTTGCAGATGGCACATCCCTCCCAGGCTAAACCAAGCCTTAGCCCAATACCTTTCTCAGTTTTCCCCCTCCTTTGGGGAACAAGGAGAAGAAACAATTTTATTACTAAGCAGTACTTCACCTTCCTAAACCATTTTTAATTCTAGCTCTCTCATCTATATAGCTGAAATTAATCATTAGGCTGAGAGAAGAATTAAATTTACCCTTCAGCATTATTAACTGTCATATCCAAGTTTCTCAGTCCAACCATCTCTCTTCCTAAATGATTGTGCATCTCCCTTTTCTTCATCTTTCTCACCAACTTTTTAGTATGCATGTCATCACAAACTACCATGACACTATCCAGAAACTAGAAAGAAAGCAGTTCTGAGAATGGACCTCCGAGTCCCATCTCCATGATAAATAAAGAAACAGACCATTTCCACCTGGCTCTACAATTGTTCTGGGGTCATTTTTGTAGTACAACTTGTCTGAACTAATAACAGGAGTTTGGATTCCTTCATGGAGATTCTGGGAATGAGTCCTAATACTGGCCCTGCTTCCAAAGACCACAGCATAAAGTAGTTCCAAACTCTTGCATTCCCCAGCTGTCATGTGGTCTCTAGGGGCTGATCTGGAGATGACCATGTTGCTTCTGTTACCACAGTCCTACACCCAGACTCACCGTAGCCTCCTGTCCCAGACGTGGCTTCAGCCAGGACTTGACCCCATCCAGAGTAAGGTTGACCCCAACTAAGCCAAGCTTTCCCCTTCGTTTGATCAGCTGGTCTGGCTTGACAACCAAGCTCTGGAACAACAGAGGGAGGAAGGAGAAGGAAGTGTGTAAGAGGTGAGACTTTAGGTATCCAAAGTATAGGACAACCTGGGTGGCTTGTAATTCACCCTGCTCCCAAAGCTAACCTCATTTGTCCATTAGGATCAACTCCTAAAGTTTCCCTCACCTGCCTCAGCCTAATCTTTCCTTTGACAACCAGAAGTTTACAGCCATCTGTACCCACAACAGGCCCAGCACTGAGTAGATGCTCAGTAAACACATACTGAATGAGTGATTCCCTCTGCTCTCCATGTGATATATCAGTATAAACTCAAAACATGGATCAGTCCCTACATTCCAAAAGAAGAGAACAGAGACCCCATTAGGCCCCCATCCCTGAGTTAAACCCAGTCTACAATAGGCCAAACAGTCAGCCACCAGCTCTAGTGCCAGGAAATCAACTACATCCCCAGTCTCCTTAAAGAGGGAGGAAACTTTCATCATGGGTCCTAGGCCTACTCTCTGGGCCCTACTACAAAAGTCTAAGAGCTTCCCAAAGCCCTCCCAAAAATTCCATGCAGGGATCCAGACAAAAGCTTCTACTCCAGGTTAACTCTCCAAAGTCAGCAATCAGCCACTGTTCACAAAGTACAAGTTCAAACTTCCTAATTACCCTGACACATTCCTAACATGTTCCACTTGGGGTAAGGGAGACCATACACCTACCTTTTATTGAACATCTACCAAGATCTAGGCAGTACACTAAATGCTTCCTGAACATTACTGCTAATCCTTAAAGCTCATAGACTGATATCCCTATTTGACAGATGGAGAAACTAAAACTCTGAGATGTGAAATGGCTCACCCCAGGCCCACATGGTTAATACACACAGAGCTGTGATTTGGATACCAGTTTCTGTAGTTCCAAGCCCATGTCAGGATACCACAATATGCAGGACCCAGAGTGAACACACCTTGTTCAGCCCCCTGCAGACACAATGTAAGCAATCTGCATCATGTGACCCCTTAGGACACCTACAACAAATTGACTGCTTTCTTTTCCTCAGAGCCTGGGCCTGGAAGAGGAGTCTAAGGTGAAGGCAGAGCTCACCTGGCTAAGCAGCCAGGGGTGGTCTTGCAACAGGTGGGCCCAGTCTGTGTCAGGGGTAACCCGGGCATACTTGAACCGGTTCTGGATGGCTGAGGTGGTGCAGATGTACTTGTAAAGGAGTTCTTTGCCCGTCTGCTCCGAAATCGCCTTGGCTGACATAGCTGCAAAGGGACCTGCCCTACCTGTTGGGGTGAGAGGAAATGGTCAGTAGGGGCAAGGAGATGGAGTCATCACCTTCTCCCAGCAGGGCAGACCCACTATCAGCTGCCCCCAAACAGTAAGACTGGATCTCAGCTTTTCTCAGGAGGGAGGAAAAGAGCCAAGCATGATACCATATCCTGCAATCCCAGTTACTGCAGAGGCAAGAGGATTGGGAGTTTGAGGCTAACTTGGGCAAAAACAAAAAAAGGCTAGAAGTGTGGCTCAAGCAGTAGAGCACCTGCTTTGCAAGTCAATTCAAACCCCAGTACCCTCCCCTCCAAAAAAAAATCTGTCAAAAACAAAAGGGGTGGGTGGGGGCATGGTTCGGGTCGCAGAGCACTTGGGAGCCGTGGATTCAATTCCCAGCCCTGACCAAAAAAAAAAAAAAAAAAAGAGGGAAAGGGCTGCCCTAGAAGGAGTAATGGAAGATGTCAAATGGCAACTGTGCCAGCAAAGGCAGAGGATCTGAAGATGGTGAGTGAGAGAAGAGAAGATGGTGAAGAATAATGAAGGCAGCAATTCCCCTGGAACTCTTGGCCTGACCTCAACCCCGCCTCTACCCTCTCTAGGCAAACTAGCTCAGCTATAACCACATTCAATCTGTAGCAAATGGCAGCTCGAAGGAGAGGCCAGGCATATAAGGCTTGTTCTACATCTGAGTGTTGGTCCCTCCCAAGGTGGGCGAACAGACATTGAAATACCCTCAGGTCATTTGACCTGTAAGGGGCATAGCCAGAATTGTACAAACTGGCTTTGCTCTCCCTACAAGTTTCATCTCCTCCACACGTGGACTTGTCCCTCCCTCCATCCCCCCAACCACCAGGCCACAGGCCAGACCAGAAAGTTTACTTAGCCTCAAGCAGGATCACACTCCCCAGGTCCTAGTGAGGGGGGAGGCAGAAAGGGGAGAGTCATCTTTCCTCCCAGGACACTAGACTCCTACACAGCAGACACAGGGTGGGGGCCTATGACCTTCAGTACATCCCACCCGCCCAGTGAGTCATCCAACTGCTAATTTAGAGCAAAACCCACTAAGCAAAACAGAGATCTCTCTGGAGACCACCCTGTACTGGTCACTTCTAATTAAGCCAGAGCAAGGGAAGAAGCAGAAAGAAACCATCCTCAGTCATATGTGTAAAAAATACTCATCTTAAAAAAGATTCTGTGCAACCCCAAAGCCACCAAAAAAGAAAAAAAGATCCTTCCCTGGATGCTAGTGGCTCATATTTGTAATCCTAGCTACTCAGGACGCAAAGATCAGATCACAATTTGAAGCCAGCCTGGACAAATAGCTCAAGAGACCCTATCTTGAAAAAAACCCAAATGAAAAAGGGCTGGTGGAGTGATTCAAGGTGTAGGCCCTTAGTTCAAAACCCAGTACTGCAAGAAAGAAAGAAAATACCCAATACAAAACAGGGCTGGCAGAGTAACTCAAGTGGTGGAGCGGTTGCCTAGCAAAGCAAGCCTGAGGCCCTGCGTTCAAACACCAGTACTGCCGGAAAAAAAAAACAAAACTGGTCCTGCAATCATAGGACCAGTTGCAAAGGAGTGTACAGACTTGTGGCCAGGATTGTATACAATGAAGGCAGCATTTCACGATTATCCAGTATATTTGAAAATAATAATAATAATAATAACACTCATTAAAAAGTATTTGGTCCCAGTTTAAAAAAGAAAAAAACCTCATTTTAGAGGTTGAAGATGTAGCTCAGTGGTTGCATGTTTCCCTAGCATGCACAAGGTCTTGGGTTCAGTTCCCAGCATTGCAAAAAAAAAAAAAGTCTGTATCAGATTCCTGTATTCTTTGTATTTTTGTATTCTCAGATGACGACTACAACTTCAGAGGGGTTAGGAGAAGTTTCCCCAAAAGGCCAACTAATCAGCAGGACTTAATGCTCTTATGCCTGGGTCTCCAGAAAAATCCACAGCGGTCCCAACAGAGAAGAACATCTCTCCAAGGACCAGGTCCCCTTTGCTTCAGAGGAAGGTCTCTGATAATTTCTTCATTCCCCCTCTGCCCACCACTTTGCCAGACACACCCATCCTCCCCTGGGTAACCTAAGGAGGAGCTACTTAGGGAGACTAAGAGGGAGCAAGATCATGCCAGGATCTTGGCCAGATCCAGACAAGTCACTCCACAAAGTCACTTCCACAAAGACCCAGAATAGAAGCTGTTGGATTTGCTAGGGGGAAAGAAAGTCCAGTACAAATAAAAGAGGGTGGAGTTAAGGAGCTAGGCTGGTTGACACATCCAGGAAAGTTGGTCTTTCTCAGCTTAGGGAATGTGGCCACATTGCACACTCCCCCAACCCACAACATACCAGGCTGGTGGAGCTTCAGGTTCTAATCCTGGCTGGGTTGCTTCCCTCTCTAGCTAATCTCTAGCTCACCACGATGGGCATATTCAGCCTGGTGTCTGGCCCAAAATGGAGTAGCTGGGAAGGGGCTCAGAGGAGACCATTCCTGTTCTGGCCTTCCCCTGGCATGGCTTGGGACTCCTTCTCAATGAATTTCTAAAGGCAACACCCCAACCAGCCCCACTGCCCCACAGCCCTCCACCCCCACCCACTCCAGCTCCATTTCCCAACCTTCTTGACTCAGACCAGAAAAACTGGTCTGAAATCGAATGGGTACACCACTCACCCCCCTCCCAAACAGAGTGCATCCCAGGGTAGGTCAAGCAGAGAGGAAAGGGCAGCACTGACCACCCTCAGCAGTTTGGATAACTTTTACAAATGTGATCACAAACTCCAGGAGAAACAAAGCCCCTCAGCCAAGCCTGTCCAAAAGATAGAAGTCCAACACTGACTGTACAGCAGTCCTCAGAATTAGACACCTCCCAAAACAGACACAAAACCCAACTATGGAAAAGACAAAAAGAGAGAAAATGGATTTATAGCAGCTGAAAGCACTCACAATTTCCTCGAACCCCAGATTCAAGAGCCCATCTCTATGAGGTCTATGGAGAGGGGGGGATGGGGGGCAAGAGAGAAGACACAACAGGCAGATAATACAGGTAGAAAAGATTTGCCTGTTTACCAAAACAAGATGTTTGCTTCCAGAGCACTGTGGCTTAGATGCACAGAGGGAAGTCTGGCGTCTGCCTGCATATGCAACAATGCAGGATGAGAGGCAACTGACTCACAAACCCAGGGGAGAGGGCAGAGCAATGGATGACAGATGGTGAAGATAAATGTCAACTTCAATCACTCAGTGGGGTCTTGAAGTCTCTCTAGGGCTGTGGCTCTTAAGCTCTTTGAGGCCTCGTATTCTTTTGAGAATCTGAAAAGCCCAGAAGAAATGTGCACAGGCCCAACAGTGCCTATCATTTTAAGGTGCTCACCTGTTGTTATTACGACTTGATGGCCCCAAGACTGATCACCAGTTAGGAATATTTGCTCCTAGTGACAATGGGACAAAGTGCACACCAATCTGGGTTTGGGCAAACCCCCCCCCCCAAAGTCTTAGGCTGTCTTTCCCAGTAGCTGTCACAGCAGAGCTTAGCCCCCAGGAACTGTTACCTGGTAACAAGTAAATCTGTAAACCATCTGAGGGAAATCATGCTAAGACCTGAAGAGAGAGAGAGAGAGAGAGAGAGAGAGAGAGAGGCTGGGGGGGTGGGAATGGGGGACGGGAACAACGGGGACACATACTCTTACACACTCTAAAGGAAGGACCTTTTGGGCCTACTGGAGTATTTTCTGCAGACAGTTAATGACTGAGGATTGAGTTCTTCACAGCAGCCCTAAGAGAACAGCAGCGCACAGGGAAGGCTGAATGAAAAGAGCCTGTTTCCTAGGAAGGTTCCTCTGGAGATAAAGATAACCACTGGAGATAAAGATGCCACTTGGGGTCCCTCTCTGGGAAGGACAAAATGCACTCATTTTAAGAGTAGTATCTGCCCAGTGGGCCCCCCCCCCAAAAAAAAGTAAGATTAGTATCTGTAGGACTGGGTTTTTTGAGAAGACAAGCAATTCTGGAGTAAAGGAAAGGGTCAGAATTCTGAGTGTTCCCTGATGTAGTAAGCACAGTGTCAGAACAAGGATGGACCCACAGCACCAAAAAAAATAAATAAATAAAAGAACAGGGATGGAGACACTAGCTGCCCAGTGTCTGAAGGCTCTTCCCATTAACAACCCCCCCCCCCAAGCAGCTTTCTAAGAGGTAAAAATTACCCCTCTGGCCAGCTGGGGTGTACTACTACCTGACCACCACCCAACAGTTCAGAAATGCCAGGAGCTGAGCCAAGTGAGACCCAGAACAAAGTTAAAGAGCTGAAAGGAGGGATGGGCTGGCAGACTGAACTGTACTATGTAGTCCTTAAAAATCCTCTTCCCAGGCAGAAGCCCCCAGAGACCCCCTAATTGCACAATTTCTTGGTACTGCACGGTATCTGCCAAGGTTGGAGAGAGCAGCAGGAGCTGGCTCTGGACCTCCGCCAGGCTCGACAGGAGGGCGGCGGCGGCATCCTTCGGCCCCCTGGAGGACCTTGCTTCGTACTGATTCCCGGGCAGCTTAGAGGTAGGGAGGGAGACCGGCACCTAGGCCATCTGTCGTTTAGGGGCTGGGCGGGATGGCAGTTCCAGAGCAAGTTGAGTCCTTACAGCGCCACCGCTCTGGGGCCAAGTCCTCGCGGTGCAGCAAGGCCTCAGGCACCCTGGGGCATCCTGGCCCGCGTGGCCTGGCCCGCTCCCTCCAACTTTGGAACGGAGCTTAATGGATTCTCCACGAAAGTAACAGGACGGGCCTGAGTCCTGTTTCTGAGGAGTCGGAGTGTACCGAGTCCCCACCGCCTTCTTTACTTCCCGCCCCGGCATCCGGTGGGGAACCCGGATGGGGCAAAAGTAGCTCAAAAAAGCCCAAGGAGGCTCGATAGCTGCCCTTGGGTGGAGCTGAGGGGAGCCAGGTCACAGCAAAGGCAATTTGGAGGAGACAAGAGAAGCAAGGTCGGCATCAAGCCCTGTGCAAACTCCCAGAAACTGGAGTGTGGTAGAAGGCGGGGGAGGAAGGGGGTTTAGACACGCGGTCACCGGCCGAGGTCCTAAGGCGAAGGCTAATAATAAAATAAGACACCCCCCCATAAAAAAAACAAAAAACAAAAAAACCTCCAAGCAGGTGCAGGGAGGGCGCGTAAGCACCAAACCAGCGACGGAAGAGACGGTTCCGGGTTGGAGGAAGGAGGCAGGAAGCTGCCGGGGAAGTGGTGTGGGGGGGGAGGGTCAAACCCGCGAGGACAGCCGCTGAACTCACCTCTCCGCGAAAGTACGAGCGCGGTTCTCCCTCCACTGGGCCGGGTTTACCACACTCCCCAGGGCGCTACAGGCAGACGCCCGAGATCCGGCTTTTGTCCCGGCCCAGGCGGGCTCCTCCCCGCCCCCATCGGCTCACGGCAGAAGCAGCCTAGCGATTGGGCACATGCGTACCCTAGCCTGAGCGCTAGGGCTCCTCCCCATTCGCTGCTGCTCCCAGGGGCGGAGTCTACGGGCTGCTGGGACTTGTAGTCCTGAAGGTCTGTCCGCCCCAGGAGGCCGGGGCACCGCCTCCTGAGGGCCTACTGGAACGAGGGCGTGGCCAGGGGCGGGGCTTCGGATGGGGAGATGGGCTGGGCTGAGCTAGGAGGAGAATGTATGCGGCTGGGGGCTGTGGCCTGATCCTTTTAGGGGCTGGGCCGACCCACACTCTGGTATGATAGTTGAAGGAGGGGGTTGTTGGTCCAAATGGCTGTGGCATTTCTTTCGGGACCTGGCGTCCCCTTCCTCCCATGGGACAGACTGACGTTCACATCCCAGGAGCTTGTAATCGGCCAAACCAAACTCAGTGGTTTACACCCGTTTTTTAAGCAGCCGTGTCTGACTGCTTTTCCATTCACACGTGGCGCCTCTCTCCTCCTTGAGACCACCTCATTGAGCTGGTGGGACGAGGCTTACCTATCAGACCGCCCAAGGTGGGATAGGTGAGGGGAAGGAGTGAGCTAATGGGGCCATGAGGGCGCCAGTCCTTACACCTTCGTCCCTCTCACCTGCTCACCTCAGCGCAGATCAAGGCGGAGCTGAGATTCTAGCGCAGAACTGGGGCCATTCTCTGTCCATCTCTTGTTCCCACCAAACCTCACACTAAGACACTGGAAGGAATAAACTGCAGCCTCTCCCTTTTCCGTTACCTCTGAGACAGACCATATTTTCCAAACCCAAAACTGGAACACCCAGTCTGACAGGTGCTGGCAAACTTGAGGGGCAGAATATTTGAAATCAGACAGCCCTAGAAATCAGGACATAAAACTCACTGAATCAACATACTGGAGCTTCTCTGCTTGCACCTTAATCCTATAGGTCTCCAGAGCTGCTCCTGATCCTAACAACTGTCTAGCTCCAGGAAGGAGGCCAGAATCATCCACTAATCAGCTCAGGTGATAAGGTCAGCCCAGTGTGCAGGAAAGGGACACTCGTATGCCCCAGGCAAGCACCCTGGGTCATAGCATGCTGCAACAATGTTGCAACACTGTCCTGGACAAAATCTTCCCCAACAACACCCCACACTCCCAAATCCTTTTGTAACCAATAGTTGGGTAGCTAAACTTGCTATCTATGCCTAAATCAAATGTTCCCTAATGAAACCACTTTCTGGTCCCTTACCTGACAGTCTTCATTTTGAAATAGCAGTTCCTCACCTGCTCTCTCCTCTTGCTCCTACAATGGGAGAGGCCTAGAGAGTCTTCTACATCTACAAGGATTGAATTCCACCCCGACCAAGAACCTCCGCAAATAGCATAAATCTCTATCAAAGATCATCTCTCTAGGTAAAGAAAATAATCTCTGGCTGGCCACAGTGGCTCAGTGCTGTAATCCCACCTACTCAGGAAGTAGAAATCAAAGTTCAGGACCAGCATGGGCAAAAAATTAGCCAGACCCCATCTCAACAAACAAGCTGACCATTTGGCTCGTATCTAACCCCTTTGGTTAGAAAGGTACCCTGCTGGGGGAAAACACATCCAACTACTACCAACTCTTTGTAGTAGTCAAATTGTCAATTTGGCAATGTCAATAAAAATTTAAAATTTAGAATTGCCTTTTGCTCCAGCAATTCTGTCACCAGGACCAAGGTGGGTCAAGGAGGTCCCAAGAAGGAAAAGACCTCAAGTTGGGGTACCAGATTTGTGATGTTGTTACAGCGAAAAATCTCAGGACACATTGAGGTAAACAGAGACCAGCAGAGTGGAAAGGACAGTACACTGTACCCAGACATGGGAGCAGGCACAAGAGCATTCTAGAGTTAGGGGTACTTATACCACTTATACAATGTTACACAGGAATTGGGTGTCAGTTCAAACAGTTTAGCTAAGTGCTCCTTTGTTCTAGGTACCTGGTACATTTCAAACATGCCTGTTGGGATAGCATTCTGACATTATTAGCTCCTCCAGGAGACTTTAAGTCTGAAATGGTTAATTCCAGGTCTTTGCAACATAGAAATCTGCTTTTTGTGACATTAATGATCACCGTTCAAATCAAGTGACTTGTTTGTTTGGTCTTGTTTGGTTCGGTACTGGGGATAGAACTCAGGGCCTTGTACATTTTGGGCAAGTGCTTTACCATTTGAGCCATACCCATAGTCCCCTTATTTTCATTTTCTTTTTGAGATAGAGTCTCATGCTAACTTTGCCTGGCTTGACCTCGAACTTGAACTCCTCCTGGGATTACAGGTGTGTACCACTATGCCCAGCTTCAGACAGTTTTCTTGCAAGTATGTGTACTTGATCCCTAGGGCATAATAATCATGTGAAACAAGAATGAAGGTGGAGAGGGGATGGCATTGTTTTTAGTGCTCAGTGAAGGAACATGAAGCACCTTCATAAAAAGAAAATGAGTGGCTCAAGTGTAGAACACCCTGAGTTCAAATCCCAGTATCACAAAAAAAAAAAGAAAAGAAAATGTGCTTCTAATCAGGCTATACATGTATACAATGATGTTGATTTCTGAATTCCTGGTTTCTACTTCTTTTTGTGCCCTATGTCCCTAGTCTATCCTGCCTCAATTCCATTTCTAACAATTTATTCTTCAAAAAACAAAACAAAAAAGAGGAGAAAAAAAAAGAACAACCACCACCAAAACACTTATTCTTCAGGTGTGCCTCTATGTGTGCCTGAAGATAGGGGATCTTTGCATTTTCTTCAATACCGAACCTCCAGCACTTTGAATAGGGCCTGGTATATAGTAAATACTTAATAAATATTTGCTACTGATTAAATCTCCCATCTAGGTGTGGCTGGGGAGGAGTTTGACTAGTCTGGGGCAGGGGCAACAAGAAAGTTCAGGGAGTAAAGGTAGCAAGGTGCTGGCTTGCAGATCCATGAGCCAACCACTGAGGTTTCCCAGTGACCCCATTCCAGGCATCTACCCTCACGGACTAGCCTCCCCAGGTAATGAAAGCCTCATTATTCCATCATGTCTCCTCAGAGGAATTAATCAAGCTGGACCCCATCTTATCACACTATTATCTGACTCAAAAGCTTTTCTCATCTAACTCAACCCCCTCCTCTTCTGGACTAGGCAGGAGGACAGGTTCATGCTGCTACATACAGAGGCTTATAGGCACCCTTTCCATGCCCAGGCTTTGGGCATTTGTTCCTCAGTTTCAAAAGGCTTAAACTGGCCAGTGACTCCCTTCTAGATTTTAATGTATTTATTGAGCAGCTAATATGCAAAAGGCATGCCTGCTAGCACATACTTGTCAAGGCTATAGCTTGATCTAAGTGTTATCATCATTTTGCTGAAGAGCAACTGGCCTTTCTGACTCCAACTCCCTAGTTCTGACCCCTACAACTTGGTACAGGTGAGAGAAGGAAAGAAGATACTATCCAGTAGGTCTCCCTCTTTTGTGTGTGGTGCTGGAATTTGAACTCAGGGCCTCAAGCTTACTAGGCAAGCACTCTACCACTTGAGCCACACCCTCAACCCATGGTTCTCCCTCATTTGACTGGGAGCAACTCAAGGCCGAGAAGTGGCCTTCATTTTGGCTTCCCCAATATTTAGTGTGGGGATAGGCACTCATAGTGTACATGACTGAATAAATGCTGGAATGAATGGACAAATAGGGGGGTGGGGGCAGGGGGGAGAAATGACCCAAGCCTTGTATGCACATATGAATAATAAAACAATTACAAATTAAAAAAAAAAAGCACAAATGAAAGAAAGAAGCTGGGCATGGTGGCACATGCCTGTAATTTTGGTTACCAGTGTTGGGAAAAATCTCTGGATTAACAAATAAGACTCAGAATTCGATCAGCAAGGCAAATAGTTTTACTTCTGCAGAAGGGTATGCAGCCAACAAAGGCCTGGTAAGCAAGCTTACAGAGTGGAAAGTCCCCTCTGGTTTTTATCCCTGACACAACACTGCCCCCATCTCCTATTGGTAGATGTCAACGTTCACAGTCTTTCTTGATTAACTATATATGAGGTAAAGGGCAAGGTTAACATTTAACAATCCGGGAAGCCCCAAGTTAAGCAACTATAACGAACTGATGCTTCAAAGTGGATTTACCTGAGTTGCTATTTATTTGAAGGAAAAGACGAGGTATCCCCCATACCCAGGAGACAGAGCCAGGAGAAGTTTGAGGCTGGCCTTAGCTATAAACAAGAGTTTCAGGCCAGCCATGTCTCAAGGAAGGAAGAGAAGGAGGGAGAGAAGGAGGGAGGAAGGAAGGGAGGGAGGAAGAAAGGAAGGAAGGAAGGAAGAAAAGAAGGGGAAGGAAAGGGAAAAAGAATTTGTAGAAGGATAGAGTAGGGAAAGGATGTAGCCAGGAAAAGGGTCTTTCTGAGTGTGTGCATTTTTTTGCTGTACTGGGGTTTGAACTCAGAGCATGTACCTTGAGACACTCTACCAGCCCTTTTATGTGAAGGGTTTTTTTTTTAAAATACAGTCTTGCAAGCTATTTGTCTGGGCTGGCTTTGAACCTCCATCTTCCTGATCTCTGCCTTCTGAGTAGCTAGGATTATAGGCGTGAGCCATTGGCAACCAGCTATCCTTGACTTTTACATATGACACACTTAACCTTAATTCTGAATGAGTTTATTATTTGCTTCTTTTCTCCCTGCCATGTTCTGTGTTTGGAAATCCTCTTAGGGGCAGTTAGAAGCAGAGGTCATGGTACCAGTCTCTGTCAGGTCCAATGTCTTTCCCTGACACCATTCTTAAGGGTTTGGGATGGTGTCTCTCTAGGATGTTCAGAGGCCTTGTTGCAAGCATGATTGTGTTTACCTCTCTCTCTCATAATGTAGGTCCTCCCTCAAGGATGCTCAGCCCCTAGTGCTGCTAATTCAGGGCTCCTTGATCACAGAGTCACAGAACATCAGAACCAAGAGACTAGGAGGCAGAGGCCGGAGAATAGAGATTTCAAGAACAACCTGGGCTACAAAATGAGATCCTGTCTCAAAAAAAAAAAAATCAAAAAGAAAATGAGCTGGTGGAGTAGCTCAAGAGATAAGAGAGGCTGCCTAGCAAGCGTGAGGCCCTGAGTTCAAACCCCAGTGCCACTAAAAAAAAGAAAATGAAAAGAGGGGGAGGGGGATAACAGAGAATGATGGACAGACTGAATGCAACTAAACTATGATATATTGTAAAAAAAAAAAAAATTTTGTAAATGTCACAATGTACCCCCAGTACAACAATAATTTTTTAAATGGCAAAAGAAAATGAAAACAAATCCAATCTGCTAACTCTGATTTTACAAAGGAAAAACAGGAGAAACTGAGGCTCATATAAGTGACCTCAGTATAGGTGAGAGGGTAAATTGATCCAACCCCTTTGGAAATCATTTGGCACCATGTAGTAAATTAGAAGAGTCACAACAGGGCATGATGGCACATGCCTGTAGTCCCAGCACTCAGGAGGCTAAGATGAGAGGCTCCAAAGTTCAAGGCCAGCCTGGGGTACATATAGAGACTCTACCTCAAAAGACAAATACAGAAACAAATTTAAAAACTCACTCACATACACTAAGACCCTGCCTGCAGTTCCACACCTCTAGGTGTATACTCTGGAGAATCTTATACACCCAGTTCCTGTGCCAGGAAACACATGTGAGTTGTCCTGACTATGCTGTGTGTTGTGTTTTTGTTTTTGTTTTTTTAAGTGTGGAAATTTCAAGCATGCCCACCATGCCAGTCTCAGCAATATGCTTCTTGGCTTACCTTTGTGATGATTACATGGATGTTATTTTATAGTTGTTTATTAAAGTGCACATGTGTGTTTCTGTACCTATGTTCAATTTCAAAATAAAGGAAGCAAAGAGGTAAAGTGAAAAGCTAGCTCATAAATGGCTGAGACAGTCTGAAAGAAATACAATTTCAGGTCATTTTAACCTTGCCAAGGCAATACAAGGCATGGGTCTAGCCCGGCTTACTGTCTCCTGCTGTGGCCTGGGGCAGACCCTCTCCCAGCAGCGATGTTCAGAGTTATTACAAGTGAAGCTGCTATGCTGTGCATGCACAAGTCTTTTTGCGAACATGTGCTTTGCGGTCTCTTGGGTAAATTCCTAGGAGTAGAATGGCTGAGTCATAGGGTAAGTATATGGTTAATTTTTTCAGAGGCTGCCAAAGTATTTCCCAAAGTGGTTTTACTATTCTACATTCCCATTAGCAGAAAATGAGATTTCCAGATGCTCAAGAGCCTGGCCATTACCTGGTACACTCAATCGTCTCAATTGTTTTTAGATGTCAATGAACTTGTACACCCAAACACACATACACAGAGTTACATTCCAGTGTCGTAAATACCTCCTCTTTAACCAGGAGAGAGATGTACCTTACTCCAGGCTCCTAAAGACTCTCTAAGGACAGCCTAGGCTGTTAGACTTCACAAATGTCACCCAATAGGGGACACTTTTATTAGACAAATGGGAAGAGCAGGGTTTCACCCCCGGTGTATCTTGTCTGGGGTCTCATGTGGCCCCAGAGTGCTGCTCACCCATTTCATCAGCTCTTTATCCTGCATCGACAACTCTGTCAACCTCTGTCCACTTGCTCATGGATGTCCAGGTATTAGGAAACACATATGTCTGGGCAAGCAGACTCACCATTGGACAGCTCTGCTTCCTGTAGTGGGGGGACATGCATTCCTAGTGGCAGGCAGTGGTCATTCTGCTGTATATATTGACTATCTCTACCTCCAACAGCCCCAGTTGTTGATCCCTGAGTGGATTCATCTAAGTCCTGCACCATGAAGGGGATCTGTTTCTGGACTCTAATCCATGGCCTGGGTTAGGTCACAATGCCCACAACTTTGGATGAATTCAATCCTTTTTTAGTTTGATCTTTCTAATGAGCATCTTCTTTGTATTGTCTTTGGTCAAGTAACTGTTCAAATCCATTCTTCAGTTGGGTTATTTATCTTATTATAGAGCTGCAATATCATGTTATGTGTTGCAGATACAAATTCTCCATCAGATTTATGTTTTGCAAATATTCTATTGCAGTATGTTATGCCTGGTTGTTTTTTCCATTGCTGAGGATTGAACACAGGGCCTCATGAATGCTAGGTAAGCCCCTGCATTATGTCTTTTAATTTTATACTTTACAGTGAAGGATTTTAATTTTATCAAATTTATTTATTTATTTTTCATGCTTTTTGTTCCCTGTTATTTCCATTTTTTTCTAGTAACACCAAAAAAGAAAAAAGAAAACGATTTTTGTGTCAGCACCCTGTGTAGAAAAGATAATCCTTTTATCTTGAATTTCCTTGACAACTTTATTGAACATCAATTGATTGTATATATGTGTGTGGAGTCTATTCTTTTTCATTAATCCACATATCTGTCTTAAGATAATATCATTACTGTAACCTTAAAATAAGTCTTGACCTTGGCATGGTGACACACACCTGTAGTCCCAGCTCCTCATGAGTCAGGAGGATTGCTTGAGCTCATTAGTTTGGGGCCAGCCTAGGCAACACAGTGATACATTACCACAATACAAAGATAGATAGATAGATAGATGATAGATAGATAGATAGATAGATAGTAGATAGATAACCAGACAGGAAGGAAGAATAGGCAGAAGAAACACCTAAGTCTTGTGCTGGATGTGGTAAGGCTTTAATTCCAGCACTCAGGAGGCCGACTGAATCACTCACATGGGCTTCTTCTCATCGCCTTTTTCTCATCTCCCTCACAGGCACAAAGAACTGAACTTCGAATTAATTAATACCACTTTGATTAGTCTTTACTTGTTTAAGATCTCTCTCCCTGATTAGACAGAACTCTTCTGAGAAAGGGATTATTATTATTATTATTATTTTACCTTGGCATTAAGGCATTCTTTACTAAATGAAACTGTTTATTTCGATATAATTGTAGATTCATTTGCAATACTAAGAATGAATACAGAGATTATATGTACCCTTATCCATGTTCCCCCAATGGTACTCTTGAAAAACTTTAGCACAATAACACAAATGGAATAACAATACTGATGCAGTCCCCCTAGGTTTTCCCAGTTGTGGCTGTTGTTTGAGACAGAGACTCATTACGTAGTCCAGGCTGGGCTCAAACTCCAGATCTTCCTGCCTCAGCCTCCTTAGTACTGGGATTACAGGCAGCATGTCTTCATTTGTGTGCATGTGAGGGTAAGGGTATCTTTTTTCCAAACTTTAACAGTGATTTATTTTGCTCCTACTATGTGTCACAGTTGAATTCTGGAAATATAATTTAAGCCAAAATTCCTGCCTGAGTGGAGGTCATAATTTCTCTGGTTTTGGGAGTAGACCTTTGAAAGTAATGAGGTCAAGGCAGTTAATTGAACTAGTCAGGGTGTTGCAGGGAAAGAACCTCATCTACTTTTTTGGTGGTGGTGAGCAGATGAGGAAGGATGTCAGCATAGACCTTAGTTAAGGCCTGCTACTTGCAGTTGTTCAATGAGTATGTTAAATTGGCCAGGTGCCAGTGACTCACTCTCAGGAGGATCGTGGTTCCAGGCCAGTCCAGGCAAATAATTTGTGAGACCCTATCTCGAAAAAATCCATCACAAAAAAGGGCTGTTGTAGTGAATGAAGTGGTAGAGCGCCTGCCTAGCAAGCATGAACCCCTGAGTTGAAGCCCCAGTCCCACCAATGAATGAACGCCATGAATGAGTTAAATAAGTACGTTGAACCCAACTTTATTGCCATTGTGGTCTCATGCAAATCTTCAATCCTTAGGGTTCTGTTATTTTCATGTTCATTTGGCGGGTGGCACACAGTTCGGAATTCTTCTGTGTTTTGCTTAGGGTCACGCAGTTAGGAAGTGACAGGCATGAAGCCAGCCCAAGTCCAAAACTCTCTATTGGCGGTACACGGGGCACGTATGCCTTACCCTACTTGGAATTTTGCCTCTAATCCTCTTGTTTTCCTGGCTGCCTTGCACGGGAAGCTTTCCATGTGGTAACTCGGAGAGAACCGACGGAGCGCTCAACAGCAAGCACTCATGAGAGCAGACCTCCGCAGCCGCTGGCCAAGCGCTCATCACCTGCCCGCCCGAGCGCCGCGAGGCCGCAGGAGCGCCGCGAGGCCGCAGGAGCGCATGCGCACGCCGGGACAGGCGTGTCCGCGATGCTGACTCCGCCCCAGCCAGGCGCAAGGCCGGAAGTCAGTCTACGTCTCCGGGTTGCTAAGAGACCGGGCTTCCACAAACCCAACAGAGGTTCTCCCGCTTCTTTCTCTTTCTAGCTTACCTTCAGCGTCTGTAAACACGGTCACCATGTCGGACCCCGAAGTTGAGACCTTGAAAAGCACCTTTCCCTCTTATATGGCGGAGGGCGATCGGCTCTATCTATGCGGGGAATTCTCTAAAGCCGCCCAGAGCTTCAGCAACGTGAGTCGCGCTCGAATCTATCAGCCACCTCCTTCCTTCCTTCCTTCCTTCCTTCCTTCCTTCCTTCCTTCCTTCCTTCCTTCCTTCCTTCCTTCCTTCCTTCCTCCCTCTCTTCCTTTCTCCTTCCCTCCCTCCCTCACTTCCTTCCTCCTTCTCTCTGTCACCCTCCCTCCTGTCTCTCCCTCTCCTTTTTCTTTTATTTTCTCTCACTTTTTCTTTCCTTTCTCTTCCCCTCCCTTTTCTTCATTTCTTTCCCCTCCACTCCTTTTCTCTCCCCTCTTCTCCCTTCCCTTCCCTAGGGTTTGGCTATGAAGCCCCAGGTTGGCCTGGAACTCACTATCCTCCTGCCTCGGCCTTCCTAGTACTGGCATCACAAGTGTGCACCACCACACCTGGCTCTATCACCACATTTGATTACCAATAGCCTTCAGGTTCTGATGATGCCTGAAGGACACATTTGCGTCCAATATTCACCAGTTCCTGTTTGACACACACTGTCACAGAGATACAACCTTGGCTTGGGCATTTTCTACCAATTCCCATCTACCTTCTCCATTTTCTGCAGAAACATTGACCTCTTCCTCTACTTATTTTATTATTTTTTGGGGGGCAGTACTGGGGCTTCACACTTGATAGGCAGGTGCTCTATCCCTCTACTTTTGCTTAAATGTTTCCTGATTACCTGACCTTTCATAGAACAAACTCAATTGTCCATTTTTGGCCGGAGATTGTCTGGGAGGCTGCAGGGAGAAGCCGTGAAGTCTCTGGCATAAGATTCCTTTGCAGGAAGAAGGTGGTCAGTAAATAAATTAGCATTATTATAGTAAGCTTAGTAGAAATTGCACCAGTGCACTATAAGGACCGTGGGTGCTGTTTGAGAATGTCAGGCACACTGCTAAGTGCAGAACAGGGCTGTGAGGGTGAGACAGTTATTACTCCATTTTGTAGACAAGAAAACTGATATGGAAGTTGAGCAACATGGCAAGGTCACTGAAGTGTATCAGGTGGCAGAAGAAGAAGCCTCTGAACTGAGCACTCAGACTCTAGTGCTGAGACACCACCCACCATACTTCACCTTGGCACAAGTACACTGTAAAATGTTTTGGTTTCTTTTTTCTTTTTTTTTTTTGGTGGCACTGAGGTTTGAGCTCAGAGCATCAAGCTTCCCAGGCAGGCGCTCTACCATTTGAGCATTTGAGCAACTCCATTAGCTCTTTTTTGTGCTGCGTATTTTCAAGCTAGGATTTCACAAACTGTTTGCCCTGGGACTGGCTTCGAACCACAATCCTCCTGATCTCTGCCTACCGGTAAAGCTAAGATTACAGTTGTTTGTCACCAGTGCCTGGCTGTAAAATATTCTTTTAACAATTTCTTTTACTCCACTGTCCTGCAGTGCCAGGGATCAAACCCAGGGCCTTGCCCATACTAGGCATGCTCTCTACCATTGAGCTACATTCCCAGTCCATGGCTCACTTCTTATTCCAAATAGAGTCATAGGACAGCCCTTTAACCAACCCCAAGACAAGCTTCTCAGCTGCTGCTCAGAGTCTTGTCCCTTTCACTCACCAGCCACACCTTAAAACGAAATGATGACCAGATGGGTGAACAATTGAGTTGGGGAGCCCTGCCCCCACCTGTTGCCCTCTTGCTGGCACATGTCTCGCCCTGAAGAAGCCCAGGCAGAAAGAAAATACTGCCCCAAGGGAAGATAGCTGTGCAGGAGAAGCAGTCCCATTCCAGGAAAGACAGTAGCTACTTCCTCTTCATAGAAAAGTAGGAAGGTCTTAGAAAGAGGCAGATACAGTCTGATGCCTAAAGAAGGACAGTATAGCACAACTATGGTAATAATCTCAAACAGAAGACAGGGCAGGGAGAGCTAGGGAAATGCCCATCCCCCTTTAGAGCCAAAATCACAATTTCAGTTTAACTGAATTTTTTATCATCATCCTCTGAACTAGTGATAGTTCTCAATTAGCTACGTTAAAAAAGAAGGGTTAAGCCAGGCACTGGTAGCTTGTGCCTATAATCCTAGCTACTCAGGAGACAGAGATCAGGAGGATTGTGGTTCAAAACCAGCCTGGACAAATAGTTCATGAGACTCTATCTTGAAAATACCCATCAAACAAAAGGGCTGGTGGAGTGGCTCAAGTAATAGAGCTCCTGCCTAGCAAGTGCAAGACCCTGAGTTCAAAAAAAAAAAAGAAGGCTTAAGGCTTAAGCCAGGTGCAGTGGAACACTCCTAATCCTGGCAGTTTGGAAGGTGGAGGCATGATTGAGAATTGGAGGCCAGCCTGAGTAACATAGCCAGACTTTGTCTGAAACAGAGAGAGAGAGAGAGAAAGAGAGAGAGAGAGAGAGAGAGAGAGAGACAGAGAGAGAGACAAGACTTAGGCTGCTTAGACTGGGTGTAGTTCAGTCGTGGAACACTTGCACAGCATGCATGAAGCCCAGGTTTCAATCCCCAGTACTGGTGGTGGGGGCTAGTGAAATGGAATACCCAAATGGCAGATTGTCCTAAAATCCATTTTGTTTGCCTTAGCCTTTGAAATTTATTTTGAGAATGTTAATGCCATCATTTCAGGTTTATGGTTAAATTTGGTGTCCACAGCTTTGCAAGCATGAAGCCCTGAGTTCAAACTCAGTCCCACCGAAAAAAAATCAAAAGTTGCTGTGCATAAAACATCTTGAGGTTTTATCATCTTAGTGGACTCGAGGGATTCCAAGTATTAGCAGAATCAGTGATTCTGGAGTAGCATATCCCTTCTCTTAACCATTAGCTTCTACAGTAGCTGTGATTCACCGTTCATCAAGAGAAACCACCTGCAGATGGATCATCAAATTGACTGAGCACAGATCAGTACTGGGCTGCCTTGGGCCTATTTGCAGACCTGAAGTGTCCCCTTGAAACTCTTCAGGAGGTTGGGACTGCCTCATGTGGTCAAGCTGCTACCTTCTCTTGGTGCCTGCCAACCCAACTGCTTCCTTTCTCAGGCTCTTCATCTTCAAGATGGAGATAAGAACTGCCTGGTTGCCCGATCCAAGTGCTTCCTAAAGATGGGAGACTTGGAGAAATCCCTGAAGGATGCTGAGGCTTCACTCCAGAGCGACCCGACTTTCTGCAAGGTAACTAATTGCCTGGCTGGGAGGACTCAATCTTGCTTTCACCACTGCCATTGGCTGCAGCAGCCTCTGGTTACCAGAAGTTGAAGAACCAGCTGGACTGCCTGGTGTTTGATGTCATTTTCTTCTCACAGATCACGTGACTGGCTCCCTGCCCTCTGTGTTCCAACCTTGACCCTCAACCCAACACCCTCGTGCTCTACCATACTTGAGTCCTATAAGGCCTTGTCTGACCACCTGGATTTGACTTTCTGTCATTGCAGGGGATTTTACAAAAGGCTGAGACACTGTACACCATGGGAGACTTTGAGTTTGCCTTGGTGTTCTATCATCGTGGTTACAAATTGAGGCCTGATCGAGAATTCAAAGTTGGAATTCAGAAAGCCCAGGAAGCCATCAACAACTCAGTGGGAAGTGAGTGACCATAGGGCCTATGCCCTTATCCAAGATGGCTTGCAGATTACATAGGTTTAGGGGAAAGCCTAAGGTGTAGTGTACAAATAAATACCAGCAGGCTTACAGGGAGGCTCATACTTGGATTTGGCTGTTGGCAATGTTGTCAGGGATTAAACACTGTCTACTCACTGGTGACCAGCCCAGAGTATGAAAGCCCAATACTAAAGTATCTGGTTTTCCTCAAAGCCACATTAGAAGGACTTCTTTGAAGTTGTCATAGGATAGAATTGGGTCCTGAATCCATCCTTCCTTAGCCCTGGCCTTCTCCCTCACCATCTATGTACTAAAGACTGGTTTTACCTATCACATCAGTGGCAGGCAGAGGAGGAAGATAAGAGGGAGCTTGCTCCTCTGGGCAGCAGAGTGTGGAAATGGCATAGAATGGAGTTTCCTCATATGCCCTAGGCCTCCTTTTGTTTGGAAATCTGGCAGCCATGGCCTTGGGCTAGCAGGGGCTGTCCAGGTCTTAGGAGAGTATTATTCCAAATACCATGTGTATACTAGGCTGGCTCAAGGTCAGTTTTGCCACAGCTTCTACCTGCCCCTGCCAAAGGCAGTGATTTCCACATAAAAATATGTGATAGGTTGCTCATGCCCAAGAGGCTTGGCCAAGCTTAATTTCAGCTTCTGTCCTTGCAGGTCCTTCTTCAATTAAGCTGGAGAACAAAGGGGACCTCTCTTTCTTAAGCAAGCAGGCCGAGGTAAGCTTCCTGGTTCTGGGACCATGTGTGCCTGCATGTCACACATGTGCCCTCTTGTCTGGGGACATTTAGGTCCTGCCATCACAGGCAGCCATGAGATTCTGACCGAGCTCCAGAGGGATCTTGGGAATCTAGCTGTGGCCTAAGCAGGCACATTCCATGGTTCTCAGCACAGGGAGTGGTCCTGGAGGAGGAGGAATAGGGACTCAGATTTGGGCCGTGTAGGGTTCTCTGTGCTCCTTGTCGAGGTTCCATAGGGTGTTGCTCCATTTTCCCAGAGTATGAAAGCCAAGCAGAAGCCTCAACCCATGAAGCCACTCTTATACAACACCAAGATAGAATCCAAACGGAAGGGCTCGCTCAAGAGCAACAAGACTGTCCGCCAACTGCTGGGGGAGCTCTACGTGGACAAGGAGTATCTGGAGAAGCTCCTGTTGGATGAAGGTTTCACACCCTTTGTTGGCAACAGGCACTTGGGGCAAAGAAATTTGGGGTGGATGCTTAATGCATGAGCCAGAGGCAGTCTGTCATGTAGTATTAGCTGACATGTACCTGTGAACAGGTTTCACTAGTATTCTCAACTTAGAGATAAGAAAACTGAGATCACACAGAACTAGGTAATAACATGGCTCATATTCAAATCCAAGAAGCCAGTGCTCTTAAGCACCATGGCACCTGGGGAAGGAATGACAGAGATTTGGACTTCTTTAACTCTGTGTTGGTCACTATGATAAAGTACCTGAGCCAATCAACTTACAAAAAGGAAAGGTTTCAGAGGTTTCAGTTCATGGTCAGGTGGCCCCATTGTTTTGGGGTCTTCAGTGAAGTGGAACACATCATGGTGGGGAGCAGGTAGTGGCACAAAGTTACTCACTTCATGGTGGCCAGGTAGCAGAGAGAGAAAAAGAGGCAGGAGTCCCAATAGCCCCTTCATGGGCATACCCTTTATGATCTAACTTCCTCCCACTAGTCCTTACCTCCTAAAGGTTCCACCACTTCCTAATAGCATTATCAGCTGGGGATCAGGAGTTGAACATACAAGCCTTGGGACATTCAAGATTCAAACCACAGCTACCACTATAGTCTCTGAAGGGCCATTTCTTGGGCCTTCAATCTGTACAATGAGTAAAGGAACCTGGTTGACAGGTGCTGGAATCCAAGCATGTTAGAACTAATATTCTGAACTATCATCTGGTCCAATCCCTTATTTCATAGATAAGGAAATAGAATTTACTGAATGTCTAAGGTGACAAGCAAGTTAGTGACAGAGTCAGCACCAGAACCCAGTCTAACACTTTCTACTACTCTGAGCTCCCAGTGATAGGACTGAGGACAGAGCTTGAAATGAATGTCTCACATAAACTTAGAGGTAGGGATATTGTCATTAGCTGAAAAGCCTGAGCAGGGGTTACCCTTGAAACAAATGCCTCCTCTCTAGAGCTGGTTTCCCAAGGTCATCTGCAGGGTTCCCTGCAGGGTTGTGACACACAGGCAGTTTATGGCTGGCACATCTCCCTGGTAACAGTGTGAAAGCTTCCTGTTCTCCAGCAGATCTGCCGTGGAGGGCAGGAGTGGCTGGAGCATTACCTTAATGCTACCATGTGGCCTTGTAGTGTTCCAACCAGGTTATCCTCTGGCCAGGCAGTGGACAAGACCAGGACTCCTTTACCTCCTAGCATGTACCAGCATACATGGCACCTGGGGAATCACCAGGCACTGACAACCTGAACCAGGGTGTGCATTTAGACTTATTATTTTCTGAGGACACAGCTTGAAAAGGAGGATCCCTGAAGACTGGGGATTCTCAGAGAGTTGTCTACCAGCTTCTCCTTCTACTAGCTTCTCATCTCTTGCCATGAATGTCCTGTACCAAGGGAGTGCCTGAAAAGGGGGCTCTGGCTTCATCCTGGCCTGGCCAGACCCATTCTGCCCTCAGATGCTCTCACTTTCCTAACTGTTCCCACAAATGCAGACAGAGCTCCTCACGGAGGGCATAGATGGGACCCCAAGCCCAGAGGAGGTGACTCGCTTAGACATCTGTTCTCATTGATGCCTTCTCGTATCCCTTCCCCACAGACCTCGTCAAAGGGACCATCAAGAGTGGCCTGACCGTGGAGGACCTCATCATGACAGGCATCAACTATCTGGACACCCGCTGCAACTTCTGGAGGCAGCAGAAGCCAATCTATGCCAGGGAGCGAGACCGAAAGCTGATGCAGGAGAAATGGCTACGGGATCGCAAACGCCATCCCTCACAGACAGCCCGCTACATCCTCAAGAGCATGGAGGACATTGACATGTGTGAGTAGTGTTCTCAGAGGGATAGGCTGGGGCCTTCAGTCCCTTGTCAGGTGGGGAGGGAGCAACATAGCCTAAGCCAAGCCTCTGACCTATGAATGGAGGTTGTCTGGGGGGAGGCAGGTCTGCCCTTCCCTCCTCATCACTCCTTCCCTTCCCAGTGCTCACCAGTGGCAGTGCTGAAGGGAGTCTTCAAAAAGCAGAGAAAGTACTGAAGAAGGTACTGGAATGGAACAAAGAAGAGGTGCCCAACAAGGATGAACTGGTTGGGAACTTGTACAGCTGCATAGGGAATGCCCAGATTGAGCTGGGGCAGATGGTGGCAGCCCTGCAGAGTCATAGAAAGGACCTGGAGATCGCCAAGGAATAGTGAGTGCTTGGGGTGGCCAAGGCCCCTGGGCCAGACAAACAGTGGGACCTGGGCTCTGCCCCAGCCTTTGTCAGGGCTGCTTGTGGCTTAGCGCTCACAATCTGTCCTGCATGCCTGAGGTACTTTCTGTAGAGGTAGGGATCACCAACCCAGGACTGAGGGTTGGGGGCAACCTAGACTGTTAGTTTTTTTTTTTTTTTTAACTCTGTTTTGTTTTTGCTATAAAGAGGAGCAAAATGGCTCAAAATTCCAAAAAGCTCCCATTGGTCTGTCTCTTAGGAACATTATTATTCTTGTATCATCTCAACATACATAAGTCAAGGCCCAGACATGCCAGATACTGCTAGTTCTGGGAACACAGAAGTAACCAGGCATGGGGGTAATTTCTCTGCAGCAGATGCCAGACAAAAAGTTGCATAGCTCTTTGATTGCAATCATGGTAAGTTTCAGGAAGCAAAAGCATACCCCAGTACCACCCGCCCCCCCCCCCAAAAAAAAAAATGGAATTTTAGGACTGGAAGCAAGGCTCAAGAGATATAGCACCTCAAAAGCACAAAGCCTTAGCACAAGATCCAGTGAGATATATGAGAAATATCTTCCAGGAGGACTTGCCTGGGCACCTGTGGAAAGGCCTGAGGCCTGGACAAAGTGGATGGGGTGCGATCAAGCAGGCCTCGTAAACCATAGTGCTGATCTAGAGCATGGGCCCTGGAGTCAAGTGGACCTGGGCTTCAGAACTGGCACTGCCCAGCTATGGGGCCTCAGGCAAGTCACTTCAATGCTCAGCTTCAGTGTTTCCTTAGTCAAGTGAGCAGCACAACAGTACCAGCCTCTATGCTAGGGTGGAAGGGAAGATAAAATATGAAAGTATATGTCAAGAGCTAGGAATGCAGCTCAGCAGTAGAGCACTTAGCTAGCATGTGTAAAGCCTTGGGTTCAATCCCTAGCACAGGAGAAAATAAAGACCTTGGGACAATGCCTAGCATTCACGGCACCATCAGATGTATTCAGGGCAGGATGGCCATAGACAGGCATTCACAATAATAGTAATATCAATTCTCCCAGGAAGGAGCTTTTCTCAAGACTTTAGGGCTTCCTGAGAGGAACCATCACTTTCTGGGAGTCTTGGTTCTAACCTTTGGAGACATTCTTGATTTCTTTGTCCAGTTTCTACTCACTCCATGTTCTAGCCCCCCACACACACTGCCATCACTTCATGTGTTAGTTTGTTGTTGCTATGACAAAATACCTGAGATAAACAGCTTATGAGAGGAAAAATTTATTGTGGCTCATAGTTTCAGAGATTTCAGTCCATTGTAGACTGGTTCCATTGCTCTTAGGCCTATGGCAAGGCAGAAAAGTCATGGTGGCAAGGCATGGGGGAGGAAAGCTGCTGACATCATGGCAGCAAGGAAGCAGAAAGAGAAAGGGGCCAGGGACAATCTGTTCCTCTCATAGACATGTCCCCAGTGACCTGCTTCCTCCAACCAAGCCCATGGTCTGACCCATTGATGAAGCTAGCACCCTCATGATCCACTCACCCCTCAACAGTGCCATCAGCTGGGGACCAAGCCTTCAACACATGAGCCTTTTGGGGGATACTTCAAATTTAAAGTATAATTTCTGTTATACTTTAAGGACTGTGCCCCAGCCCTTAGCCACAGCTGCTGCTCTTGCTGTTCACTGTCCCTGTCTGTTTGCCCCCACAGATCTCCAAAGATACACTGCCCTTCATCTATCAACTCTGCTTTCCTGTTGACAAACAGTTTCCTTGTTGCCTGCAGTTGGCTCAAGGCCTTCTGCTCTTCCACTCCTATACTGCCCTGCTGCAGCAGCCCTCCATTGGTCAGACTTCTCTGAACACTCTTGCCTTCTGCCCACTCCTCTTTTCTGAACTGAGCCCAAATGCTATCCACTTTCAGTTCACATCTTACCTACCTCTGTAGTGCTGAGCTGGAGAATCGTGTGCTGGCCATCTCAGAAGTAATTAAAAACCAAAACAAACCAAAAAGCAGGGTTGGGGACAGATGCGTCTTTGATTTCTGACTGTCACTTAGAGCTGTGTGGATTTAATTTTTCGGTTATCTTTTTAGTTTCCTCATCTCTAATGAAGGAATAGTAATAGCAACTGACAGGGATTGTGAGGCTTAAATTAGAAATGTAAATAGATAGCACCTTAGATCTAGTTTCTCCTGTAGATTTTTACTTCTGGATGAGCTTCTCTGCTAAGCCCCAGACCTGTATGTCCAACAGACTCCAAGACATGTCCCTCTGAATATCCCACACTTAACATGTCCAAACCAGAATCCCTGTTTATCCCAGACTTCTTACTCCAGGATTCCCTAAGCCTGAGGTTGACACATAGGCTACTTACTCCCCAAGCCAGAAGCCCAGAAGGCTTCCAGATACCTGCCTCCCTCCTGTTCACAACTTGGCAACCATGTCTTGTCTGCACCTTCTCTGTTTCCCTCCTACAACTCAGTCCAGATCCTTCTCACTTCTTGCCATTTCCCTTGACCTGGGCTTCCTACAGCTTAGTTGGCTCTGCCGTGAAAGACCACTCAGTGGTCAAGATGAAGCACCAGTGCCCTGCTTAACACAGGCTGCACTTCCTTACTTGACAGCCTGGCCTTGCTTGACCTGGCTTTCTTTGAGCCCTGGACACCCTGAATGCCAGCCAGCACAGAACTCTGCAGGTTTCCTAGCAACTCAGAGGGTCACTGGATTTGTCCTGTCAGTCCCTAAATAGGAATGCCTTCATTCCTATTCATGACAACAAAACTTGCCATGTCAAGTTGCCTCACTCATTCCTCAGCATTTAAATAAGTGTCCCCCTTCAGGAAAGTCTCAGAAATCCCAATGCTGTGCTCCTCTCCATAGGCATCCTGTCTGCCCTCTTAAGAGTTTGGACTTGCGATGGGGCCACCTTCTGTTCCTAGTACCTGCCACATAAAAGGCATTAATGAGTGTGTGCCAAATGACTGACTAGGTAAATAGAGGTGTGCCTGAACAAAGCTCCTTCCTTTTCCCATCCACAGACAGGCCTTACCCTTATCTTACACATGAATTCTGCATGGTCAAATCAGCCACCTACTAATTAGCCACTTCCTTTTCCCAGTGGCTTCTTCAACACCCTAGCCCTCATCTATTTTTCACATACTTAAGGTTTGATTACATGCCTTCTTCTTGCTACTAGTTTTTATTCCTTTTTTTTCCTGCATACTAGGCAATTATTCTTTCACTAGCTACATCCCCTAGCTCTCTTACACATATTAATGTTGTGAATAAATTCACATCTTAAAACTTATTCATACATCACATAATAACAGAATGGCCCTTCTGGAAGGGGAGACCAACCTTAGAGGTGCTTTAGAGCAGTGGATGCAAACTATGGCTAAGGGTGCAAGGAAAAAGGCAGACCAGAGCACAACCTGAGGGGAGGGCTCAGGGACAGGAGGATTAGCAAGGTGGACATGGGGAAGGCGACTGGTTCCTTAGGCAGAGGGATGGAGGATTTGAGGAACCGCAGGTAGTGTGGCAGGATGGGGAGCCAGGACCTGTGATGAGTAGAGGTCCTAATGCCATGCAGAGGGTCTAGAACCAGCAGAAGCTACTGAGGACCAGGAGGGAGTTTCTTTTTTGCAAAAGCACCATCATGTTGGGCTTGATTCAGAACTATGTGGTACTGAGAGCAAAACCTGAGAGCCCCCTGCCTCCTCCTACTCACTTCCCTAGGATCTCATTAGAATATGTCCTAGCTGGGCACCGGTGGCTCACGCCTGTAGTCCTAGCTACGCAGGAGGCAGAGATCAGGAGGATTGGGGTTCTAAGACCCTATCTTTTTTTTTTATTGTTGTGCTAGATGGGGGTACATTGTGGCATTTACAAAAGTTCTTACAATATATCAAATATAAAAAAAGCTCATCACAAAAAAAGGACTGGCTCAAGTGGTAGAATGCCTGCCAAGCAAGCATGAGGGCCTGAGTTCAAACCCCAGTGCCCCCCCCCACCACCAAAAGAATCCCTGGCTCCCATATTGACAGGGATTTAGAGAAGTAGAAAAAAGAAAAGAAAAGAAAACAAAACAAAACTTGACACAAGGAAAGCAATACTCTTTTACTTTTGGAAAAACTTAAATGTTTTTTTCTAATAATGATTGATTGCTGGACCCAAGTCCATCTGCTCACACTCAAAAGCTAATACTTGGGTCTGGTGCAATGGCTTACATCTGTAATCCCAGCTATTCAGTAGGTAGAGATGGGGAAGATCACAGTTTGAGGCTAGCCGAGGCAGAAAGTGAGAGCCTATGTCAACAAATAAGCAAGATACGGTGTTCATGTCTGTTAGTGTAGCTATGCAGGAAGCATAATTAGGAGGATTATGGTCTGAGGCTGGCCCAGGCAAAATGCCCTCTCTAAAAAATAAGTTAAAGCAAAAAGGACTGGAGGTGTGGCTCAAGTGATAGAGTGCTTGCCTAACAAGCTCAAAGCCCTGAGTTCAAACCCCAGAACTGCAAACAAAACAAAACAAAACCCTTGAGACAACAAAGTTTGTGGGAAGGAAAGAAATCAGGTTTATTCAAGGACCAGCACCTTGAGAAGATGACTTGAGCTTTTGTCTCCTAACACTCCCATGAAAAAAGTGTCTTAGGGAACTCGGGTACTTAAAAGGGCTTTTATAGGAAGAGAAAGAAGGTACGGGGTGATGGGCAGGAAGATGCATGCTAGGCACAGCCTTCATCATCCAGGGTGTAGGTCTCCTTTTTTTCTTTTCCCTCTAATATGAACATTATAATCAGCCTTGACCTCCTGGGATTAGTTCTTATAGTTCTTTAGACAGGCATATCACTTTTGTACAAATTAAACTTCACCAGAGTTTATATGCTTTGTGTTAATTGATGCTCAGGGTTAGAATAAGGAGGAGCCTTATTTGAGAGTCTCCAGATTGTTCTGGGTTTTGTAAATCTAAAGAAAGATCATTTAGCAGTTAACATCTTAATCATTTAGTTGGGGCTTTTCTTTAGAATTTAGAACTGTCTAAGGACAGTTGAAAATAGGTGGCCACAGTTGCAACATGTGTACTATAAAAAAAAAAATTGGCTGGGTGCCTGTGGCTCATACCTGTAATCCTAACTACTTGGGAGGTTAAGATTGAGAGAATCAAGGTTCAAGACCAGCCTGGGTAAACAGTTCGTGAGACCCTATCTCCAAAATAACCAGAGCAAAATGGACTAGAAGTGTGGGTCAAGTAGTAGAGCACCTGCTTTGGAAGCAAGAAACCCTGAGTTCAAACCCCAGTTCCAAAAAAAAAAAACCAAAAATAAATAAATAATATGGACAAATTGAAAGTTTCCCTTGCAATCTCATCATTTTCTTGAGACCGATTTCCAGAAGAGAAATTGCTGGATCAAAGGGAAATCTTTGCGACTTATCAACTGATTACTCTCCAGAAAGATCCTGATAATGGCCATCTTGGTAGCAGGGTACAAAGGGACCTGTGTACCACAAGCTTGCCAGCCTGGGCATTGTTCCTCCAACTGGAACTTGGAGTCCTGGGGGCAGGGCCCCTATTTCTGCTTTCTTTTATGTTTTCACAGTGCCTAGAATAGCCAGTTTCTGGTGGATGGCTTACTTTGTTTCTTCCCCACAGTAACCTTCCTGATGCAAAATCAAGAGCCCTTGACAACATCGGCAGGGTTTTTGCCAGAGTTGGGAAGTTCCAGCAAGCCATTGACACGTGAGTGACCAGGGACTGCCCTTCTCCTCCCTGGGCTGGGACTTGCCACCATCACTCTGGGATTCTAGTCTGGGGCCAGAATGCCAGGCAAAAAGGTATCAGAAGACAGGCTTGGCTCCTTTCCTGGCTCTGCTGGGTGACCACTGGTAAGCCACCTTTTATAGTGGCTTGCACATGCAAAGCAGGTGCCCTACCACTTAGTCACTTTACTAGTCCTGGAAAGTCACTTTTTTTTTTTTATTTTTCTGTACTTGGGTTTGCTCCCATGGCTTTGCATTTGTTAGGAGGCAATCTACCACTTGAGCCACTCCTCCAGCCATTAAACCACTTTTTGAGCTCTGGAATAGAATCAACATTTTCTTGAAATTTCCCAGTCATCAGTCACCTGGAGTACTCATTAGGCATAAGAATTACTTATCCCCAGCCAAGTGCAGTGGCTTGCACCTGTAATCCTAGGTACTCAGCAGGCAGAGATTAGGAGTATCACAGTTCAAAGTCAGCCCAGGCAAATAGTTCATGAGACCCTATCTCAAAAATACCCAATACAAAACAGGATTGGTAAAGTAGCTCAAGTGGTAGGGCACCTGCCTAGCAAGCATGAAGCCCTGAGTTCAAATCCCAGTACCACCAAAAATATTACTTGGCCCCCAAAAACAAAGCCAAAAAAATTATTTGGCCTCTCTCATGGAAAGTCTGATTCTACCAGTCAGGTTTGGGGCTCCAGAATTCCATTTTAATAGCAAGTTCAGATACTGGTAGAGCTAGTCACCTGGGAGAGCTCCTTGGAGGCTCTTCTGTGACTCTGTGTGGTCCTGTGGTGTCACTGGAAAGTGTGTGAACTCTCCAGATGGCCCCACTACCAGACTTTGATGTCCAGCCCTGGAGCTGGTTATCCTGGCTGTGCCCTCGGGAACTTTAGAGGAAGCCCAGGCCTGGAAGAGCCAGTTCTTTGGGCTCACCCACCCTTCCTGGGGAGAACTTGTCCTTCAGGCTCCTTTTCTTGATGGGAAGACTTTCATCAGCCTTCTGCACCACATAATTTGCTTTCCTGATGATGTCTGTGTGCTAAAGGAAGAGTATCACACTAGTGTGTTCTTATAATAAGCTTTTATAATAAATATGTGTTGCCAGTGGCTCACATATATACTACTACTTGAGAGGCTGAGATTGGGAGGGTCATGGTTTGAGGCCAGCCTGGCAAATAATTAAATATATTTTATATATGATTTGATATGTGGTATGTATATGTGTATATATATATATATATATATAGAGAGAGAGAGAGAGAGAGAGAGAGAGAGTTCAATATATGGTTAATATGGTTTGATATATTTCAATAAATGGAGTGGAGGCATGGCTCAGGTAGTAGAGCACCTGCTTTGTTAAGAGCAAAGCCTTGAGATCAAAACCCAGTCCCACCAAAATAACCAACCAAATAAATAAATAAATATGTGCTTATTGTTAAAATACTAATTTGTAAAATAGAGAAAAGTAGAAAACCTAGAACTACTAGCCGAAGACAAGTACTAATTCTAATCACCTTCTTGCTTTTATTGACACTTAAAGTTTTTTTTTTTTTTGGGGGGGTGGTCAGGGCTGGCAGGGTGGCCCAAGTGATAGAGTACTTGCCTAGCAAGACTGAGACCCTGAGTTCAAACCTCAGTACCACCAAACAAAAAAAAATTTATATATATATCTTGTATTTTTTATTTCAACTTTTTTCTGTGTTGATTTTTCTCTCATTTATACTTAGTAATATTCTGAAACGTTATTGTTACGTTTTTTCAGATGCCTTTTTTTTTTTTTAGTGGTACTGGGGTTTGAACTCAGGGCCTTCACCTTGAGCCACTCTGCCAGCCCTTTTTGTGATGGATATTTTCAAGAAAGGTCTTGTGAACTATTTGCCTGGGCTGGCTTAATGGCGACCCTTCTGATCTCTGCCTCTTGAGTAGCTAGGATTACAGGTGTGAGCCACCAGCACCTGGCTCAGATACCATTTTTAAACATTTTCAACGATTATGACAGATTTGATTACAGAGGCTACCAAAATACCTTTGGTAGTTTTGAAATTTGTTAATGCTTCTTGTTGTTTTTTTTTTTTTTTAGGTGGGACTGGGGTTTGAACTCAGGGCTTCATGCTTATAAAACAGGCGCTCTGCTGCTTAAGTCATACCTCCAGTCCATTTTGCTCTGGTTGTTTTGGAGATGGGGGTCTCATGAACTATTTGCCTAGGCTGGTCTTGAACCATGATCCTCCCAATTTCAACCTCTCAAGTAGCTAGGACTACAAGCATGGGCCACTATCTCCTGGCTTGAAATGTATTAATGCTTCATATCTATACCCCTGGACTGGAGTTGGAGAACAAGTGTTATTCTGCCACCCAGCAGGAAGTGTTGGTCCCTTGTGCAGAGTTTGAGGGAATGAAGCTGACCCTGCTTCTTCATGTCCCCAGGTGGGAGGAGAAGATCCCTCTGGCCAAAACAACCCTGGAGAAGACCTGGCTGTTTCATGAGATTGGCCGCTGTTATTTGGAGCTGGACCAGGCCTGGGAGGCCCAGAATTACGGTGAGAAGTCTCAACAGTACGCTGAGGAGGAAGGGGACATCGAGTGGCAGCTGAACGCCAGTGTTCTGGTGGCACAGGCACAAGGTACAGACTCAGAGATGTGCACCCTATCTTTCCCAGCCTCTATGTTCAGCTGGCACCTGAGGGCTGGGAATCTTGAGAGCTGAGCTTACCATCCCAGTGTCTCCCTGCCCTCCTTAGTCCGGAGAGTGAGGACAAGCTACTCCATTTTGACCAGTACACTGTAAGTGCCTACTTTAAGCAAAGCTCAGTTAGGGCTTGGGACACCTGAGAGCTGCTCCTGCTATTGAATAGTTTGGCTGCAGACCAACATATCATTATGCTATCCTCAACGTATTAGTCAGTTTTATGTTATACAACAATATACCTGAGGCAGGCTACTCTGTTGAGAAAAGAGGTTTATTTTCCTCACAGTTTTGAAGATGCAGGGGATGGTGCTGGCATCGGCTCAGCTCTGACAAGGGCTTCATCATTCATGGCAATCCCATGGCCAAACAGGAAGCCAGAGAACTGGGTGCAGCCAATAGGTTGTTCCCCTTCCCTACCCCAGCAGTTTTGAGGTTTGAACTCAGAGCCTTGTGCTTGCTAGGTGTTCTACCACATGAGCCACGCCCTCAGCCCTTTTTTTTGCTTTAGTTATTTTTCAAACAGAATCTCGTGTTTTTATCCAGGTCTGGCCTCAATCCTTGATCCTCCTACCTGTGGCCTCCTACCTAGCTGGGATTATAGAAATGAGCTACCATAACCAGCCCCAAGCTCGAGCTTTTGAAACACAGTCTTCTCTTGAGAACTACCACGGGGTTGCATGAGAACTCCCTTAATTCCTTTTGAGGGTAGGGTTCCCAGTGACCTCCCACTAGGCATCACCTCTTAAAGGTTCCATCAGCTCCTATATTAGCACCCTGGGGACCAAGCTCCCAACATATGAACCTTTTGTGGGGGACATTAAAACCATATGTAGCAGTAGGGCCCATGTACTGAGCCACTTCCTCTTGCTATATACCTTTTACACACACATTCCTATTTGAATTGTCATGATTATAGGTATTGTCCTCATTTTAGAGATGGGGAAATTGAGGCACAGAGACATATGTGAGCAGGTTGCCCCAGGTCCCATGAGAGAACTTCCTGAGTGATGGAAATGTTCTTAAACTGGATTGTGGTAACCATTGCACAATTCTGTCAATTTACTAAAAATCCTTGTACTGTATCCTTACAGCCAGCTGTAGATGGAAATTACATCTAGATAGAGTTGTAATAAAAAAAAAAAAAGCCCACAACAAAACAGCATGGGCAGGGAATGGAGTGATGGAGAGGAATAGATGAAACAAGACTGACAGTAGGACTGGGTAAATAGCTCCATGGTAGATTGCTTGCCTGGCATGTGTTGTGAGGCCCTGGGTTCCATCCAAGCACTGCACACACACATACAAAAAATGTAATTCAATCTGGGCTTGAGCTCCTGATTCTCTTGCCTCTACTTCCTGGGTGCTGAGATTACAGATGTATACCACCATACCCAGCCTAAGTGATTTGTTGAAGGCAGGTGATAAGTAATGGGACTTCATTATACTCTCCTTTCTTTTCTGTATGTTTGTTTTGCTTTGTTTTTATTTTTGTTTGTGATACTCAGGATTGAACCAGGGCTTTGGGCATGCTAAGCAAGTACTCTACCACTTGAGCCACGCTCCCAGCCTTTTTGTATTTTGTTTTTGAGATAGAGTCTTGCTAACTTTGGCTGGCTGATCTTGAACTTGCCATCCCTTGCCTCTGCCTCCTGAGTAGCTGGGATTACACCTGTGTTCCACCATGCTTCGCCTTCTGTTTATATTTGAAATATTTCATGATAGAGGTTTTTTGTTTTTTTTTTTTTTTTAATATTCCAGGTCACATTTCGAGTAAGTAATAGAGCTTGGACTAGAACCTAGTTCTGCTGCCAGAACTCAGCCTTGTCAAAGGACAAAATTACAATAATTTAAAGATCTTAATTGGCTTTATTTTCAATTCTAGAATCTTGTAACACTTTATCTCATAAAATATAATAAGTGTTCTGATGAACTGAGCAGAGCAGATTAGTTTTATAGACAAAAATAAATAAATAAGTAAGCTGGAGAAAGCAAAAACAAGAACACCTCCCCCCAAAAAAACCCCCAAAAATAGGGCCCTTATAGGGTTGTGGTGGCACCCACAGGTGATCCCACCTACATGGGAGGCAATGGGTAGGAGGATTGCCTGATGCCAGCCCTGGGCAAAAACTGGAGACTCTACCTGAAAAATAACCAAAGCCAAAAAAAGGCCAGGGCATGGCTCCTGCCTAGCAATTGTGAGGCCCTGAGTTCAAACTTAAGTGCTGCCAAAAAAAACCAGGGAAAGGTGATGCACAACTCACTTCCAGCTCAGGAGGTAGGTAGGTAGGTGAAACATTTGAGCCCAGTACTTCAAGCCCGGCCTGGGCGACATAGCAAGATCATGTCTCTTAATAAATTTAGACTTTAAAAAATAAATATATACCAAAATTTATTTTCTTATAAGGTGGGAGCAGGGAGAGCAACAGAAAAATACCTGTTTAGAAATTAAGGCAGAGGGAACCTCACTGTCATGCCAATTAGAACTGGCCTGTTTGGGAAATGTGGTTATTATTTCTCTAGTCCTGGTTTCTCATAAGGTCAGATAAATAGCTTAGTTTCAGCTTGTGACATGGAACTTTAGGGTGAGTGACTCTGACTTTTTAGCCTGGTCTGGTTGGGGCCTCATGTAGGAGCTTAGTCCAAAACAATGGCCTTCTGTAATTTTTATTTAACAGGCTCTTAATTTCTGTGCTAAACTGCCTCAGGTATGTAGCTAACCCCAGTGAAGGAAGAAATATGACAGGTGCTGTAATCAAGGGCATAATCACCCCTTCATTTTTTTATACGACAAACATTTACTTGCACCTTCTATAGCAAGAAGTAATTTTGGCCCTTGGGAAAGTCCATTTATGGCTCAGCATAAGTGTGTGGATTTCTGCATTCACAGAGGGATAAAGAGAAGGAAGACTTCCCAGAACTGAGATAACTCTAGGGGACCTTTTTTTGTGGTGCTGGGGATTGAACCCGGGCCTTTGCACACATTAGCCAAGTATTCCCAGCTTGCTTTAATGTCTTGAACAAGTATGTTGACTCCTCCACAGACCTTTGTGTCAGAATCCCTGGGCCTCTGAGTAGTTACTTTTTAAATATGTATGTGAAAAAAGGTATATTTGACCTCATTCACTGTGCCTTCACATATTTTCAGTTACCTTTGAATCTCTTTTCTAATTAATAGCTTTTCAAAGTAGGCCCTCCTTCCCCCATGGACTCCCAAAGCAGTACCTGGAGATGGTAGTTCTTGGGTGTGTGTTCAGTTCTAGAAGGCAGCGGTGGGCTGGAGGTGTGGCTCAAGCGGTAGAGCACCGGTCTAGCAAGCCTCAGTGCCACCAAAAAAAAAAAAAAAAAAAAGAGGTGTGGCTTTCCTAGACCCTGGCTGGGGGCCCAAGTAGCTCAGTCACTCACTCAATCTGTGAGTCATTCCTCCCCCCCCCTCTAGCACCAGCTGCTCAAAGGGAGGACCAGCAGCCAGCCTCCTTTGCTATGTGATCTGTGCAGTATTTTTTGAAAAATTAGAATGACTATTTTTAAAGTATAGATTTCTTTTCTTTTTCTTTTTCTTTTTTTTGTAGTATAGATTTCTTCTTCTGGAACAATCTCCAGATGGAGAAAGATAAGATGACATTCCCTACCCTGGAGACACGTGGTGTGTGCACTACCCATGCTCCAAGACTCCGTCCCTCACTCTGCCCTTTGAATGGCCTGGGATGTAAGGTTCTGGCCCCTGTGTTCCTATCCTCAGGTCCCTGGGGCTCCCTCAAGCAACACACGGTGTCTCAGTTTACTTGTGCTGTGCTTTCTCCTCTTGCTCTCCAGTGAAGCTGAGAGACTTTGAGTCAGCTGTGAACAATTTTGAGAAGGCCCTGGAAAAAGCGAAGCTGGTCCATAACAACGAGGCGCAGAGGGCCATCATCAGTGTGAGCCTTTGTCACCAACTAGGCCTTGGGGGTGGGAGTGGGGTCAGGTGGCTGGCCCCTCAGCTCTCCTGCTGGGCTTTGACTTTTGCTACTGTTGTCAGTTTGTATAGCAACTAATACACATTGCTCTATTTGAAACAGACAAAAGACAGAAACAAGTTTTACAAAACATTTACATCTACTATAGGAAACACCAATATTTCCTATTGCTGTTTTCTTTTTTTACATTTTATTTATTTTTGTGCAGTACTGGGCTTTGAACTCAGGGCTTCACACTTGCCAAGCAGGCACTCTATGGCTTGAGTTACACCTCCAATCCATTTTGCTCTGAGTATTTTGGAGATGTGGGTCTTGCAAACTCTTTGCCTGGGCTTGCCTCAAACCTCAATTCTCCTGATGTCAGCCACCCAAGAAGCTAGGATTATAGGCGTGAGCCACCAGCACTCAGCCTAAACTGATCTTAAGACTTGCAATTTGAAAGATACACCTTTTCCAAGAGACAACAAGTAATAGTGTAGTTTTGTTATTGGAGTTATAGGGCAAAAGCCCTGCCTCTGGGAGTCCCAACAGATGAGGCTCAGCTACCTGTCCTTACATGCCGATTAAAGAGAGAGCCAAGGAGGGATGAAGGGGAGAGAATGGAGATTTAATTAAGCATGGCTGTGTTGGGAAGAACAGAAAGAGAAGTCCAGTGATCTCAAATCTATCTTTGGGTTACTAACATGAGCTTTAGGTTTGTTTTTTGTTTGTTTGTTTGTTTGTGTTTGTGTTTGTTTTTTGGTGGCTGGCAAAGCAGGTAACCTTGGTCAGGCCAGTGGTCTGATTCATTGTTATCTCAGTTCTGGTTTTGCAAGGAGTTATGGCGAAGTTGTTACAGCTGTTGCTTGGGTAGTTTCTGTCCTTTATCCTAATGGTATTTAGCAATCAATTCTGCTGTGTCTGGAATCCAAGGTGGCTGCAGGAGAGAGATTCTGCACAAGGGAGGCAGGTACAAAATGAAGGCAGGGATGTTGAACTTTTCTCTGACTTTCATTTAACTTGTGGGCCTAAGTGAGGAGTCAGTGCTTTTAAGCAAAAGCAGTTTCTAAGTACCTGTTATATTTTTTTTGTTCTCTTACTTCAACCCTATCTCTAGCAAAAGGTCCCTGACTTTTTTCCTGTGGGAGGGAAAAGGCTTTGATAACCTCTCCTCTGTGTGCCTTCCAGCTGGCCGGCTCTCTCCTCCACCCTTTGCTTTCCACTCCAGCTGAAGCTAGCTTCCTGCCTTTCCCTAAACAGGCTCTTTTGTGCCTCTTAGCATATGCTTTTATCTATGCCTGGAATGATATAAATCCTCCCTCCCACTTCTTTTACCAGGCTAACTCCCAGTTAGTTTTCAGTTTAGATGTCCAGTCTTTCGAGAAGCCTTTTCTGACCCTTCAGTCTGGGTGAGGTGACATCTCTTCTGACTATCCTAGCCCCCCAATATACCGACAAAAGTCCACATCGCTGTTGGAATTGCCTAGACCTGCTAAGTAGGAAGCTGCTAACCACATTTGACCACTTAGGTTAAGGCTAATTAAAAGTAAAATAATGTAAAATTCAGTTTCTCAGTTATACCAGCCATATTTCAAGTGTCCAATAGTCACATGTAGCCCATGGGTACCACACAGTACAGATCTAGAATATTCTCATTGCCAAAGAAATTTTTGTTGGGCAATGCTGGCCTAGACTGTCAGGAGACAGAGACCAAAGGTGCAGCTGGGAAAGCCCGGGGGTGCTCCAGGCTCCTCTACCTCACACCCCACCCCTGGTCATGGAGCTACTCCAGGCAGATGCAGGGCCTCAGGCAAGTCAGGTGTTGACCCCATGGGAATCCCCAGCAAGCCACCTCTTGCTGCTCCAGATTGTGGTCCTCATGCTGTCCCTCTTAACATTCTCAAGGCACCAGGCATGGGGCTGAACCCCAGTAGACATCTGCTGGAGTGAATTTATAGATGTTTTTTTTGGCAGTTCTGGGGCTTGAACTTAGGGCCTCACACTTGCTAAGCAGATGTTCTACTACTTGAGCCACTCCACCAGCCCTATTTTTGTGTTGGGTTTTTTTCAAGATAGGGTCTTGACCATTTGTCCAGGCTGGCTTCAAACCGCAGTCCTCCTGATCTCTGCCTCCCAAGTAGCTAGTATTACAGATGTGAGCCACCTGGCACCCAGCTTATTTATTTATTTGTTTATTTCTTTATTTGCAGTACTGGGGTTTGAGCTTTCTTGGCAGGCATTCTACCACTTGAGCCACACCTCCAGCCCTGGAGTGAATTTAAATGGGGCCCTTGTCCTTGGAAGGAGGCCCCTCGTTGAAAGAGGCAGGAGTGCAGAACTCATGGGCAGCACAGGGTCACAGCCTCAGAGACCAGACTGGAGAAGCAGCAGGACCTTGGGATAGTGTACAGGGGCCCTAGGAAGTGACACCAGTTGGAAGTGGGCCTCATGCTGGGCTCTGAAGGACAAGCACAGCAGGATTGGCCAGGTGGAGAAGGGCAACAGCACGGAGAAGGGGGGTGTGGGGCATGGCCAGCAGAAAAGGATCCAGGGACTGGAGGGGTTCATGGTGGCAGGGGCAATGGGGTAGCTCCACTGGGTCTTTTGGGGGGTGAGTTCATGGTGTTGTGGTTGTGAGGACCATGGTACAGCTAATAAATACTTTCTTGTAGTGTAGTGGTAGAGAAATCTTCCCCAAGAGGCTCCAGTGGGTGGCAGGCTATCTCCTCCTTCTTCACCTCCTACCCCAGCTTAGGCCTGTCCTGCTGTTGAAGGGACAGCTCCCTTCATGCACATCCTGCTCCCAAGAGCTTCTGAGAGAATACCTTCTGTTGTGTACACCTTGATTCACACGCACTGTGTCTCTCACTTCATTCTCTCCCATTCAGCCACATTGCAAACAGAAAGCTTGGCAATTCAACGCAGCCAATCAATATTCCTGGGCACTGGCAGGCACTGGATTGCCAAGCCCATGGTGTTTGGCTGTGACCCTAGCTCACAAGAATCTTGGTGTCAGCAGGAAGACTAAAGACACGCCCTGGTTCAGACCAGCAGCACAGGGGACTAGGGGAATTCAGAGACTCCTGGGAGACAGGGCTGGAGGCTGTCCCCACTGGAGGGTTTGAGGTCACCTTGAAGGCTGGGCAGGCATTTGGAGGGTTGAAAGGCAGAGAGAAGGTGCCTGTTGCCCTCAGTGACTCTTTATGGGACCCAGTCCTGACTCTTCACCCTCCTGGATTGGCATCTCCAGGCAGGAAGTCTTCCAGGGGTAGACCCTAGAACCACACCGCAGAAGAGTGGCTGAGCAAATAGGCCACTCAGTTGACATTTCCAAGCGCTGATAATGCTCTGATGGTGCTAGTTTTGGAATCACTTAGAGGAAGAAGGCAGATGTGCACAGGCCAGGCAGAGAGGTAACTACCATCCCAGCTATTCTGGAGGCTGAGGCAGGAGTATCATTTGAGCCCAGGAGCTGGAGGTCAGCTTGGGCAATATAGTGAGAATCCATCTCAAAAAAACAAAACAACAAAACCCAGCCGGGTGCTGGTGGCTCACACCTATAATCCTAGCTACTCAGAAGGCAGAAATCGGGAGGATTGCTATTCAAAGTGAACCTGGGCAAATAGCCCAGTAGAACCAGAAAAAACAAAAGCAAAAACAAAAACAAAAACAGGCAGAGTTCCTGAACTGGGGAACTGGAGCTGGGGAAACATAGGGGCATGGATTGTCCATTGGCATTCAGTGACGCTCAGAGTGGTTCCAGGTAAAAAGGTAGATATTAGTAGACAGACACAACTTCCAAATAGATGCCTAAACCCAAGAGGACTGAAGTTTTACTTTCTTGTAGTAGTATGCCTCTCGTTTCACTTAATGTGGGTAAGCACAGATACGCCTCAGAGTGGAAGTCAGAAGGAAACCCTAGGCCAGGCACCGGTGGCTCACACTGTAATCCTAGCTACGCAAGAGGCAGATATCAAGAGGATTACGGTTCAAGGCCAGCCTAGGCAAATAGTTCATGAGATCCTGTCTTGAAAAATCCCGTCATAAAAAAAGGTTGGTAGACTGGCTCCAGGTGTAGGTCCTGAGTTCAAACCTTTTTTTTTTTTTTTTTTTTTTAAAAAAAGGAAACCCATGGTGGCAGGGTTACACCAGAGCCCTGGTTTCTGCCTTTCTTGGGTGGGGAAAGGAAAAGGTATAGGTGCCAAACCAGGAGGTAAGAGATTTCACCAGATCCTCCCTCCACAGGCCTTGGACGATGCCAACAAAGGCATCACTGAAGAGCTAAAGAAAACTAACTACCGGGAAATGCTGAAAGAAAAGACAGAGAAAGGTGAGTCCCTGGAACCCCAATGGAGGCAACCCCAGTGTCCCTCCTCTGCCTTCTATCCAGCAGTCCTGGTCACATTTCCCAGCAGCTACCAGGGCCCACTGAGCATTCTGATTCACTCACTAGCAGCCATAGCCTTTCCTGGAGCAGAACAGGGTGAGGATTCAGCTTGCTTTGGGCTGGACTTTGCACTCACACAATTACCTCAGGAGAGTGAGGCTTCTTCCCTACCCTGGAGGAGTCCACAGCACAGAGGGAAAGTGGACAGAGTGGTCAGCCACTGGGCTCCAGCATGCAAGGGCTACAGAGGGGCTAGGCCTCTGGGGAAATGGGGAAGACCTCGAGGAAGGCACCAGCAGGGAAAACAGAGGCAGGATGACAATAACTGTATTTTGGGGGTTTACTGCCAGCCAGGTCTGGGGTTAAGCACCAGGCAGGAATCTTCTCATTCAGTCCTTACCACCCTCAGAGTAGGAACTGTTTGTGGGAAAAGAGGCTGAGTGATGCCAGTGATCTGCCTGGTCACGTAGTAGGAGGGTGTTGCCCAGCCCCCTGGTTCAGAGCTGCCCCTCCTGGCTGTTCTGCTTTGCTTAACAGCTGTACTCTATCTATCACAAAGCCACCCAGAGAGAAGAAGAGGCCTTTGACCCTCTGTCTCTAGGCTTTCCTTGCTTACAGGGAAGGAGTGAGGGAAGAGGAGGCCAGTGTGGGCAGGTTCAGAGGAGCTGTCCTGAGAAGAATAGCAGCTGGTCTCCATTTAGTGCCTTTCCTTGCCCATGTGCCAGGTTCTACGGGGGGCTTTATATGTGCCCATGCACTATCCTTCCAGGAACACTATCAAGTATCATTAGCTTTTTATGAACTGAGGACATGGAGTCAGAGGGGTTAAAAATCCACACTGTTGGGCTGGTGGAGTGGCTCAAGTGGTAGAGCACCTAACTAGCAAGCATGAGGCCCTAAGTTCAAACTCCAGTACCACAACCAAAAAAAAAAAAGAAAAAAAATCCACAGTGGTTTCTAGTCTTGGCCATCTGGCTTAGAACCTGTGCTTTTACCATGTTTCCATACCATTTGTGGTAATAGACAGCCTCTGTCTGCCTCCCTCACCCCAGCCACATCACAGTGAGGGTTGGGGGTCCAAGACGACAGGTGCCCGGGAAGATTCTTGACTCCAGCCCTCCAGGCTCCAAGGCTCCGGTCATCCCAGGTCCTCTTGATCACAGCAGTAGGAGGTTTCTGGACATTAGAGCAGCCAAATGACAGCCCTTTATTATCCAACACCCACCATGTGGCAGCTATAGCCCCTCAGAGAGGGGCTGAGCCTCTGCTCCGATAGTCCTCGGTTGCTCTAAGAAGCCATAGGAGCAACAGATGTGAAAAGACAACAGGGAATCAGCATATGCTCCAGGCAGCCTCCCCTCATTGGGCAAACCACATGCTGGGGAAGGGTCCTTCCATGTCCTTGAGGTCCCTAATCAGGAAGGTGCTGAGGGTGGGGACAGCTCCTTGGCACTTGCTTCTCAGAACAGCAGGGGCAGCATTGCTTATCTTTTCACCTGTAATGCCTCTGAACCTGAAGGAGCATCTGCTGGTGACTTGAGAACAAGGGCTTCAGGGAAAGAATGAAGGAGACTCGAGAACATTGGTGACTTTTCTCTGTAACTTAAAAACAAGGAGCAAGGATCCCTTTGCTTATAAGACAGCAGCTTTCCAGCTAACCTTCCTGCTAGCATCCTGCTTGTGTGTTTGCAGGAAACCTAATAAATGATAAATGTATTTCCAGTGACAAAGAGAAAGTGGCAGAATGAGGATGCTGGCCTCTGTACAGGGCCTTGGGCTTGCTAGGCAAGCCCTCTACCACAGATGCCAAGCCCCCTATGCTATTTCTTGCAGGGAAAAGACCATGAACTTTTGGGTCAGACTGTCTTGGGTTCAAATTCTGACTCCACTATTATTTACTTGCAGTATGACCACTGTGTGATTTCTGTTGATCTCCAGGCCCCTTGACTGCAAACTTACACAGCTATACTGTAGTTTCATGATGATCAAACGGTATAACCTGGGTAATGCCTTGAATAGTACCAGAACAGGACTGGCACTAATACCTGAGCGCTAGTTCTTTTTCTCTCCTTTTGGAAAGGTGTGCTGTCAATACCAACTGAAAGAGCTTGTGACAACAGTCGCTTTCAGGGCTTTTTCTGAGAAGCACAGGCCTCACAGGCCTAGTGATGAACAAACCTTTCACCTTTTTTCCTTTCCTCCTTTCTGTTGCCTTTCAGAAAGCAATGCATCAGTTGATTTGTCAACAGTGACATTGAAGGAGAAGGAATTGAAAAGAGGGCGAGATGAACCTGAGAAGTTGATGAAGCAGTGGTCAAGTGATCGAATTGAGAGTGATAAAGACACAGACTATGAGGATTTAAAGGACGTTCTGCAGAGAGTGGAAGTAGAAAAAGCTAGAACAGACTCCATAGAACTTAACAAAAAACAGTCAGGAGAGAGCAAGATACTACCAGAAGTGGGCAAGAGTGAGTCCAGGGAAATTTTCAGGAGGCCTTCAGAAGAATTAGACTACGGACTCTCAGGAGAATTAAGCAAAAACGACACAAAAGGACTAGAGAAGAGACTTCCAGAAGTAGGCAGAGAAGAAACAGAAAAACTAGGAAAAGCAAGAGAAATAGAAGAAATAGAAAAGGAATATGAATGAAGTCTTCTTTTAGCAGGCTTCAGGATCCAAGGTTGGTGTTCATGTGGGTTGTGAAGACTTAAACTGAATTTTCAAGCTGAGATTTGTTTTTAGTAGAAAAAAATGGGAGACTGGCTCCTGCCGGTCACCTCTACCTTTCTGTCACTGTTTTCCCATTAAATATTTCACTTTTATAAAACCTGAGTCTATCATTTTTGCCTCCTTACTCCCATCCATTCTCAGTAGAGCCTCATGGAAGAAATGATGCTAAGAAGAGTCTCAGGAGGGTGAAGAAGCAGGTGAGCTCCGGGGAACCCAGAACATTTAAAGGGAACCGGTGCTGGTGGCTCATGCCTATAATCCTAGCAACTCAGGAGGCAGAGAACAGGAGGATAGCAATTTAAAGCCAGTCTGGGCAAATAGTTCATAAGACCCTATCTTGAAAAACCCTTCACAAAACTAGGGCTGGTGGAGTGGCTCAAGGTGAAGGCCCTGAGTTCAAACCCCAGTACTGCCAAAAAAAAAAAAAGTTCTGGGAGTAGAGGTGTGTCAGCCCAGATACTGGCCATTTGTTCACCTGCCTGAGGACCAGGACACTGTGGGAGGCTGTACGGAAAAAGCAGTGATGAGTGGGATGGCTTGGCTATCATCATCTGCCATATTGTGGGTGGACTTGCAAACCTGGAGGCCTTGCGAGCAGATGGAAGTGAGTGCTGGCATAGACAGGGTGCACTGTATTGCTCTAGGGGCCAAGAGGAAGAGAGGGCTCCTGCCAAACAGCAGCAGAAGAGCTTGGGAGTGGGGATGGCACACCAGCTGGCTCATTCAAGTCAACCAAGCTCTCCACACAGGAAAGTACCTGTCTCAAGGACTGGGGTGAGGAATATGAACGTCTAGTACAGCACTTGGTACCCAGGAAACTCCCAGAAATCCAACTAAGCATTCAGTGGCTTTCACAGAGGAGGTGGTGGCTGTGCAGCTGGCCTCACTGAATGAGTCATTTGTCGTCAGGGGCCAGGGTCAGAGCTGAGGCTGGCTTTAGGCTGAGACAAAGCCAGCTGAGCTTAAGGTCAGGCAAATGGGGTACTTCAGATGCAAAATTTGCTGAGGTCCCAAAAAAGTCAACAAGGTGGATTTTTCTTTTTGCAGTGCTAGGGTCCAAACCCAGAGCCTGTGCACCCGAGGCAAGTGTTCTACTACTGAGCTACATCCCCACCCCCAGGTTAAAAATATTTTAATAAAATATCGTTTAAAAAATGCAGAAGTGCGTGATGAATAAAATATCCAAATTTAAATAAACACAGGACCTCCCATTTGTGCGATCCTTTCTCACTTTCTCACTCGCTTTATCCTAACCTACCCTGCGCCCAGGGAAAGGTGACTGCATTCCTACTTCAAGAGCTAATCATTGGCCAGGAGTGCTGGGTGGTTCGTGCCTGTAATACCAGCACTGGGAAGGCTGAGGCAGGAAGAGGCAATTTCGAGAGCAGCCTGGGGCTATGTGGTGAGCCCCTGTGAGCGCAACGCCAAGGCCAGGTGTGCCCCTGCGCGCCGAGGTAGCCAGCAGGCTTTCAGCACTCTAGGTTTCGAGTTTCGATTTTCAGCGCCTGCGCTGAGACCCGGCCCGCCCCCGCCCTGTCCACGGCTCCGCCCCGCCCCCGGGCTATGTAAAGCCTGCCCGCGTGTGATCGCGCCACCGCGAGACGCCTGTGTCCCTCGCGCAGGCGGGCGGCCCCGGAGAGCTAGTGCCCCCCCAAAGGCGGCGACCGCGGCGCCCCACTCATCATGGTGAGCGCACGCGTGGCGGTCGGGACGGGTGGGAGAGGCCCCTGGGTTTGCACTCTAACGGAAAGCAAGAGCGCTTGGGGAGTCTTGGGAGGAAGTGGCAAATGAGGACCCGGGGTTCCGCAGTTGGGTTCCAGGCTATCTAGGTGCTCCAGGGCAGCCTGAAGGTAGGGGAAACCGGGAGGCCTGGGGAAAAGCGCCCACCGCTGGAGAAGGAAAACGGTGGCGTTTAGCAGGGAGGGACTCCCTGGGGACACCAGCTGGCGGGTGGGCTTGGGCCTGGAGTAGCAACCATGAGCCCAGGGTGCTGCTTGAGCCCGCGCTTGGTAGCCATTCCTTGCCTGTCTCTGCCCAAGACCACAATAGTTCAGCTAAGATCTTAGGGTGCAGATGAGAGGCAGAACCAGTGTAGTTTGCAGTAAAAACTGTCATGACTTTGTTGCTTTTAGCAGACAGGAAAACAAGTGGCTGAGAGGTGCAGCTAACACACGGCAAAGTAGGGGGGCAGAGATCCTGAACACAGGTCCCCTGTGCTGCCCAGTCCTGGTGCAGGCACAAAGACCATGATTTTGGGGGACAGGGGTGAGGAGGACAACCCAAGAGAGGGCAGAGGAGGAGGTGGTAGGCAGTGAATAAGGCTCTTTGTCCAGTGGTCTCCTGCCCTGCCCCCCACCAATCCTCTGTGAGACCATTGTCCCCCCCATCTCAGACAAGAGAGTATTATCTGTTGCTGCCATTGTTGGAGGAAGGGAGGCAATCTTTGGGTGGCCCTCCTCCATTCCTACCCTCCTCTGGATACTCAGAGCCAGAGCAGCTGTGGCTTTGCCCACAGAGCCCTGGGCCTCCAAAGAGGACGTCCTTAAGAGGTGCCAAGAATATAAAAGTTAGGCCAGGCCTAGAACCCCAGGCCCCAGCCTCCCCTGCATGCATTTCTCTGTGGGGGGCAGCAGTGAGTGGTCCTTGGGGTGAGGAGAGGAATAGGTTAGGGAGCTTCAGTAAGGTCCCTTCTCCTTCTTCCACAGTGCAACCCCACACAGATACTAAAGGAGAAAAAGGCCACCCCTCCCTACCTGGGAAAACACCTAGGGCCCAAAGGGGCTTTAAGTCAGGCCTGGGGATTTCTGAGCTGGGGCTTCCCACTAGAACTAGACCAGAGCTAAGTGGACAGTGCTGGCAGGCTGGCTGGAGGGACCTGGACTTACGTCTCCTTTTCCCTCCTCATACAGAACAGAGGCTTCTCCCGAAAGAGCCACACATTCCTGCCCAAGATCTTCTTCCGCAAAATGTCTTCCTCAGGGCCCAAGGACAAGCCTGAGCTGCAGTTTCCCTTTCTTCAGGATGAAAATACAGTGGCCACGCTACACAAGTGCAAGACCCTCTTCATCCTGCGTGGCCTGCCTGGCAGTGGCAAGTCTACACTGGCTCGGGTCATCGTGGATAAGTACCGAGATGGCACCAAGATGGTGTCTGCTGATGCTTACAAGATCATTCCCGGCCCTCGAGGACCCTTCTCTGAGGAGTACAAGCGGCTCGACAATGAGCTGGCTGCCTACTGCCGCCGGGACATCAGAATTCTCGTGCTTGATGACACCAACCATGAGCGGGAGCGGCTGGAGCAGCTCTTTGAAATGGCTGACCAGTACCAGTACCAGGTGGTGTTGGTGGAGCCCAAGACAGCATGGAGGCTGGACTGTGCCCAGCTCAAGGAGAAGAACCAGTGGCAGCTGTCCGCTGATGACCTGAAGAAGCTGAAGCCTGGGCTGGAAAAGGACTTCCTGCCACTCTACTTTGGCTGGTTCCTGACCAAGAAGTGCTCTGAGACCCTCCACAAAGCTGGCCAGCTCTTTCTGGAGGAGCTAGGGAACCACAAGGCCTTCAAGAAGGAGCTGCGACACTGTAGGTGGCATGGGGGTTGGGTGGTTGTGCTCTCACCTCATTCATAAGCCCACCTTGCCAAGCACAGGGCACTGTGTGCAGAGGACCAGTGTGCTCAAAGTATAGGGTGTGAAGTGGGGAAGGCAGATGGAGGCTCACCATGATCAGCCAGAAGCAAGTCGGTGCATAATAGAGGTAGCTTTGGGGAATGGGAGTCGAATGGGAATATAAGGAGAGGTGCTGCCCAGAGCACCTTTCCTTCTAGCTCTCCTCTCCTCACTGCCCCTCTCCCAGCCTGGATCTAGACTGCCATCCTGGTCTTGGGAAGTGGGAAAGGCAAATTACTATCATAACAGGAAATGTCACTATATAATATAAACTTGGAGAGAGATTTCTGCCCAGAGTTGTTAAATTCATTTTTAGCAGTAGAACCATGTTCCAAAACAAAATACGACATGGAATCCTAAGCTGTAAAAAAAAGCACCATCCACGGCCTCCAGAGAACCTAGTCTCATACCTAGTCCAAACCACCTCATTTTCCAGATGGGGAACCAGGCTCAGAAGGAATGTGGGATTTGCCACCTGGAGCCCTGGAGTTCTGCCATGTTCTAGCCGGGTTCTCTCCTGGCCAAGGGCTTTTTGGCTTCAGCTTTATTTTTTTGGGTGGGTCTGGGGTTTGAACTCAGGGCTTCACGCTTGCAAAGCAGGCATTCTACCACTTGGGCCACCCTTCCAGTCCCAGTGAGAGCTTTTGGTTTGTGATAGGAAAGGGACCTAGTGGGCTTCATTTCCCTGCAGTGGCCTCCTGAACCTATGTCACCCATAAATCATTGCTGCCTCTAAGCCATTTCTAGATTTCCCAATTTTAGGTGATCTGCATACTTGAAACTACCCACTGGTCTCTTGGTCTGTTCTTCATTAGCACACATTGCTCAGAGGCAAGTCCTTTGTGCTTCAGTGAGTTCTCAGAACTTTTTTCTGAGCACCTAAGGCTCAAACTCGGAGGTTAAACATGGTGCCTGCATTGTCCAGAAGCCAGCCCTGTTCCTCTGAATAGCATGAGGGAAAAGCTCTCGAGAGACAGGGCTCCTGGTCAGAGCACTGCCTTGGGCATGACTGCTGCTCAGACCTGCTTTTACTGTAAAAACTGGAATACTTTTCTGTTTGTAATGCAGCAGGAAATGTCATGGGTAAGAACAAGGACAGCTCTCAAGAGTAGAGGTCTTTTCCCTGTTGAAGGGTGAGAGACATTCTCGTAGGGATTAACCTAGGAACAAACAGGAAAAAGTTAGTGACTGAAGACAGTTATAAGGTTTGGAGTTGGGAAAATGAAGTTACGTTCTATTGCTCACTCTAACAGCCACGAACCTACTGTGCCCCTGAAATCCTTCCTGCACCAGGCCCTCTGCAGGTTCATCGTCTAACTTCTGGTCCAGATGGGCCTGAGTGAAATGGGGTGCTACTAATGGTTACTCAGTGGTCCTGAGGGAATTGGAGTGTAACCCTACTTGTTGTAGTGGATGGACAGATAAGACTCAATCACCTGCCCTAGGCCAAACAGCTACTGTGGTGGCAGGATGTTACTTGTGTTCTTCCTGGCTCTTTGCACAGTGCTTGGGCCTGTACTGCCTACTCCTGGGTTACAAATGCCTTAGAGCCTGGGGGAGAGATACAAAGATCTATGCATTGTGAAGCCAGGGAGTTTTTGTTTTTTCCTTGTGGTGCTGGGGATTGAACCCAGGGCCTTGTGCATGTTAGGCAAGTACTTTACCACAGAGCCAAATCCATAGCCCTCAAACACCTTTTTTTTTTTTTTTTTTAAAGAAACCGTCCAGTTGGACTGGCCAGGTCAGTGTGAGATTTTGCAGGGTAGGAAAGCACATTTATTATTATTATTACTGTTATGTGGCATGGGGATCGAACCCATGGCCTCGTGCATGCTAGGCAAACACTCGACCACTGAGCTACATCCCCAGCTCCAAACACTTCTTTTTTAAAACATAGTTCTACAGTTGCTATGGGTTTGATCAACTAATGAATGTGTGAATTGTAGTAGGCTGCTTAAGAATTTGTGCACAATTGTTAGTTTTTCCTCTGGGCTTCCATGGTCTTTGTGGCTGGTATTGGTAGGCCCTGCTCCCCTTCCCTGACTACGCCTTCTCTCTCCCGCAGTTATCTCTGGGGATGAGCCCGGAGAGAAGATTGAACTGGTCAGCTACTTTGGAAAGAGACCCCCAGGTGTGCTGCACTGCACAACCAAGTTCTGTGACTACGGGAAAGAAGTTGGGGCAGATGAGTATGCCCAGCAGGATGTGAGTTCTTCCCCAGGGACACCAAGTGTGTGTGGGGTGGGGAAAGGGGCTGCAGCATCTTCTGTCTGGAGCTGGTGCCAGGCAGAGAGCAGACACCAGACGGCAGCTGGAGAAAAGCAGTTTCTCTTCCTCCCACTCTCCCCTCACACACTCAAGTCTCCACATTTCAGTTGCTGTTCTTAGGAGCCTGCCTGTGCATTGTCCCTAAGCCCTGTCCATGAGTGCCTTTTCCTTCTGCAGTTTCATGAGGAATGCTGGGCTGCATTAGGCTCCTGGGAGTCCATGTTAAGTCCCAAAGTGTAGGAGTCCTGTGTCCCAGGAAGCATTGTGCACCAAGGCCCTTCTTGTCTAGATCCTGGGCTAGGGCCTGACCTTGGCCCAGAGTGAAGGAATGCCTTAGGAAAGTGAAGCTTATTACTTAGTACTCCTTCCCCACCACACAGATGGCACCCTATGTCCTCAGCCATTAGCAGTGGTCCTCACACTTGACATGTTGCCCAGATCTGCATAGCTTGGTCCCTGTCTCTTTTACTGTCTCCTTCCCAGTGAGACCTTCCTTGACCTTCCCATCCCTGTCCCACTTCTCTGCTGAGGTTAACACAATCATTTGACTTATTTGCTTATTGGTCTCCTCCCACTCAAATAGCAGCACTCTTGAGGACCAGGTGTTCTTAGCTTTGTTCATCTTTGGGGTCCCAGTGCTCTAGCATGGTTGGATATGTAACACTTGTCACTACCATCTCTGACCATTTAGTAATACTTACTAAGCATGTGTTGTTACATGCTAGACACTGTTGGGACAAAGGCTTATAAGCAAAACCAGGTTTTATGGTCTGGTCAGATGGGAGAAATGTGCTTTCTCAAAGAATCAAGTATAACCAGATATAAAATATGCAGAGTGGATTCTGAGCAATGCCTTCCACGTAATTTCAGAGTGTTGACCAGTTCAAGGGAGCCAAGCAGTAACAGCAATAGTAACTGTTGTGCACCTGGACCCTGCTTCCAGACACTTCACCCAACCACTCCTTTAATCCTCACATTAACCCTGAGGTAGGCTCTAGTGTTACCCTTGGTTTACAGGTGAATAAATCAAGGCAGAGAGGTTAAACAGTGTGTTCAAAGCTCTGAGGCTACAAAGTAGGGGACCAGGGTCTACTCAGGAAGTCTGGCTTTCACCCCACAGTCCACCTCTCTGGGCACCTTCGTTTTTCTCACATCATACTGAGCAGTGACAGTGTTAAGTCTGAGGGCTATAGATTTGTATGATTGATATGCTTTCAAAGAGGACATCCACACAGCTGCACTTGCTTGTGCTAGGCTGACTTTTCTCTCCTCCAGGAGTGACCCACCCTTGGCCAGCTGTCCCTCTAGTTTGGGTCCTTCTTTCTCACTCTCCCTAGGTGGTGAAGAAATCTTACAGCAAGGCCTTCACGCTGACCATCTCTGCCCTCTTTGTGACACCCAAGACGACAGGAGCCCGGGTAGAGTTGAATGAGGAGGAGATGCTGTTGTGGCCAAATGATGTGGACAAGCTGTCGTCTGACAGCCTGCCCCGGGGGAGTCGAGCTCACATCACCTTGGGCTGTGCAGGTGACGTGGAGGCTAAGCAGACAGGCTTTGACCTCTTAGAGATTGTGCGGCAGGAGAAGGGGGGCAGCCGAGGTGAGGAAGTGGGTGCGCTCTCTCAGGGCAAGCTCTACTCTTTGGGCAATGGGCGCTGGATGCTGAGCCTGGCCAAGAAGATGGATGTCAAGGCCATCTTCACGGGATACTACGGGAAGGGCAAACCTGTGTCTACGCATGGCAGCCGGAAGGGAGGTGCCTGCACCATCATCTGAGGCTTCTCACCACTGTACGCAGAGGGCAGTATGCCTTCCCACTCGATTCTTACGATTCTTTTTTTCTTTTTTTACTCATAGTTAACCTATCTATAACTTTAAAAAAACAAAAATTTGTGAAATAACTGCCTCTCCCTTCCTGCCCACCCTTTTCCCCTTTAATACTCAAGCTTTCAACACAAGACCGGTGGCTAGACACCATTCAGGAACCTGATCAGAGCTGATAAGGATATGCAGCTGGGCCTAGAGCTGTATCTGTCCCACCTCCAGGAACTTATCAACCCACCCTAAGGGTAGGCCAGCTGACCAGCCAGAGCTGGGCTACCGGGAAACACCTCAGCGCTGAACTGGAGGCAAGAAGCAATAGAGCTGGGGTGGGGGGACCACTGCCATAGAAAACCACTGGTGGCTTTGGGAGGGGGAGGATTCCTGGGCTGTGATCCCATTTCTTAATCACTGTAGCCCCTAGAAGACTGGCGCTATTTACCAGGGTAGAAAAAGGGGTTTACCTCCCATCTTTGGTCCTAAGTCCCTATGGGGACATTTTAACTAAGGAAGAAAGCAGAATGATAAACAGCAGCCATATTCTAGGCTGCCTATTGGTCTCACCCCAGAAGGGGATGAGCTGGCCATTCTTCCCTGTGGTATGGCTCTGCTATGTGGTTGGGGAGATTGAGGCCAGAGATGTACACCTGAAAAGCTCCAGCCTTGCTGCCTGCACAGCCCATCTCACCTCCATGGGGCCTCTGGAAGCCTCTGGGCCTCCTCTCAAGGAGGCTGACAGTTATCAAGAGCCCATGGAGTGACTGGTAGCTGGAAAGGGCAAGTCCCACCTGCTACTCTGGGAAAGTTCGAACACTGCTTCATGTGCGATGGTTCCTGGGGTGCTTTACGCTGCCCTCCGCTCAGTAACAGGACCTTATTAATTGGGCTGTCACTTAACAAGTGTTTGGGATTTAAGTTCCTATCCTGGTTTTGCTCAAATTCAGCAACTTGTAAGACTGATAATGAAATAAATCATGTTAATCCTAGCTGTGTGCAATCTCTCTCACCCTTCTGTGCCCAGCTCAGTCTTCCCTGGGGCTAGGGTTGGGTATATTAGGACTGGCTTTGTCCCACAGCTTGGGGCCATCGGTCCTGTCTCCCCTCTGCTGGCTGGGCACAGCTGTGGTGAGGTTGGGCAGTTGAACAGTGTTGGCTTTCATGAGGAGGCAAAAAGAGGCTGGCTTCAGAGTCATACAGAAGGTGGGGGTTGGTTGGAAGCAAGGGACATAGAGCATCTGCCATTAACTAGGGCAACAGGCTTGTAGGGGTCCCTAACCCAGTATGATCAGACCTCTCAGGTTGGGTGGGCACTGGTGGCTCATGCCTTGTAATCCTAGCTATTAATGAAGCCAGCCCCCGGCAAATAGTTTGTGAGACCCTATCTTGAAATACCCAACACAAAACAGGGCTGGTAGAATGGAGGGCCTACCTAGCAAGCCTGAAGCCTGGAGTTCAAACTTCAGTACCCATCCCCCAACCAAAAAAAAAAAAAACTTTCAGCAAGAGCCAGAGTTCCTAGTGAGAGTTTTCCCCAGTTCTCTGGGAACACTGGTCACCTTCTGGTCAGTATTCTTGGAATATAAGGGAAGACCTAATATTCAACAGTCCCTTCCAGGGACCTAGACATCTACATGGGAAATGTGCCAAGCCTAATCATGCCACCACTTCACCATGGCCCAAGGTGTAAAAGGAGGGAAGGTTAGAAAGAAAAGAGAACTCAGAAAGAAATCATGATGCTTCTCTGGTTCAAGGCCTTTAACATGGTACTCTCTACTATTAGAGCACTAAAAAACTGAGCTTCAAAGGCTCACACATCTGTCTAGAACTCCTAAGGTGGCTTCTCATCTTGAACAGTGAGCTTGACTGAGAAGCATGACATGCACCAGAGCTTCCTCTTCCAGCTTGTCTCCCGCATGCAGAGAAGGAAATCAGTGGAGAAGGCAAGGGACATTTGTAAGAATGGTGTTTTCCAATTGTGCAAGTCTAATGCCAGCAACTAGACATGAGCTCTAATCTGCCTGTGCCACTTTGAAAGAGTCTAAGAGTCAGCAGGCAGAATTTGGTCCTTATCTCCATCTGTCCCCTAAGGCCCATAGTGGCACTAAGAACCATGGGAGTGGTAAAGCTCTCAGTTAGCATGCATAAGGCCCTGGGTTCAATCCCCAATACTGCAAGAAAAAAGAAAAAATTTGTGGGAGTCTGTGTGCACTATGAATCACCCCATCTAGGTTAGAATCCATGCATGATCCTGTGTAAACTTTGGACACACATGGCTGCTAGTGATTTCTGGTGGCCCCACTATAAAATGATTATGCTTTCAGAATTCACTCCCCCATGACCATTATTAGGCCAGGCACAGTGGCTCCCAGGGTTTGTTTAGCACCCACCTGCCACCAGGCTCAGGGTGCCCAACCTGTTGTATATCACCTTGCTGAACCGCAAGTCCATATCAAGGTCAGTTCCATGCTAGGGGCTCAGCTCTGGCCCACAGACTCTGAAGGACACAAAGCAGCTGTCAAAGCAAAGGGCCAGAAAGGGTCAAAACATTTTATTCTTTTTTAATAAAGTTAAACAGTAAGACAAAAATTCACAAGCTTCCTCCCTGTCCATCCCCCACCTCCCTCCCCTCCCCATTCTTCAGTGCTAGCTCCCTTTCCTTCACCCCACTCACACAGACACAGACCATCCAACTGAGAAAACGAAACTGCTCTAAGTACATGGAGACATGACGAAGGGAGGAGGTGAATTGTGTCCATATTCAAGGTTAAACTGAGAGAATCTGCATTTTCTGGGTTCTGGGTGGTTGCCCTTCATTAGCCAAACTGAAAAAAGAAATTCCCTGGACCAGATGCTGAAAGGGAAAACAAAGTCTTATTAGTTGGCTCTGTAGATTTTTCAAAGGAAGATCGCTGATAATTACGTAAGTCTTCAAAGGCAGCTTCAAAGGGGTTGAAGAGGGAGCATGTGAGAGAGAGAGAGAGGGGTGTGTGTATGTCTCTCTCTCTCTCTCTCTCTCTCTCAAGGCCGGCTAGAAAGCACCCTACTGTTAACAGTGCCTTATGTGTTTAGCTTCTGAACACCCTCACTCTTACAGTGAAACCCTGGTACTAAGCAGCTTAGAGATGCCTCTCTGACCCTGCTGGAGTGCACTATTAATGGTTCTAGGCTAACATGTACCTGGGAGCCTCCTCAGCAATACCTGAGTGGACAGATGCCCTGATTTAGCAGCCTCTACTCAGAGGCTCCTGTGACCTGCAAAGTCTAAGAACAGTGGGCATACTCACCTTCAAAGCTGAAGCCCCCAGGACCGCCGAAGAATGCCTTGAAGATATTGTTTGCATCAAAATCTGGTGAGAACATAGAAGGGACAGAAAGGGGAAAAATAAATTAGGAGGGTCTAAAGAACTTAAGACATAGAGTAGTAACCAATGTACAATGTAAGCCTATTTGGAACTGTGACAATGCATGTGCCAAGTACAATGAGTATGTCCAAATTAAAAGACAGAGTGGATCTCCAAAGTGTTCCCAGTGAATATCATTTCCCTCCTTTTATTAAAGGTTAGCAAATCTGCCCAACCTATGCAAAATCTGCTGCTGATCCCATTCCTACTTTATGTTCTCTTTCTGTTCCAAGTGCAGGTCAGAGGAACATCTTTCTCTGCCTTGACCTGCTCTGCTGCGTTGTCTCAACCAGGAATGCCATTTGTACTTACACTGTCTCCCTACAATGCTGGGACTGTTATGGGATAGGCTAAAATGTATCATTTCACTGTTACCAAAATCAATTTAGAAACAAGAGCTGTGATTTACTGCATTATTTCCACATCTACTCTGTCTAGAATGTTTTCCAGAAAAAAAGCTATGGCTTATTAGTACCTATAAGTTGCTAATCACAGTGCATTCTGCATGTACTGTATCATTTGAATCTAGTAACAATTTGTCAGGAAAGAATTATTCTCAATTTATACACACCAGAACAAGGAGGGAGTTTAAATAATTTGCCCAAGATCAGACGGGCAGAAAAAGCAGAACTGGAGATCCCATCTCCTGTGACTGGGGCTGTACTTTTTTCAACAGGCCACAGCAGGTCAGATGGCCCCAGTCCCAAATGATTTCTATCAGCAGCTCCCAGTAAGTAATTCTGCTCATCTTTCTGGGTCTCTTACTCCAGTAAGTAATTCTGCTCATCTTTCTGGGTCTTTCATCTTTCTGACTTGGTGGTCCCCCAAGTCATCTGCAGCAAAGTTACTCTCAATTTAGTCCTTTCCCTCTTCCCTACACAGCTCATCAGTAATCAACTCCTCCTGCCTCTGCCCCCATCTTGCAATTGTACCCTCCAATCCTTTCCTACCTTCTGGGTCCTTCTTCCATGTCTACTCTTCACCCTCTCCTCACAGCCACCACAAACATAATTCTAGAGCCTAAATCTGATCCACAGCATACCCACTTAAAATTCTTCAATAGTTTTCAATTACTTAGATCATTTCAACTGTTGGGCAGAGCAACATATTTATTACTGGGGAACACAAGCCTGAACAGAACTGGAGAGGATTCAGGATTTTCTTACTTTTTTTTTTTTTTTTTGGTGGTGCTCGGGAATTGAACTTAGGTCCTCACACATGCTAGCTAAGTGCTCTACCACTAAGCCACATCTCCAAACCCCTTAGTATAGTGGAAAAGAAAAGGCTGGCAGTAGAGAGATGGTGGTCTATATACTGTGCCAAGTTCAGGGGCCTCCATTATCTCTGATCAAGTCCTCAGTGAGCAGAGACACTGACAACAGATGTGCTTCAGTTCATGCTAAGTGTTTTTGGGAAATCACAATCTGTGAGGGTTTACAGGCATGTATGACACAAACATCAGTTTGCAGTGGGGGAAAAGAACTTCCAACTAATAGGAAAAAGTCCACATTCCTTACTGCATATAATCCTGAAGGCCTTATAAGGTCGGATCCAGCTACTTGCTGGCCTTGTCTCTATCACTGTCTGCCTCTAGTACCCTACTCTTTTATTCTCCTAGCTCTTTGTCACTTTTCTGCACTTCCAAGCCTGCCCTTGCTAGTGCTCCTAGCCACCTCACACCCTGTGAACTTGCTGCACTTGAATACATTTGTTTGACTCCATGTCTGTTATTCTATATAGGCCAGAGATCAGATTTGGCCCAGAGACTGAAGTTTGCCAATCTCTACAGACTGTGGGTTCCTGAAGGTCAGGAAACCTAAATGATTCCTCTGTTCCCTCCAGGGCTCAATAGTGCCTCACACTTTATACTCATCAAGGAAACAGTTTATAAATCACTGCCTCTCATTGGCTCACAAAGACTCCCCCCTCTAGAGGTCTTTAGAAAAAACTCTAATATTTCACAGGCATCAACTTCATCCCAGGTGTCCCAAACAACTCACCACCCATATTCATGCCCTCCTCATCCAGGTCCTGTCCACTGTCATATCGAGTCTTTTTCTTGGGATCAGAAAGGATGGTAAAGGCCTCTCCAACTTCTTTGAACTTTTTCTCCTCCTCCTTCTGAACCTCAGCACTGGCTCCACTATGCCGATCTAAAGGGAGAAGGGGAAGAACACACATGAAACCAGAATTTCTTAACAAAGTTTAAGAGAAGACCACTTGATATCTGCTTTTGGAATTTGGTACCTCCCATAATATAGAAGGGTATAGAGCTTAGCACTCCCTTATTCCCACTGAAGAGCCTCTCCAGGTACCCACTCTAGACTGAGCATGATGGGCCTGCTGCACCCCTTCCCCACCAGCTCTACCTGGATGGTGCATCAAGGCCCGTTTCCGATAAGCTTTCTTGATCTCGTCTTCAGAGGCATTCTTGTCCACTCCAAGGATCTTGTAGTAATCTTTCCTTTTACTCTTCTTCAGTTCCAGCTGTGCATTTTTTAATAGCTGTTTGTGTTCTAGAGGGAGACACAAGGCATTAAAGGACAAATCTGACTCTAGGTTCCTTTGGCAGATCCCAGCCCAGCTGCCCAAGAGGCAGACGCCTTCGTAACCATACCAGGGGCTTTTATGGTGCTCTCTTCTGGAGATAAAGGGAAGTAAAGGTGACAGGGAAGAATTGGGACCACTTGGGTGGGTGCCTAAGCACTGTTTACTTCTTCCTGGCTGGTGATCAAATAAGCTTCCGGTACATCTCTGAGCCCTGAATCAAATGACCTTGTGTCCAGTTTTAGGGCCTCCAAGTAAGACCACATGGTTCCCAGAGAAACAAGTGCTCTCAAACCCTGTTACCTTTTGTTTTCTCCGTCTGATACACTTTTTCATAGTCCCGCACTGCTTCTTCATACTGCTCTGTGTCCATGTAACTGAGAAGGAAGTACAGGGCAATACAGTGCTCAGACATAAACATCAATGGCCTGGGGGATTGCTCTAGAGTGAAAGGCATGGCTCAAGCAGGAGATGCACCCTTTGGGTAAAGTGCTTCATTAAACAGAAGAACCCTTAATCTTAAAAAAGATTTAGCTATCAGTTCCTTAAGGAAAAAGAGACAAGCCTCATAGCATTTGCACCTAACCAACAAAGTGATGCTCTGCTCTGAGTGGAAAACAATCAAAGGGAAAAGTTCCTTGTGACACAGAGCCACCCAAGAGGCACCTGGATAGCCTCAGGAAAGGCAACGTGAAGGCACCTATTTGACTGCTCAGGACTGAAACATAAGAGAAAAATTATCAAGTGCAGTAAGTGGCTATGAAAGAGCTTTTGAAATCTGCAGTGTTGTAAACATGCAGGGCTAGCTCCAATCCAGGGTAGAAGTGGGATTAGTGAGTCATTAGAAGAATCAAATTCAGGGTGGTAGCTGCTGGCAAATACTTCAATTAAGACCAATCAATCTGAGAAATGGGAGTGAGATAGAAGAGGAGACTAAAAACACAGGTTTGCTTCTATTTCAATAGTATAAAATAAAAGAGGGGACCCTGGTCAAGACAGAAGGAATCTAACTGAAGAGGCTGCTTGCCAGACCTTTAAAATGTCTTTTCCATCGAAGCAAGTGACAGTTTCATGTCCCAATAAGATCACTGGCACCAAGATTGGCATCTTGATCTAACATACTATGGTGACTGTTCTAGAGACACAACATCAGCTGGGGAACAGACAGAGACCATGCAATGCAGCTAGTTGCTGCATACCAGAGATTCAGTTGATACCACTACCACACAAGCCCATCTTTGCACACATCACCTCCTTCAGTCTCAGAGGTAGGGAGATTGATATCAACATGGCTGGCAAAAGAGAAACTTAACATCTTAGGCATCTCTGATTTTCTGGAAACATCTTTATTTATGACCTTAAAAAAACCCAATGCCTTGTGGACACAGGGTACAAATGCTTCTAGGAGCTCAGAGAACCAATTTATTGAATAAAGTGTAATATATTTATAAGTAAAAGTAAAAGAAAACTGAGAATTGTCAGCCTTGGGTTAGAATGATCTGACAAATAAGTGACCCTGACAAACTTTTCTGGGTCTGTATATAATGTATTAAACAAGTCATACTACAGTGATATACATTTCTATTCACATTTTTTTAAACTCAAAAATATTCTTCCATTTTAAACTGTTTACAATGTTGAAAAGTAAGAAAGCTTTAGGGTAAAAGGGAGAACGCTAGCTCCTGACTGTAGCAAACACTGTGTATCTGTTTAATTTTAAGGGTAAGTTGAGGCAGACTGGGCCAATGGAAAGGATTGGTAAGGCTTTAGCCTGAGCTAATCAGGTATGTCTTATCAACCCTAGCTGCTTGAGAGAACAGCTGCCAGGTCTCAGCCAGCTGAGCCAAACAGTGTACACTATTCCCACTGTGGTGGAATCTTAGAGGCACAGCCTCTCTAAGAACTGCTTTGTTTCTAACACAAAAATAAGGAGTTGTCTGATCAAAGCAATTCCTAGAAGAAAATTATCCTCCATCCCAGGATCTTACTCTTAAATCAATCTGCTGTTCTCTTTCCATTCCCTGTTCACACACTTTAGAGCAGTACATGAGGATGATATAGTAGGAGTCTAGCCACCACCTTTCTACCAGATATTAGATGATTCTTTTTGTTGCTATTTTAGATAAAATGGCAGGGAATGCCTTCATCTATGGCATTTTAAGGTAGTTCTTTAGTTGGATCAAAGGGTGTTTATATCTTTTTGTCTTCTACTTTTTTAGGGAAGGTAAGAGGTGTTGGGGATAAAACCCAGGGACCTATACAGGCTAGGCAAGTGCTCTATCACCGAGCTATACCCCTCAGCCCCAAGATATATTATCTATATCTATCTATATATCTGTATCTATCTACCTATATGAAATATAATTTTTTTTTCTTTTTTGGTGGGATTGGGGCTTGAACTCAGGGCTTCATGCCTGCAAAGCAGGTACTATATAGCTTGAGCTGTGCCTCCAGTCCTTTTCTTAAACAAAAAAAAAAAAAAAAAAAAAAAGGGGGGGAGGGTGGGGCTTGGCAGAGTAGCTCAATGTAGAGTGTCCACAGTGTGAAAGCCTGAGTCAAATCCCAGTACTGCCAAAAGGAAAAAAGTGAATTTTTAAAAAATTGGGGGTTTAGAGTACCTGCCTACCAAGCATGAGTGGTGCTGAGGATTCAAACCAAGGCCTCACACATGCTAGGCAAGTTCTCTACAATCGAGCCTATTACTTTCAGTTTCAAAACTCAAGAAACTCTCGACTTGCCATTTGTTGTACCAAAGATGGAATGAGATAAAGGTTTGGGAAAAAAGTGAATTTTTAAAAAATTGGGGGTTTAGAGTACCTGCCTAGCAAGCATGAGTGGTGCTGAGGATTCAAACCAAGGCCTCACACATGCTAGGCACGTTCTCTACAATCGAGCTATACTTTCAGTTCAAACTTCTCTCGACTGCCAGTTGTGTACAAAGATGGAATGAGTAAGGGTTTGGGAATGAGTGAGGGTTTGTCTCACAGAATCTAAAATGTAATCAATCTATGTCCTATTGGGCAGATTATGTAATCCAGTTAAAAACAAACAAACACTACTACACACCTTAGCAGTTTTCCTAAATGAGATAATGTTGGGAAAATGAAATCAGAGGTAGCCTTCAAGACATTCTGTACCACTAATGAGATGGGAGAGCTTAAATGACTTGCTTGTCAGGCATCAACAACAGTACTGGTTCTTTGGACCTAATATTTTATAAGGAATGGAGTGAGTGTTGGAAGACTGGTATACAACAAATATGTCTTCCCTCAGGTTCTTTACAGGTAAGAAGTTCTTCTCTGGGGAATAATATAAAATGAGAAGAGATTATTTCTCTCTCTTTTTTTTTTTTTGTGGTGCTGGGGATCAAACCCAGGGCCTTATGGATGGTAGGCAAACACTCTAGTGCTACATCTCCAACACTACTTTTCTTTTTTTTTTTTTTTGGAGACTGGGTCTTGCTATGTAGCCCAAGCCCAAGCTGACCTCAAACTTGCAATTCTCCTGCCTCCGTCTCCAGAGTGCTGGGATTACAGGCATACATCACCATAGCTGGCCCAGAAGAGATGATTTCTGAGAGAGGTCCTTCCTAGCTCCTGGTACTGTTCCTGTCTGGTACATTCAAGAGTAAGATGAACAAAGAAACTGTGGAGCCCAGATCTCTGGGGAACATCTGGGCACTATGTGTAGGCATAATCCTAGCTCATAAATCACCGTGTCAGTCTCAGTCCCTTCTGCTCAAAACACAGCATAGACTGACTACCCATCTACAATATTTCAGAAAGAGGTTCCCTTATATTGCTGAGAGGGTGAGGCTGAGCCAGATTGACTCCTTCAAATGCAAGATTATCCTCCCTCACCCAGAACAAACAGGGTAGGTAAAACCCTCAACTTATTCCTCCCTCTCCCAAGCCCATACATTCAGTCAACAAAACATTTACTGGGTGAGCACCAATGTGCCAAGCACTGTGCCAAGTTAGAGCAAAAGTGAACAACACAAAATAAAATCTCCAAAGGAAATGGATTTACACTTTAACAAAAGGAATTTGGGTCAGGCATCAGAGGAAACTTACTGACCGTGAGGGGCGTTAGACACAGGCATGGGAGACTGAGGGAGCTTGTGCAATCTCCTCCGCTGGAGGTCTATAAAGATAGTCTAGGGCTGGAACAATCCCACCTAGAGGCAGGGGGAAGGACCAAATGACCTCACAACATCCCTCGGTCTGCTTCATCATCCACAATGCAATTCCCCTAGTAGGCCAGCGGCAACTCCCTCTTCCCCCACCCTCCAGAGGCACTTACCACTGAGCTCTTCTCAAGTAGGCTTTTATGTAAGTGTCATCGAGCTTCACTGCCTGTGTGCAGTCTTCTATTGCATCATCTAGTTTCCTAAGCTTCAGGAGAGAGAAAGCAGTCATACTTCACATCTTCAGTGACTGAGTTGCCCAGAAGCTGTGAGCATGGTTTCAAAATTCTAAAAGAATTGGTCATGCTGGCTCCCTGTTATGCTAAGCTCTTGTTCTTGCTCATTATCTCAGAGTCTAAAGACATCAAACCCAAAATTGGTTTCTTTACTATGTGATCCAAGTTGCAAGATACCACAGTTATCTACAAGGATAAATCACCTACCACTGCAAGTTAGTGCCCAACAAACAAAACATGGTTCCTGCCCTCCATTCTTCCAGAGGTCAACTAGAGGGATATAATTACTGCAATTTTTTTCTTTTCTTTTTTTTTTTTTTTGTGGTACTAGGGCTTGAACTCAAGGCCTCATGCTTGCTAGGCAGGAGTTCTACCACTTGCACCACTCTGCCAGCCCATGACTGTGATTTTCAACTACTAAAATTCTATGAGGACAAGAAGCCCACTCTTGTTTCTTACAGTATGTAGGGCCACAAGAGCACTCTGGTCATTTTCAACTGTGCATAGTGACCATCAGTTATGATGGAGGAAAAAAACTAAGCCTGCCTCCTATATATCACTCCTGAAAAATAAAAGAGCTCTTAAGCAAAAAGAAACAGTAATACTTACTTAAAAGCTCCTAGCCATTCTCTTACCGGAGAAAAGAGACCTTGAGGAAGAGTAAGTGGCAATATCTTCCAAAATGTCCCTAAAGTATCCCTAAATTACACAGAAAAGATAAAACCTTGTCTTTCAGAAGGTAGTTCCTAACAAGGTGAGATACAACTTTTCCAGAACTATTTTTCCTCTTTCATCTGACTTACTCTCACCAGGAATACTTCCTAAGACCTTTTTGATATCCCTTAAAATGTTTTCATAAGCACCACAACCCAGATCAAGTGCTTACCTTGGAATTCACTGTACCCCGATTACAGTAGAGTTTAGCATTTGTTTTTATATTGTTGGGGTCTATCCCCAGGGCTTCTGTGTATAGTTCATATGCTAGCTTGTAATTTCCTTCCTTAAATGCTTTATTCCCATCTTCTTTCTTTGCTTTAAGGGCTTTGGCATTCTACAGAGAAAAGCAAAGGGAAGTCAGTTCACATCCAGAAAGATCATTGTACAACAAGGCCAGAGTCTACTCTCAATTTCTTCCACTCTAGTAATTTACCATCACACAGCTCTCCCCACCATCTGGACTAATTGTTGCTCACTGGTGCTTCCAACAGTGACAGGAGGAAGAGCTATTTCATTCCTTGTGATTCTAAAATTTTCCATGCTAATTACCTCTTGTGTCTGTATGTTGGGGGGCAGTGGAGGGGTATTGGGGATCAAACCTGGGGCCTTGTGCATGCTAGGCAAGTGTTCTACTGCTTAGCTACATCCCCGGCCCTATTCTATCTTAAGGCCCCAAATGGGAGCTTTCTTTTCCATCCAGATCACCATGCCTAGAACTTACTCTGCAAGCAACACAAGCCTTCTCATGGTCAGGAGCCATCCTGAGAGCCTGTACAAAAAACTGAACCGCCTTTTCAATACAATCTTCGTAATAAAGGCAAAGACCTCGTACATACAGAGCATCGGCATTGGTGGAATCCATTCGTAAAATGTCACTGCAATAATCAGAAAGGGAATATTCAACTGTGGTTTGGAATGTCCTAGTCATTCCTACTATTTCTGGGCAGTTTGTTCCTTGACTAGGTGCCTAGTACTAAAAGTATCCAAAGACAGAAAGATTCCCCAGAATTCTTCCCAAATAAACTATGTTTCCTTAAGAGCTTTTTTAAATTTCTTTCTTCCTTTACTTATTTATTTATTTTTGCATTGTTCAGGATTAACTCCAAGGCCTCAATGTGTGCTAGGCAAGCACTATCCCACTGAGCCATACACTCCCCCAATCCAATACATTTCTGTGTCCTTATCAGAATAGAGTTAGCAAATTAACAGCCCAAAGGCCAAATCCTTTCAGCTGCTGCTTTTCTTTCTTTCTCTTTCTCTCCTCTCCTCTCTCTCTCCTGGCCCCCAAGTGCTAGAGACTGAACCTAGGGCTTAGTACATGCTAAGCACACACTACCACTGAGCCACACCTCCAGCCCATCTGCCACTGGTTTTGCTTTGTTTTTTTGATGGTACTGGGGTTTGAACTCAGGGCTTCATGCTTTGTTAGGCAGGCCCTCTACCGTTTGAATTACTCTGCCAGCCCTGCAACTGTTTCCTATAAATAAAACTTTATTGAAACGCAGCCATACCCATTCATTCATCTATTATCTTTAGCTGCTTTTTGCACTACAATGGCAAAGCTCAGTAGCTGCAACAGAGAGCTATGCCTTACAAAGCCTAAAATGTTAACTATCTGGCCCTCTACAGAGTTTGCCAACCCCTGGAATAGAAGAAAGGGCTACGTTAAAACAAAACAAAACCTAAAACCTCGTATTCATTATACAATCTGTTTTTTCATACACAGCTCAAGTACCTGCTATCCTACTACATCTACACACCCTGTAGATTTTCTAATTTGGCTTAACCTTTGCCTTGAAGTCCCAGGAAGGTCTGATTAACCCTAGCTAGCACACCCACAACTCCTGTGGTAGACAGCACCCAGCCAGCATCAGTTCAATAGCATCTGGCACCTCAATGCTGACCTGGCCCAACTACATACCTGGCCACAGACTGTGCTTCTGGATATCGACCCAACATTGCTAAACATTCTGCTTTGAGGATTTTGAAGCGGTGGCAGGCAGGGGCAAATTCTAGGGCACGATCCATGCAGAAAACAACCTAGAGGGGAGAAGAAAGCAAGAAAGACTCCATCCTGGACTCCAGAAATGTCCACTTTATCTTGGTCACAGCCACAGACAGACCTGGGTCCACTGTTGAGCAGGAAAGTAATATCAAAGTTTAACAACATGACAATTCATTCAACTAAAGCACTGTAATGAAGAGAACAGTTGATCCAGATGATAAGGACAGTAAACATTTACTAAGCACTTTATATATTAGTGTTTAATTCTCATAATTTTATAAAGTAGTATCATTACTTTTAAGTGATAACTAAGGAACAAAGAACTAAGGTTCAAGGTTGCCAACACTACTAAGTGTTAGAACAGGATTTGATCTTAGACACATACTAAGACTCAGAAGCCTATTAACAACCTCAATCACCATGCTAAGGTGTCCCCACAGTGAATCCAAACTCAATGACTGTGATCAAAGCTTATGTTCTTCTCACAAATACTGTTATTTACTAGTTTCATATAACTTATCAGGTTTAGCCTGTTAACCAAGACAATAGCAAAAATAGCCTGTTATATTGTTTAGTTCCCTTCCTTTCTGTGTCAAGAGCCTCACATTTTACTATCATGTGGCCCCTCTTCCACTTATTAGTACAGAAATAGAGTAATAAAATTTTTGTTGTTGTTTTTTGGCAATACTGGTTTGAACTCAGGGCTTTGCACTTGCTAGGCAGGCACTCTATCACTTGAGCCATTCCTCCAGCCCTGAAGTAGTTTAAGTGGTTCTAATAGACTATGACATCACTATTCCCAACATGCTGCTACACAAACATTAAGATAAATATCCCCATGCACAACAAGTCCGAGATTAGTTCACTCTTTCAGCTTCATAAAGAGCTTTTATGTATTCATTCCTTTTTTCAAGTTTGTTCTCTGAGCTTTCATTTTTTAATTCAGCTATTCCTAGGAGATCCTTACTGAATCACACTCTTCCAAGGAATAACTGATCCAAAGGAGAAATCTGGAATTAAGGGATACCCATTCCCTCAAAGAATTTGGTTATGAGGATCAAGAAAAGACAAAGTCTGAAAACTTAAGAAATAAATCAAATTCTAACAACATAAGATATCCATATAATGGCATACTATGTAACTTTAAAATAGAATTAAAAAACTCTCCATGTACTAATATGGAAAGACTTCCAAAATCTATTCAGTGGGGGAGTGTGGGGAGAGGTATAGAATTGTGCTAACTTTCATGAAAAAAGAAAAAAGTGTGTGTTACAAAATTGTAGAAGAAAGAGAACACAAGGACAGTGGATAGGGGTTGAAGGTATAGCTCAATGGTAGAGCACTTGCCTAGCTGGGGTCCTGGGTTCCATCTCCAGCACTGAGCAGTAAAGAGTGTGAACGGCGATAAAAGGAACAACAGATACCTAAAGGAGGTGAGAACTAGACAGATGGAGGGCCAGTTTAAAGGGACACCTATCACTGAATATTTTTTCATACTTTTTAGCTTTTGAACAATGAATAATAGCACTTGCTCAAAAATTTAAAATTAATAAACACAGGCAAGCAAATAAACACTATGGGTTGTTTACTAAAGACTTTTTGTAGTGCCAACACAGCAGTGATGAGATATCTCTTCTTCAGTGGCACAGTTACTTTCCTGGAAGTTCTAAGGACAATATGAAATCTTAGGTATTATGGAGATAGAATAGTAGTGCTAATTTCCTCAAATGGAAAAAGAGGAGAAGGAAAAAAAGTGAAAATTTTAGTGGACACACCCTTTTGCCCTCCCAAGGACAATGTTCAGTGCAGAACTGGAGCTGCTCATTGTGGGGAGTGTCAGTTGGAGGTTCAGGGCTTCAGTTCCCACCCCCCACCTCCCATGTCCCCAGTAGAGACAGCTGCAGGCAAAGAAGATCTTTGTTTCTTCCAAGTTCATCTGTTTCCCCTGCCAGAATCATAATTCTTCATTTGTGACATCACCATGAGCTATAATTGCGGGAGCGGGGGGGTGCTGGGATGTCAAAAACAGAGGATTCTATCACTAACTCGAATTCTGGCTCCAGAGAAGGCAAAAGAGAAAAGAAACCCAAAAGACTGCCTTTCAAGACAAAGCTTTTGCCTATATAAGCCTCAGAAAACGTGACAGTAGGCAGAACTACTCCCCACACACACAAAATAATCTCATGCACACACAAAATAATCTCATGAATCACACTACAAACACTACCCTGTAGTTATTAAAACTGGTAGACAGAAGAGTGACGATAATTTAATACAAGGACTCTGAGTAAGCTAATCAGATATATTTATTACCAAATAAAAGACCTTCACAGTATGTAAGTTACAAATAATTGTTACTTGTCCCGTTTTTTTCAAGCATTTATTGAGCACCAACTACAGAAAGCACTAAGCAAAGACTCACACAGAAGGAACAAGTTCCTTCCTTGGGTGGAACTCTGTATCTCTTTTAAGTGATCCTGTAAACTCTCCTGATCAGTGATTTTTAACCTTTTTTCTGGGGCCTCTGCCTTCTATTTTGAAACTTTAGTGAAAACTATTTCTAAGTACCATCTAAGGAAGGGATTATACAGTTCAGGCATAACAACCTCAAGGTCTAGAAAGGTATTTGGAACTTTTATATCTTTCCCACGTTTCAGATTTATTAACCCATTTAACATGTATTTCTTCAAGACTATAACACTGTCTAATGTTGAAGAACAGTCTAATGTTGAGCTGGGGATGGTAGTACCTGTCTGTAATCTTACACTTAGGAGGCTGAGGGAGGAGGATCAAAGTCAATGTAGCCCAGGTGGGCTGCATACATAGCAAGATGTTAATAGTCAAATAGACCTGAAACAACCAAAGATGGTGGTGAAAGGTTACATATACTGTTCAAAAATGTAAAAGGGGCCTCTTCTACTTCTGGTTTATAGCCTTCAGATCACATAAAGCAGGAGCTAGTTAACTCTCCTTATTCAAATAAAAATGGTTAATCCAAGCCTATACTAGCCAACCAGTACACACTAGGGACAGTACCTTACAATGTCAACAGGAACAAACTCAATAGATTTTACTTTTTATCACAGACTATATAATTAAGAAAAAGTACCTTAGCAAATTAAAAGAAAAAAAAAAAGATTTTTGAGAAAGGCCAAAAGCCAAATTCAAGTAATAATCTATTATTCTAAAATAATATTATTTCATTATTTAGAACTATTATTATAGTTCTTTTATACTGTACTATTTTTCATTATCACACACACCAAAAACAAACAAACAAAAAAACACTTTGTAAGAAAGAGAAGAGTGTCTCATAGTTGTACATTACCTTCCGAAAATCTCGCTTCTCGAAATCCGTTTCTGCTATTTTCTCATATTCCATGACTGCGTTAGCATTCTTGAACTACACCGGAAAGTCAGATATATTAAAGTTTTAATGAAGTTTCTTTCTTTTTTATTTGGAGGTACTTGGGTTTGAATTCAAGGCCTCATGCTTGCTAGGCAGGTGCTCTACCACTTGGGCCATACCTCCAGCCATTTTTTGTGGTGGGTTTTTTTTAAAGACAGGGTCTCACAAACAATTTGCTGGGACTGGCTTCAAACTTCGATCCTCCTGATCTCTGCCTACTGAGCAGCCAGGATTACAGATATTAGCCATCAGTGCCTGGCTGAAGTTTCATTAAGAACATCATCCATGGACTAGACTTGGTGGCAAACAACTGTAATCACAGCTACTTGGGAGGCAAAGATCAAGAAGTTAGTAGTTGGAGGCCAGAAAAGACAAAAAAGTTAGCAAAACTCCATCTTAAACAGTAAGTAGGTTGTGGTGGTGTAAGTCTATAATCCCAGCTACGAGGGAGGCATAGATAAGAGGACTGTGGTCCAAGGGGTGGCCTACCTAAATGCAAGACTCTACTTACAAAATAACTAAAGCAAGAAAGGGCTGGGGGCATAGCTCAAGAAATACAGCACTTGCCTAGCAATGTCAAGGCCAAGTTCAAACTCCAGTACCCCTGAATCAAGGGGGCTATTGCACATACATGGAGATAACAATTTAATCAGGATTTTTTATTGTTGTTGTACTGGGGACTGAACTCAGGACCATACACATGTTAGGCAAGTGCTATACTATGGAGCTACAACCCCAGACCTAAATTTACTCAAAATTCTTCAACTTCACTCAAATCAGTTCCTTGAAGCATCTGCCTATTCTTCTAGCCATCCCAGAAATGCTCCAATTTTCAAAGATTTTTTTTAAAGCTGTAAATCATATTCAAAACCATTTTATAGATATGAAAGTCAAGGTTCAGAAAGGCTATGAGATTTGCCTAAAGTCACCTAGGTGAGGCTGATAGCAGGACTAGATCTCAGTTCTCACTTTCAAGTCACAAGTCCTTCCAACACACCACACTGCCACTTTTCTGCTTGCTAACAGGATCAGACCCATACCTCCTGTTGTGCCTGAGCATTTTTGTGATCCAGTTCTAGGGCTCTCTGGTAACTGCGACATGCTGCCATGGCATTCCCTAGTGAGAGGTGGCACTTGCCTTCTCGTAGATGTCCCTAGGAGGAAAAAATATATATAAAGAGGGAAGGAGCATGATTGGCCAAGTAGAAGAAATGAACAACAGCAGAAAATACCCACACAAGCAATGAACAATGAAAATGGTTATAGAGCAACGGGTCTCAACTGGGGCAACTTGCCCTGGAGGGGACATCTATCACTGTTAGGAGTAGTTCTTTTTCTTGGGGGGGGGCGTAGAACTTGGGTTTGAACTCAGGGCTTCACACTTGCAAAGCAGGTGCTCTACTGCTTAAGCCACACTCTCCATTTTGCTGTTTATTATGGAAATGGGGGTCTCTCACAAACTATTTGCCAGGTCTGGCCTGGAACTTCCATCTTCCCTATCTCAGGCTCCCAAATAGCTAGGATTGCAGGTGTGAGCCACCAAACCCAGCCAGAAGTCATTTCTAGTTTTCATACTTGGGGAGAGGGAGTACTACTGATATCTACTGATTAAAGGCCAGAGATGTTATGAAACATTCTACACTGCACAGGAGAGCCACCCTCTACCCCACTGCCAATAAAGAATTATGTGGCCCAGAATGATAATAGTGTCAAGACTGAGAAATCCTGGGCTAGAGGAACATGATTGTAGCAACTCAGTCTTCCCCAAAAGGTCCCATTACATACCCGGACAAAACTGTCATCCAACCTCACTGACTGTTGTGCATCTCCAAGAGCTTCCCGGAACTTTCCGAGCATCATCAACGTGGCTGCTCGATTACCATAATAGCTAGCATTTTTAGGACACATATCTATAGGAAAGGCAAGAACATAAAACAAAGATCAGCACAGGTCACTGATTTGAAAACTTAAGGTTTATCTCTCTCAGAACTATGTCAAGGAGACCAAACTGTAAGAATGTTGAAGAGGGCTGAGGGTGTAGTTCAGGAGCAGAACGCTTGCCTAGCAGACAGTAGGTAGAAGACCTGGGTTCCATTCCATCCCCCACACTACACACACAGAGTATTGACAGACTCTCTTAAGAAGGTCACAGCCAAATTTTTGACTATATGTGCAAATGGCTAATAGCAAGGTTGCAACCAATTTTAAAAGAAAACAAGCTGGGTGCCAATGGCTCAAACCTGTAATCCTAGCTACTCAGGAGATAGAGATCAGGAGTATGACAGTTTGAGATCAGCCCAGGGGGAAATGAGACCCTATTTCAAAAATACCCAACATAAAAAAAGGACTAGTGGAGTGGCTCAAATGGTATAGCGCTTGCCTAGCATTGCCTCTGTGTTAGGCCCTGAGTGCAAACCCCAATAACAGGGTAAGGGTTGGGGGAAACCAAACCAAACCAAACCACAAGTTATGGCATTAGAGGATGGGGGTATAGCTGGATGACACAGTACACTTTTAGCATTAATGAGGACCTGGGTTCATCCCTACCAACAAAAGAAAACAAGTTAAGGCTATAAAGTACACTGGTTATCATTTAGTGGGGAGTAATAGTCTATGTTCCTAATAAACTATGTTTCGTGTGATGAAATACTAAAATGAATTTGCATTTGTTGAGATGGGATGGAGAGCCTGTAAACAAGTTAGGTGAGAAGAACACTGACAGGGATTAAAATATGCTGGCAATGAAGCCTGAAATAAATAAGACTAGATTTTATACACAAATACCATTTTCTAAGACAGTAAATGAAGTGGCAACAATTAGATGCATTAAGGTGGGCATCTTTTTCCTAAAACATTTAGTATTTCAATATTGCCAAAGGAAGAACTATCTACTCCAGTCAGAAAAAGTTACCTATCAGGAGATCATTACGCCTGAAGGAGTTTTACACAGTAAGTTATCAGTCCTCTAAGTAAAAGGCAACTTCTTAGGGAAGAGTTATAATATTACTTGGCAAATGAATATTGTCTATCTAGCATAACCACCAGATCCTTCTTACCTATGGCTTTTGTATAATAGTTATAAGCTTCATTGTAATCTTTCTTGGCATAGTATGCATTTCCTTGTTCCTTGAAGGACTCTGCTTCCCTGAAAAGGAAAGAGAAAGAGAATTATGTACCTCAGAAATAATCTGTAATATCATAGAAGCAGTCCTTGGTCTAGAGCCCCCACTGAGCTGACAGTTAGTGTGATACTTGAAGGAATTTATAGAGTTCTTCAGTAGGACTGATGAGCCCAAAGGAGGTGCCAGTGAAAGAATCCAAATTCTTAAGATACTGTATTTCAGGCAAACGTAGACATTCCCTCAAATGCAACGGAGGGAGTGTGTACTGTGTGTATAATATACATATATATATGTATATGTATGTAATATATATATATATATATACACACACACACAGAGGATATCAAACCTAAGGCCACTACTGAGACACACCCCCAAACAATACTGAATTTTTTATTCCTTTCCAGTACGACACAACTGCTGCCTCTTTTCAAACTTCCAGAAAAACCAGTTACAGGTAATGCCACTGGGGGCAACAGGCTTCTCAATATGAAATGGGTCACATCCTTCAGAGTTTTAATGATCTGGCCTCCTGCAAAGTGGCTCTTGCATTTGTCACCCGAAGGATCAGAGCCAGCAGGTGGCAAAAGAGATAAAAGCATAGTACATTGTTGTGTTTAAGATGGGGGACAGAAAAAAAAAAAGATGGGAGACAGAGCTGAGTGACAGCAGAGGCTAAGAATTTGGATGACAAAAATATGAGGTACGGGTTGTCAGTGCCATGCTATACAGAATATTCATCTACCTCATCTACCGGTGTTCTACGTATGTCTGTTCAGTTTCTTTCTGCACCCTTTTATCACCTGTCCAGTAACTAGATTCAAATCAGACATGACAGACAGCATTTTTTTTTTTTGGACTGGGGTTTGAACTCAGGGCTTCACACTTGCTAGGCAGGCACTTGGCAGCTTGAGTCACTCAGCCAATCGTGTGTGTGTGTGTGTGTGTGTGTGTGTGTGTGTGAGAGAGAGAGAGAGAGAGAGAGAGAGAGAGAGAGAGAGAGAGAGAGAGAGACGAGTTTTTTCAAAATAGGATCTTAAGACCAATTTGCCCAGGGCTGGCTTCTGACCAAATTCTGATCTCTGCCTCTTGAGCAGCTAGGATTACAGGCAGGCATCCGGGGACATAAAGCATTGTAAAAGAACAATCTAGTAACCTCTATCAAAATTACCACAAATCATTCTACTACCCAACTAGAATGATAAAGATAATTCTTTTTTTTATTTTAAAAACATAATGTGCTTTATTCAGTGAGTATGTTTAATGATTCTAGAAATGTTTTCTAAACATCATTTCATATTTGTAAATGTCTTTGTGTATTAAAATTTAGATATGAGCAGGAAAAAGATATAAAATGAAAACTCATGCGATAGACAAAAAGTTATTACACATGGTAAGCAAATCACCTATCTTCTCTACTGATTAAAAATATTAAATCCTTAGCCAGGTGCCAGTGGCTCATGCTTACAATCCTAGCTAAGTGGAAGCAGAGATCGTGAGGATCACAGCTCAAAGCCAGCCCAGGCAAATAGTTCAACACGACCCTATCTCGAAAAAGCCCACCACAAAAAAAGGGCTGATGGAGTGGCTCAAAGAACAGGCCCCGAGTTCAAACTCCAGTACCGCAAAATTAAAAAAAAAAAAATTAGCTTTGAATTTGGAGCTGAATAAAATCTTAAGAATTTCATCTTAACCCTCTTTTTCAAAAAAAATAGTTTTATTATATTTTGAATCAGTAGATATGAATACTACAAGAGGGTTTCACTGTGGTAATTCCATGCATATATACTTTGAACTATTTGCCCAGGCTGGCATTCAAACTGTGATCCTCCTGACCTCTGCCTCCTGAGTAGCTAAGATTATAGGCATGAGCCACCGGCAATATAACTAAATGAAATTGCCCTAATTTTTGCTTTTGTTATATTTCAGATAGGATCTCGTGTTTTGCCTGAGTTGGCCTTGCTCACAATTCTCCTTTCCTAAGCCTCCTCATAGCTGGGATTTTAGGTGTCAGCCACCACACCTGGCTCATAAGTGAGCACTTTTGTTACATGAAGAAATCTTTTTTTTGTTGGTACTGGGTTTTGAACTCAGGGCCTCACACTTGCTAGGCAGGTGCTCTACCACTTTAAGCCACTCTGCCAGCCCTATTTTGTGTTGGGTATTTTCAAGGTAGGGTCTCCACAAACTCTTTTCCCAGGCTGGCCTTCAACAGTGACCCCCCTGGATCTCTGTCTCCCTGAGTAGCTAGGATTACAGGCATGAGCCACTGGCACCCAACTACAGGAAATCTTTCTTTTCCTATCCTCCAAACATGCAAAAAAAGAAAATCAGTTTAGGGTTGCATGGAGCAGGGACAAAAGTGCTTCCAAAGCTGGAGATCAAACCCAGGGCTTGTGCATGCTATGCAAATGCTCCACCACTGCACTACATCATCAGCCAAAATTCATAGTTCTTAATACTGATAATGGTATGGGCATTTACAGCTTGATTCTGTGAACATGGACACTGGAAAATTTTGTGATTCGTTTACTTTCACATTTTAAACTGCAAACTGGCAGATCTGCCTTCCTTTTATTGAGGCACTCCTCCTTTCCATTCTTCTCTATCATAGTCCTGGCAAGCCCTACTAACATGAAAAGTTTACTAGAAGAAAGGAGAAAGAAAATGGGAGTAGCATATAAATGCTGGCCTATTTGAACTACGATGAGTGTAAACATGCTTGGGTTCTTTTACTATACCAACTGTCACAATGCTGTAAAAAAGCCATCTGCTATTTTAAGTCCTCAAGGACCCCCCAACTGCAAGACTTTAAGGACCAATCAAATCTTTCTACGTGGCATACAATTTCTGTAAACCTAAACTAAGCAATGTACTATAAAAACTACGAGGAGTTTATCCTTTAAGAGCAGATAGGTCAAGAGATTTGAAGGGTTTACTCAAAACTGAATTTCAGAAACTGAGTCAACTTACTCTGAGGAAAATAGTAAATTCCAAAGTAGACAATGACCCAAACTGTATCTAAGAAGATCTAGCTTCCTCTTTAGTCAGCTAGTGCCTAAGATCCTTGAGGAAAATGAAAGGCATACAGGCACATAGGCAGACACTGTGTCAGCAGTATAAAGCTTGTAAGTCATAAGCAAATTATCTAAAGCTCCTGAAAGGTGCCCATTTTTCCCAAAACACTGCTCCTATGGAAGCATGTGTAGCACTGGTCTCTAGTAAAAATTTAAAGAATGATTTCTGTGGAAATTATTAATAGTTATTAAGGCCAGGTATTTTCCATATATTATACTCACTAAACAATAGTCAGGTGAATTTCACTGTTCCAATTTTTTCAAAGAAATTAAAGTTTAGAGGTTAAGTAACTGGCCCAAGGTTAGGATGTGATCCATACTTGTCAGAATCCAAAACATGTGCACATTCTACTATGCTAAGCTTTCTCTCTAATGTTCCCTTCTACTTGATAATTAATCTGTACTACTAGGAATATGGAATGGACAATAAATATGAACTTTAAAAAACTAAGACACAAAATAACTCCAGCATAAACAATTCAGTCCCAAAACTGAAAGCTAGATTTAAACAAGCTAAATGACATTCTTAACAATTAGTTATAGAGGCATCAAACTTTCTCTTTAAGATACAAGACCTAGTGAACTGGACTTTTTCCTCCCCCAAGAAATGCATTTCATTTTAGTAAATGATGAGTAGACTCCATTCTAGAGCAAACAAAGCAAGTAATGTAGAGTCAGCCCACAGCAAAAAGAACAAGAAGAATTGTGTTGTGACAAGTTACCATGTTTTTAACCTCACACTGCACAGCAGCAGGCCAGAATTAGCTATTCCCACACAATTGCCTCATGAAAAGGACTTATTTTCATAGAAACGTGGCTGATTAACAGCTGCCTAAACAATGAGCACTTAGTGCTTTTAGACTGAATGTTTATTTTTTGCCTCCAGGTCCAATGGCCAAAGTGGAGTCCCTCCTTCATTTTAAACCTCCCCACCAAATACAGCACAAGCTTTAACCAATGGGACAGACCCTGTGAAATTAGCAGAGGAAAGAGTGGATCTTTGGGATCCAGCATGGCAGCAGCAAGAAATGAAGGCTATACCAGGAACAATTCCAGGGTCAAATCCATTCTAGTCCTGCCCTGGGAGCCCGAGAAAGGGCTGAAGCTTGTTTAAGTTGCCCTTATAGGAAAGTGACTGCAGGATGAGGTGTCAAAGGTGTGGGAATGGAAAAGAAGAGCTGATTAACACTAGAATTCAGGGCAACCTGGCAGTGACTTCTGTTATTCCACTCACTGCCAGGGTCAATTCATTTGATAGCCAAGTGAGTGTACCTACTAAAACACATCAGTACTGACAAAGGAAGAATTAGGATTAACTGGGTCTACCTGGGCCAACTTAAAAAAAAAAAAAAAAAGATTCCCAAAGAACTAAATTCGACCACAGATTATTTTCCATGGCTACAAAATTGAGACTAAGCCTTAAAATACTGTAACAAAATATAGACTTGACCACAACTGACCAGTTGGTTCTATTAACAGCTACAACATACCTCTTGTGCTTTTTCAGATTTTCAAAGCATTTCCATTTTCAAAAGGCTCTGAGGTGACTTTATGGAAGCACTACTGAAATACCCAAAATGGCTACACAGGCTTCCTAACTTCTAGAAGCCTATGTTTTTTCCTTTTGTTGTTCAAAAAGTTTTTAAAACATATCTTAATTGATGCATAATAATTGTACATATTTATTGGGATACAACATGGTGTTTCAATACATGTATACAACTACTCAGGGTAGTTGGCATATTCACCACCTCAGACATTTATCATTTCTTTGGGGGTCTATGTTTTTATTTTTTCTAAATTGTTTCTGTCAAGGTTTTGTTGGGTCTGGGAATCTAAGGGACAGATAAGTGAGTCAGTATCCCATCCCCCATGGAGCACACCATGAACCCTGTGCACTCTGAGATACATGGTCTTGTAAATCTGCATTCTTGCACCCTGATGAG